TTCAGATGGAGAAAACGTGGGCATACCGCCCTGTCCAATGGAAAGGCAAGACCCATGCCATCTTGGGGCGGCCAGATTACGCCATCTGGTATGGAGAGGAAGAGGACACTGATCTCAACTTGGTGATTATTGAGGCCAATAGACCATCGAGCAGTTCTCTGGGAATCCCGCAGGCCTTGGCATATATGGGTGAGTGTTTCTTAACCTCGTCGTCGCCGATCCAAGACTAACTTTGTAAAAGCCTGTGTCCATCGTCAGCGAAAGGATCTCGGCAAGGCTGATACAACTGTGTACGGCATTGCTACCGACATCCAGACATTCCACCTCTTGAAGTTGGATAATGAGGCTCGGGTAAGTTTATCTACATCGTGTAAGTGACCGCCATTCTAATATTTATTAGTGGTCAGTGAAGCACGTTCCCGTGGTCGACAACAACTTTGAGGAAGTGTTCGGCGCGATCATCCACCTGATGAGAAAAGCCGCATCTATGTCCCCCACCACATCGAAGCGCACATCCCGCCGTACCCAAGAGAGTCCGGTGAGTCCGATCTGATCTTCGACCACAACCCTGAGCGTGATGTCGACTCGGACGATGCGATGGATGAAGACCAGTAAGGAAGACGTTGGTTCATGCTCGTCGTCGCTCTCGTTCTACCCTGGCTATACTTCATGGGCGCCAGATACTTCACCAAAACCTTTATTCGGGCAACCGGCATTCTGAACATCGTCTTTGCCCTCGCCACGGGAATTTATTACATTGCGCGCAAGCAGTATGGAGGTGGAATCTTGTTCCTGTTTTCTAGTAAGGCAGACGTGGGGTGGTGAAATTGAGACTGTGGATCTCCGAGATTTTGCTGCTTTGCTTTACGTGGTGGAACCGTGGATTCCCAAGACCATTTAGCAGCTTTTTTTTTTCAGAATTCTTCAATACTCCAACTTTCCTCGCTTTCCCTAGATCCCCCGACAAAATAGATCTTTTCGATCAGTTGCACGTTGAGTTAAATGCGTAGTTCTCTCAAACGATTCAAGACCTCACTGCCCAGATTCAGAATTTTCAAATATAGGTCGAAGCGAAACAAAACTGTCCAAAGTCGTCCACCGCCAAACGCTAGAAAACCCTTACTTTCGGAATCCAAGAAATTTACTGTTGAGAGAGGAAGAAAGACTGAACCGAGAATTCATTCCCTAGGGAGAGAAAAAGGAAGAAGAGAGAAAGCCTATGGAAGGAGGGTTTATCTACATCAAACGAGGGTTGGGACGAACACCCATCTCAACATTTACTAAAACAATATATAAGTTTGATATGTGGAATACAGTAATCCGAATAAAGTTTGCTATCAACAGAGCAGCAATTGAAGACTCTATACTTAAGTAGTATAATTCTACTACGTCTACATAAATCTTTCATGTTAAATCTAAACGATAATATTCTTTTATTTAGTTACTGTATAAGCATCCGATAAATACAATTTTAAAATACTTCTCAATCAATTTATGTATACGATAATTTTAATAAGGTGAAAAAGACCGAAGAGCGTTTACTGTTAATTCGCTAAGACTCCTTCAATTCTGTAATTATATATTTTTCTTGCTTTAAACGTATACTGTACAAATCAAATTTCAGAAAAACGAAGTCTGGATTGATACTACAAAAATCGGTGTACTACACGAGGATCTGATTCCGTCAATATGTAGCTGTCTTTCTCAGCAACTGAATTTCTCTTAAAGCTATCCTAATTTTGCTAAAGTGGTTTAACAGCTTACTATCTATACAACCAGTAGTAATGGTAATAGCAAACCTTCTATTAATAAGACTGGCTATTCTAAAGTTCCGGTGGTGGCGATGCAATAGATAGATCTGCAGGAGCGGTTACAATAAATACAGTTACAGACTGGTATGCGAATATGGTTGAATTAGAGGAGGGCGATTCAAATGACGATAAGGATGACTATAAGGATAACAATGATTCGCTTGATTCATTTATCCACAAATAAATATTAACATCAAGGGGCTGATGCTTACGTGGTGCGGAGGGTACCTAGGTAGTATGATAGTTTGCTACCATCAGCATGTTTGCTTTCCATGTGTTTGCGCATTTGCATGCTTTGCATACTGTCTCTGTACTATAAGAGCAGCTCTCCAGCGATCTCCATAGTCTTCTTCTTCATCTTAGTTCTCTTCGTCGAATAGGACCTTCTTCTGAAGCCTGCCGCTCTCACAGGTGATTCTTCTGTCGCGTTTGTCTCCTTGCTTCTTTTTTTTGCTTTGCTTATGTCCCTTCGATACTGTTACCGAATCAAAATCAAAGCCATTATTCTTGAAGAAGCAGCGTATCGATACAGTGTATGTGCACTTGAGCACAATTCGCGAGGCCCTCGGGGTTCTTTCCTACTTGCATTAATTTTCGCCTTTGGGCCAGACGTCTAGGGAAGCTTTTTACAATTATCCGAACATCTGTTTTTGCTATATCACAGTGTGAATGGTCGGACAGCTACCGGAGACAAAATTCCCGAGGTCGGCTCCACGGGCGGGAACTAGCGCTGCTCCCCCGCGGGGCTGGGGCCGGGTCGGGGGTTGGCTGATCAGCCGAAGTCAATCAAAGGCGCCTGTGGATCATCGACCAACGTGAATTCCTCCCGTTGGAAACGCAATTGTTGTTTTTGATTATCCACGGTTCGAAAAATATCGATAATCAAACTCGGAATTGAAGGAAATAATGGACTGTGCAAGGCAGAACTCGGTCAAAGGGGAAGAAGGAGAGGGGAAGTGTGCGGGGGCTAGCCCCTAAGGAGCGCGACCTCCCAAAACGTATAGGCAGCATTCGTCAAAACAGTGAGGTGCAATGATCCAACTTCCGAGGAAAGAGTTCGAAACTGCACTGTATGCAACATAGGGCAACGTACGATCCTTAGCGGCGGGCAAATTGCCTCACTAGGACAAACCAAAGTCTAATATATCGTCTGAAGGTGAGCCAAGTACTTCCCCACACTGCATCCTCACATGGGAATATGCAACGCAGGAACTTTGCCTTACTCGAATTAGTGGACAACTTCTGAATAGTATCACCCTTCCTACCTTCAGAGATGTTCACATGATTTAGAATACTTGTCATTTTAGATTTATCCGGGGAGATCTATGGATATTTTAATATCCTCCTGCGGGAGAAATAAATTCGCTGATGGCCGAGTAATAATGCCGAGAATGTTGCGGCAGAAGTGCAGTTGGAGGAAAATACCACTTGGCACATAACTGAGTGTGAAGGATGAAAGACATCATCCACAACAAGTATAAGCTTACTTCCCCCATTGGTCAATCTCGGGGTAAATAGATTGTTAGGTTTGCTAGTGGAGCGGGGGCCGTAGCATTTGACATGCAGGACATGGGAAATCCTCATACATTCCTTGTATCTTCTGGACTCTGGTTCCCACTTGAGCGCTTTTCGTTCTTTCTATGCTTCCATTTCCAAGGTGTTTCTAATCCTTTACCTCGGTGTTCCAGTCAAAATATGTCAGAATGCCATGTGAAGGGTTCCACGCGTTTGAAGATACCATACTATAAATTGAGCGACAGTGGATGCCCTAGAAACCTCCGATAAATATCCTCCAACTCTCAAAAGCATCACTTGCGTCTTGGGGCCAACTGAAACACCAGTAGGAAAGAATCCACCGCATTCAGGGTTCAAAAATGCTTTTCAAGTTTCAATTGGTGTTCTTGGGTCTTCTCGGACTTGGTATACATGCTGCTCCCTTATCAGAACGGGACGATGCACAAATTTCCAAGAGGGGAGCCAAGTTGAATGAGTTCCTGAATGTTCTTCTCGACAACTTACCTGCGGTCAGCGAATCTATCAATCAGGGTACAAATATTATCACCAATCTGAGCAAACTGCTCGCTACTTTGACTGGTGCCCAAGATACCTATAATGAAGCTGGAGGCGCGTGCAAAGAATGGACCGTTGTTTTCGCTCGTGGTACATCCGAGCCGGGAAATGTTCGTTTTTTGAAAGACTGGTAATTGACATAGCACCCGCTGATTCCTTCTTTTCTCTCGTATAGGTTGGAGTGCTCGTCGGACCACCCCTATTCGATGCTCTTCTTGATCAGTTTGGGGAATCCGCAGTAACAATCCAAGGTGTCAACAATTACGCAGCATCGGTTCAAGGATACCTGGCTGGCGGCGATGCAACTGGAAGCACTGAAATGTCGGTCAAGCTAAACATGTCTCCTTCAAGAAATTCACTTACTTACATCTCTTCGCAGGGCAAAACAAATCGAGTCGGTGAAATCTCAATGCCCCAACACAAAACTGATCGCCTCTGGATATTCTCAAGGCTGTCAGATTGTGCACAATGCTATTTCGGAGCTCCAAGATACAACTGCAAGCTGGATTAGCAGTGCATTGCTCTTTGGAGACCCTAGTAAGAAACCCTTCAATCTCTGGGGTTAACCTTGGGCTCCTACTGACGAGAAACAGAGAACAAACAAGCGCTTCCAAATGTTCCTGCATCCAAGGTGTACACAGCGTGTAACACCGGTGATGATATCTGCAAAAATGGAATTTTGATCGGCCCTGCCCATCTGACTTACGCTTTGAATGTCGAAGACGCAGCGAAGTTTGCCGCGAATGCGGCATAGACATGTTGGGTGCATATTAGGATGTTGTTTATGTTGTTTGCGCATGATCCGCAGGATGCCGGGTTGTCGATTATCTGGCAAACTTCCTCTTGAACCAATTTATACTTATTGATACCTGGTATTTATGGCTTCGTGCAGCTTCCTTAGGGTTTAAAACTTAGAATGATATCCAGCAATAACAGATAGGTTTTCAGGACCCCAGACATTTAGTATAGACACCCGTGGACGGGGGCTGGGGATGTGACCCACAGCGGGGAAGAGATTTCCCGCCTCTTTGAATTTCAGTTGAGAACTCCCTTCGTGTATCGTTCGTGTCTCTTCCATTCCCCGTATTCAATATATTGCCGAGGAATTCCATCTTCGTTATGGATCTCTTCCGGCGACTTCCGGTCGAGCTCATGTTTCAGATCCTTGAGAATACGGACGACTATGTGGGCGTGGAAAGCTTGATATCGGTGTCCAGACCAGCCAGGGCAGCGTTCTATATGGACTCTTATGCAATAGTTGATGCTATCGCCACATCCAATCCTATAGCTATGCAACCCGATGTGAAAAGGTTGGTGCATAACATCGTTATCCTCCATACCCCTGCTGTGACCGAGGAAGATGAAGCTTCACAACGATTTAATTGGCAACAGATCGGTTCTCGCGTCCTTCATATTGCTGCCCAAATTCAGCGGCTAGCCTGCGCCTGCCTTTCAAAGCTCCGACGAGAATTCGCATCTGCCGTGGGACTTGAGCCTCTTCATGCGCAACGAGCAAACGAGCCCTTTTCGTGGATCGAAGAATATCGCATGTATTGGGCACTGTGGCATCTTCGATCTTTTTCGGATTATACCAAATATGTTGAAAAACATCGCTCATCCTTGTACGGCGGTGGAGACCCTCCGCCTAAATTAATTCAGGATGTCGACATAGATCCCACTTCACATGGTGTCCATGTCTTCTTAAAAGAGATCATTTGGACGGCTGCTGTTGCACTCGAGGATCTTCAAACTTGCCCAATGACAAGATCTTCTGGAGGAGTGCTCAAACCGGAGCATAGAAACACCCTCTCGTGGGATATGGACACTGATGTCCCATTTTTCCGTTCGTTCGAACTTCCAAGAAGTGTTGAAACTCAATATTCAACCTGGAGTCCACCACCAATACCCACTGCAAGCGTAATGGCAAGTCATTGGCGGTTACGTCCAAAACATTGCAAAGATCCTTCGCCACAGACAAACCTGTTTCGATCACTTCGCTTCCGGGTTTCGCGAAGAGGACCCAATAGGCGCGGAATGGATGATATTCTGCGCTATCGACGATGTGGCGTTCTTCTATGGAGTAAGTGGCGGATGTTTTCCACTGGCTTGCACCCAAACAATTTTCGGGAGAGAGTACCAACTCCAGATGGGGGTTTTATCGACCAGGATCCCGCGGACCCTCTGGGCTCAAGCTGTGTAGACAAATGGTTGGAAGTAGGGGACGCGAAACAGTGGCTTGCTTGATACCAGATACCACCAAATGCTCGTGAGCCTCGTTCCAGCCAATGTCTCTTCGCGGCGTGGACGCCCAATTTTCAATTGGCCGCCTCCTTTTGATGTACATTCACCCTACCACAGGCGCCCTTTAATACGCAACCAGTGATCTTTGGACCAATCGAACGTGGTATCATTGTTGGGCCGTTCAAGTGGTGGTTTGGCAAGAATTTGCTTTATGCAGTCTAGGCAAAGCCTAGTACAGCGTCGCGGGTGGGGTGTGGCTCGCCCCAACCCCCCCATTTGTTGTGTAGATAGCTCCCTCTCTCGCTGTCTCCCTTTTTCTTCTCCTTCTTCTTCTTCTTCTTCTCTCTCTCTCCGGAAAAAAACTCGATTCGTTCCGTCCGCCTTCCTTTGTCTTGCAGGCTCAAAAGTCCTCCAGGAATTCTGGTCAATGATCTTTAGCCTCGAGGATCACACGAGGGAAATATTGAGGACCCTCGCGTAAAGCACAAAGTTGATACTCTACAGCCGATGCTGGAGCAGTGAGTATGGCCTCAGCGCGAGAGAGAGGTCTAGTTTTGCTAGGACGCGATAGGGAGCCTCTGCTGCCATCGCCTCTAGTGACTCAAAACCCCCGTTCTCAGGTCGTCCTTGAGATGGGGCTCGTTCAGAATTGGAAACCTCTCACTTGTCACGGTCTCCTTCGACAAAACATGGAGAAGGTCCAACGAGCACTGAACGAGGAAGGTAAAAAGACGCTTGTGCCTCTCACATTAGGAGTCCATATCCAGGACAGCCTTGTCGCTGAGGTAGGTGTGATCCCGGAATTTCTCTCGCGTATGCGGGTTCGATAGTGGATATCAACAAACGGAATCCCCGCCCCAGGAAGGGCATCGCGAATCGCGACCGATGTATGTGTGTATGCGGCCGGATTGATAATGATACCGAAGACGCCGTCTTTCTGGGCCTGGTGGATTCGGTTCACAGGATCACCTTCCGAATTGGACTGGAAGCAAGTCACGGATAGGTTGTGCTGCGATGCACGTGCGCTTATGGCTGATTCCAGTTGATAAAGGGTGGTTGAGCCGTAAATGTGGGGCTCCCGGGTACCCAAGAGGTTGAGATTGGGATCGTTGGCTGGGGGGATGTTGCGGGGAGGCATGGTTTGTGATAGGTGGTTTGTTATTTGTTCGGGCAAACGTGTCCCCAGGTATGAAGGCCGGAAAATAAGCCCGGTGGTAAGTGGGCCTTAGCACTCGTAGGCACAGCGGAACCCGACCCGACGTCGCCCAGAGATCTCTCCTAGTAGGGTGGTTATTAATGGGACACGAGGTTTATAGCGAATATTCTACAGTTCTTACAATATCTCCAAATAATTTGTTGTGTTATCAAAGTAGCCGTTGAAGATTTTCCATCGAAAGACTCCCTCCCTCCTCCTGACATCTCTCAACTTGGCCGACATGGATATACCTAAGTATTGTTGGCAAGAAGCTGGCCACTTCGTAGACTCCCTATCTTCATGGCGACATGATGTAAGGACTAAGCCTACGTTGGGGCCAAAATTTGATTCGAACTAGAGGCATGTGGGCATTTATGGGATTCGTCCGGTACCTAGAACTCTTTGGTGGGTGACGTTGTGAAACCAACGTCATTCTAAAATTCAAGACCGGCTCAATATTGTGGATTATGAATAGTCCGATGGACTGAATACAGGCGGTCTACTCCGTGTGTTGTACATGTATTATGTAGACTCGCCTAATCCACATGTTAGGATTGGTTGAAATTAACAAAAGTGTTAGCCATTAGTATTGAAACCGAGATTATCTATCTATCATTCGATTGCAATACGAACTGAGATTTCAGATTCCCTATATTCCGTAGTGATCGAAGACATTTGTTGATTTACTGCGTACTCCGGACAGCGTGCAAAGAAAGAAAATCAAAAAGATGTCTGTGGAGTTCTGAGGACATGCAGATACCAGAATATCGACTGGCATCAAATGCATGATGTGACGGGCCAATCATGAAACGTTCTTGGATTGAAGAGTGCGATGGTCGCGCAAATTGTGCGACTTGGGTGACCGTCAATCTGGATCTCGCCTTTTCTATAGCGCATTCACTCTCATCGTTCTTGGTCGCATCATCTCTTTGCATGGCAATATCTGAACGATACCGCAAATTGGAAATTATTCATGTTTTAGAACTTTTGAGTTCTCAATTTTACTAGGCGCTCGGCCCGCTCCCGCTTACCCGAGCGACCCACCTGTAGTCTCGCGGAATCAGCGATAATCCTGATTCGACTATGTATTCCCCTTTACCCCTCGGGCTTTAAAGAGATAGGCTTAGGATTTACTGAGTAGGGAAAAGAAGTAAGAACTCAAATGTTTAAACTTCCAGGATAAGGAGGTGTAAGTCACTCCGGTTGTATAGGAAGAGACCTTATTCCCATTGGTCCTTTATTCAAACCTCCATGTTTGTAAATCGCGCGTTCATTGAAAAGGCATTTATCGTTTCCATAATACGGATCTTCGCTCTGCATTCATCCGATTCCACTTCTACTAAGAATTGACTCAATTGAGAGAAAGTCTTTCCCACTCGCGCACGGGGCTGAATGAACATTCATTGTAAGAGGCCTGTATTCTTCTGCGCTTCAAATCAATATCTCATCAGTGCACACGTTCACCTGTGTTGCCCTAAGATGCGGATGTAAAGAGGCAGTTTGGAAGCGGATCGGTCCGAGCCAGTCAGGATTGTGCTGTGATTGACCTTTTATGCCCCAAGCCCACTTGCTTCCAGAGCTCTCTTTTCCCTTCCCTTTGAGTTTCTTCCTAATCATGCTCGATGAATCCACGAGACTTGGTGAAAAGAAATATGCTCAAGTCTGGGAAGAGCAAAGACATGCAGGAGTGGACATTTACTAGTGGTCACTCACCCAAATATGATTCCAACGATCTCAAGGTTATGTATGGCACAACGTACGGAACGTCCCGTTCATCTGAATCTATGGTCGTATGTGGAAAGAATTGGTTGCATCTATGGTCTTGAAGCCGATGGCCGCACGATGGGCGAGCACCCGCCCGAGCTTCCTCTTTCAATCACTACTTCTGCGCAGCCTAAAGCCACACTTCTTTCCTAACTTCTTCATTAATTACATATTCGATGATTATTGACACTAGCTTTGATTCATTACGAGTGTGGAAACATTCAACCGAAAAAAGACCTGATCCGGCCAAACATGGTAATTGTTGAGGCCGTCCAGCCCACGGTTCTGCGACTAATGTAATGACTGATTGGGCCAGCGTCCATGCTACCATATCCCCCCAATAGCCCATCTGTATGCAAAAGAACTGGCTTGTATGATTGTTCCTCTCACCACTCGTTGAAGGCATTGATATCAAATCCGGGCCATAGCAGCTTTCCATACTCCAGTTCGCGGGTAATTTTCCCCTCACTGTTCCACCAGATCGTGGATAGCATAATCATACCCGAGGAATCGCCCTTCCCGATTCCAGGAGGAAGGTTGGGCTTGGCCTCCTCGGGAGGATCAATCTTCAATGTGAACCGTACCACGTTTTCCAATACCGCAAACGAGCCGGGCTCGGAACTGCCGTGGAGCGAAATGGCCTCAACTGAGACATCTGTCATCAGACCACTGAATCCTTTGTTCGCTGCGAACCAAGCCTGCTTGGGGAACCGAACAATGTTAAGGGCTATATGAGAAATAAATGTTAGAATGGTAAATGGGGATGGAGAAGGGAGGTTAGCTCTTACGAATGTCGGACATGCGATAATCATCAGTCACCATGCTGTCCATTTTCTCAGCATCGCCATCGGCGAAAGCTGAGAAGTACTCGTCAATGCGAGCTAGCAAAACCTTGTCCTCATGGTTCTCGATGCGATCCTTGATAAATGCGGGCGAGGACTTAGTCATGTTGGATGATGTGTGATTTTCGGTGGTTTTATTGTCTCAGTAGGTTTTGCTGAATGATTCTGGTTTCTGAAGTATTGTGCGGGGGACTGAAGCCGAATTTATATCTTCTTTCTTCAATCCCAGTAAATGACAAACCAAAAGGTCCTCGAGTTTCTCATACCTACATTGTGCCCCAGCGCACAGTTTGTCACACTTCAGCTGCAGGCTGCAACTCGTTATCGCCACTTGGGCTTGCCGGCTTTGGGTAGAATTGAGTCATTACCAGTGAACAGATATTCAAGAGCTGTACAATGTAGTGTCTGCAATAATCCACGTCATCGCCACCTGCAGCTGTTGTTACACAGCGCATAACAGCGGGACGAGGTTGGGGACAGTGTTTTACTTAACATGAAGTCATTCTGGTTCCCTCTTGGGCAAAGAGTGTCCTAAGTAATATAAGGATTCATATAAGACAAAGCTCGGTATAAGACAATTGATTTAATGGTCAACGGGAAAGTGCAATTGAACAGGCCTGGTTAAAATGAGATTCTTTTATGTTGCAACAATAAATGATTGGCTTCTGAAAAAACCCTTCTCCGCATAATTTGCAGCTCTCGAGGTCCATGCATTTCCTAATACCCCTGTACCCCGATCGATCTTCAAAAGTCCCTGAAAACGGCTCAACCAATTGGATTTGCACGGTCAGCTTGCTTACTGCTTGGGTGTGCAATGGCTTCAATTGGAGGTACATGCAGATGCCAAGATGCCGTGTGTTTCAGGAAAATCAATATGATCGATCGAATTGTGCTCTTTCATGGCTCAGCCGGAAGGGTCAATGCAATGCCCGCGTAACTTGAATAGTTCGCACTCACCCTGATCCTCACCCTGTCTATAACACATTACCCCTGTCATCCCCGGTCGCGCGACCCTAAAGAGGCGCTCACCCATATCTCAGCTGTGCGACAAACACCGAACTATTTATTGACTGCGCAAGCCACCCGCGGGCATGCCGGTGAGTTATTCGTTGGATGGGTGACCACCTGTGCATAAATCGATCAAACAATGTACCAATTAAAAATCGTGATCAGTGTTGTGGGTTCTTTTCAATGCAGGAAAGAATAATAATGTGTCGTTGCATTTTGTACTCTGTACCCTGGGGATCGATTCGCCGGGAAGTTTCGTCGTCCACGTCAGGGACAGCACGAGGAGCACCCGCAACGTGGTCCATGATTGAGATTTTTCATATGCTCATCACTATCGTCTTCGAAAGCAAGCCCTCATGTCTTGCCATTTGACCCAAAAAATCAAGAATGGTCTCTCAAAAAATATGCAAGCTTCGAGCGCATTAAGTGCTGAGGGGCCTTCCGGTAAAAAGCTCAAGGTGGGCTAATCATTGCTCCGGGAGCACCTGCAGCCCTCTTACTGCAACCCATGTCTCTTTATTGGGCGAGCTGATTTGTCAAAGAATGGGCGTGTCCGCCAGGATGTATGCGAGCTAGGGGAAGCCGTCAGTACGAACAAAGTGGAGGCAAGTGATAAAAGAGGGGTGTTTCCATACATCCACAGCTACGCCACCGGTAGAACTCGAGGTCCAGATGTGGTGCAGTGTGCAATCAGGCAGGACAGGGCCATCCTTGGTGAATTGGGGTATGGCTGAGATAATGATAGTCGGAGGTTCAACTTCAGCTGGGCATGGGTTTGTCAATAAATCAATTGCCTGTACTCTGGCCAGACCCGCTTGAGGCCCCTGGCTTGAATTTGAGCCGACGAAATCGGAGGGTCAGTGGGATCCGGACAATGACGAACCATCGTGAAGTGGCCCGAGGTAGCTGACTTGAGCTGCGACGAGCTCATGCCCTCGGCGAAGCCCGGGCCCCCAACACTGATGCGCTGTGTTGAATGCTCATACAGTATCTCACACATGAGTGCGAGCTCTTTCTCGCGAATTCTTACACTCTGAATCGATCCGCCAAGTGGTTTGTCAATCATCCAAACAACTTTGAAATAGACGAGCCGGTGGTGAGCTGATTCGCGAAATGGGCGCGAGGATGGTCAGTAGAATTCAGAAAACCCAGACAGGGGATGGTCTGTTTATTATTCTCCAAGGAGAAACATCACTGTGACGAGGTTCTGCTGCGGCTCTATGCTATATCCCCAAAAAGGGAATGACCTCAATAGCTTCTACCTCACGCAGTCGCAAGCAGCCACTTATACCGCTCTCTCGCCCTGTTGGTATCCGGCCGGAACATGTTGCCTTGGAGGAGACAGGTCTTCGTCCATACCCAAAGGCTAACAGAGCGTCAGCAGCCGAGTACATCATCAAGAATATTGCCACGGCTTCAACATTGTTCTCAGTGACAGGTAAAAATTGTAGATAAAACACTGGCCGCTGATTCCGTGACTCAACAGGCCTACCGTTGTTCGAGTTACGTCGACCTACCCTACCCTCCCGATTAATCCTTGGAAAGTCCGATTACCTGGCAACAATAACAAAGACCTTGCGTCTATGTCTATGCAGGGTGCTTCGAGAAAGATCGACCTTAAGGTCTCATAGAGCCAAGCTGCCATGGATGACAGAGTGACAATAACGACTGTTCGAACAACGGCTTTGTTCACGTTTGGAGTGATGGCTAGCGACCAAACGGTTGCACATATTCAAGAGAATACAGAGATCAATTGATCTGCGGGCGAAGTTGTTTCAGGCCCCTATCACAACGTATCGCCCAGGCGTGTGTTGGATATTCGACTAACGGAGGGCTTTGATGCATCAATTGTAAGTGTTCATCAATGGTAATCAGGATGGCTGTCAATGTCGCTTTGAGTTTCAAATCACTGACGGTCCATTTTACACAGGCAACACTGATTAGAGTGTTCATATCAGACATGATCTTCAATGATCAAGTTGAGCTCTAGGTTGAATAAGTACAACACCCATCAACTTGAAAATGAAATACCCTCCAGAGTGCCCCTATCAATTGACTAACCGTGTATTGATTCAAGCATAGATTACGAATAATTACGATCAGGTATTCGCTTGCAACTTCAATACACCTGCTACCCCGCATATGTATCTTGATTTCAAGTTTCGTACGAGGTCTACAGGTTTCAACAATTTCACACCCGCCAACCAAGTCATATTACCCACTCCAGGGCTACTCTTCTTTATCTTGCCAGACAATAATGGGCAATAACTTACCAGAAGAGGTGCAAGCTTACCTCGAGGCAATAGTCCAGAGTCTTACCGATTACCTGAAAGACCGGCTTGTCGGTGTGTATCTATTCGGCTCCGCGAGTTATGACGCCTATGAGCCTGGCCTCAGCGACCTTGACGTGCAGGCTATAGTGAAGGATCCACTTGACACCGTTGATAAGCAGGCAGTCATATCCCGTTTGACCCAGGGTGCCTTGCCTTGCCCGGCTACCAAACTCGAGTTTGTGGTCTATGCTCAAAGTGCTGTGTATCCGGCCAGCCGTCACCCTCGTTTCGAACTTAATTTGAACACCGGACCTGATCAACGTGATCATATTAGCCTTGATCCCGCTAACGAGTCAAGCCACTGGTTTTTGCTCGATATTGCTATGGGGCGCGAACTTGGCCGTAACCTGTACGGCCCTAATGCGACCGAGGCTTTCGGCGCTATCCCTCGACGCTGGATTTTGGAAGCAATCGCGAATTCGCTCAGTTGGCACCAAGAAAACGAACTTACCTCGGCCAACAGCGTTCTCAACGCTTGCCGGGGCTGGCGATTTATTGTTACATGCGAATTTTCTTCGAAATTGGACGGGGCCAAATGGGCCATGCAACAGCAGGGCTGTCCGGAAATTGTCAGTCGTGCCATTACAGCGCGCAAAACAGGCGATGAACTCCCTGCGGCCCAGGTAATGACACTTTACAATATTGTTATGACGGCCAACCTTGCCGAACTTGCGACAGACATGAAATGAAATTACCCTATCTACTGCAGCAGATCAGTTATCTAAGTCATGGAGCAGCTCTGGGGAGTTCTAAAGTGGTTCACTTTCTACACTCTCGGAGAGATTCCAGCAAGTCCCTGAGTATCAAATTTACTGCCTTTGTCAACGCTCCTTTGTTTTTGTAAATTAGAAATCTTTACCTATAGTTAAGACACATACGGACCTTATCTTCTGGGGTCAACGCTCCCCCATTCTGCAAATTTGCATGAAGAAATACAAAAGACACACACGGCACTGATGGAACCTGAAGTAAAGTCCGTTCGCAATGGCACTGCGCGTCGTAAGACCCCAAAGGCTGCCCGACCGCCGTATACCAACGAGGCCTGCCAGGAATGTCGACGACGAAGAGCAAAAGTGAGTGATCATCTCCCCCAGGAATCTGCCAAGTCCGTGGATTGATTTTTTATGGTGCGATGGTAAGAAGCCCTCTTGCTCACGTATGCGCCATGAAATTGAGTTCAAGTCTTCAAAACAATTACCTGGCGAGGATGTGAAGTCATGGCTGTTTTTCTTAGATCTGAAGAATCCATGGTTTTTGTTATCCCATTTTGCGCCCCACTCTCACAATGACGCCGCTTGCGGAATATACATTCCGCCACAGTCCACTAAATACCTCTCAAATTATTTAAATGTCGTCTTACAGGTATTTCAAGTTTTCAAAATGTCCCACCTCCAATATTTTTCCTACAAGGGCGTTGGGGAGACCAACCGCCAGAAGTTCAAGTACAGCCAAGCTGTCAGAATCGGAGATCGCATCGAGTGTGCCGGCCAAGGTGAGCAATTAGTGGTTACTTCTTTTTGTTTGTTTTCCTCCTCGTTTTCTGACTCCATTGTTACAGGTGGTTGGAACCGCGAGACTGGCGTGATCCATCGCGAAATCAATGAACAAATCGACCAAGCGTTTGCAAATGTCGAGCATAACTTGAAGGACGCCGGAGGCGAAGGTTGGAGCCAGGTTTTCCGCGTCAACTCATACCATGTGCCTATCAACGACGAGGCATTGGCAGCTATGGTGCGCAACTTCCACAAATACATGCCCGGGCATGAGCCTATTTGGACTTGTGTTGGTGTTCCTCGCCTAGGGGAGGATGATATGCGGGTGGAAATTGAGGTCGTTGCCCATGTACCTAACTGAAGTAATCAATCAATAGCTAAGATGGAAGTTATCGTCCTGACACACTCTCAAGAATTAACAGATTTCCTCAACACGAAAGCAATTTATAAGCATCCGATTTTCAAGTTCACTGGGAATTCTCTTGCTGAATGAGAAGAAAGCATCATAATGCAAGATCAAATTGGTCAACGCGATTGTAATTAAATCCGACATTGCAAGTTCCAGTGCCCGAGAACGGTGTTAGTGGGGAGATCAGAAGCAGCCCCCAAAATTGCAGGGCTCGGGTGAAAGCACCCCGACAGTAGCCGGTGCTTGTTCATTGGCGGGTTAAAGTCAGAGATCGTCCATGCTATTGCATGGTTGAGGAGCAAGGACGTGACATACCGAAGTAGAATGAGACATCGCGAAATGCGAGATGAGACGCGGGGTCCCCGGACTAATATTTGGGTCGACCCTGGGGGGCAGTTGAGACTTAAGAAGGAAGGCCGCATAGGGTTATTCACATTTTTCCCCTTGTTTGTGTCCACCCAAAGACTTTTGATAGAGATCCCACAGTCATGGCATTTCGCTCTATTTCCTCCCTGTTGTGTCTTTCTGCGTCAGCATCGGGTTTGAACTTCAATGTGCCTGCATCCCCACCCTCCAACTCCAGTGGTCAGATATCTGCAGCTCCGGTTGGAGTCTCGTAAGTTGATCGCTCTGATTCGGCTACCCCTGGCTCACTCATCATGCAGTCTGGAGTTCTTCACTTTCCCAGAGTACATTCAAGATCTCCCTTCGACCACCACATGTCTGCAAAACCTGAAAGACTTGACGGGCACATGGCCCCCCGTGAGGATCGGAGGGACAACACAGTATTTATTACCAACCTCCACTCATTTTCAGTACTGACCCAGCAAGGGACCGTGCAACGTACGATCCATCGTCAAGTGAGGCCGTCACATATACTGTGGCTAGCACTAAGGATGCTCCTGCATCGTTAACTTACGGTCCTTCGTTTATGTCTTTGGCTTCCGAATATGCCGGAAAAGTGATTATTGGACTCAACCGTCGATTGGACAACATTTCGAATACTATCGCCGCAGCACTGGTGGCGCAGAAAGATATGGACAACCTATATGCCATTGAGCTTGGCAATGAACCCAATTGTCAGTCATAACAGCCGCGGCTAACATATTGCACGTACTAACACGAGTTCAGTCTTTGTTGACAGCGACCCCATCGCCCGAGGTGCATCCTGGACTGCTGCGGCCGATGAAGCCTCTCAAATCGAGTGGCAAGATGCGGTATGCGGAAACCTCTCTGCCTCCGACATCATCTCGGCAGGTGTCTACTTTGGCACCTCTCCAATGAGCCTTGTCGGGCTCACCGCGAAAGAGGGTGACTCCAACGCCTATGTCAAAGATTATTGCTCTCACAACTATCCACAATCCTCTGGTAGCTACAACCTGACTGCGCTTATGAATCACAAAGACATTGCAACTCAAGTTAAGCCATATGCTGCCGAGATTTCCGCCGCATCTGCGAAAGGGAAGCCACACGTCTTTGGGGAGACCAACTCAGGTATACTACATTTTGCTAAGCTCCCGGTTCAGTGCTGACATCCACCGCAGCAACACAAGGTGGAGGTGGTATCAGCCCAACCTTTGGCGCTGCCCTCTGGATTTTGGATTATGTGCTGCAGACTGTTACTATGGGCACGAATGCCCTTTACTTCCACCAGGGCACTATTGGAAACTGTATGGATACCTTCCACTCTCCAACGAAATGTACTAATAATCCAGGTCAATACTGTTGGTGGGGTCGATACAACATGGGATCGCCATACTACGGGGCCTATTTCGCCACCATGGCACTAGCAAATGCTGACCAGGTCGCACCTTTGGATGGCCAAGATTCTTCCTATGCTGCTTATGCGATCTACAAATCTGGTGCCCCCGTGAAGGTTCTCCTTTACAACTCCGACTACTATACAACTGGCACGCGCTCGTCACAGACATACTCGCTTTCTGGCCTCACTGGCTCCACTGTCACCGCTAAGCGTCTTACTGCCCCGAACGCCACATCCCGAGTTGATCAAGGCCAAGTTCCCACTGTTGCAGGCCGTACTTTTGCTAATGGCACCTGCGCGATACAAGGCACTGAGGTTGTGGAAACGGCAACTGTTTCTGCTGGAAAGGCCACATTCACTGTAGGGGCTTCAGAGGCTCTCCTGGTGTTCTTGTAGATCATCCTTCTTGGTGGAGAATCAAGGCCCGCGATTAAAGTGGAATTTTGAGCACCAAGGATCGGCGGGGAAGCCCGCAAGCGCCACCGGGGATTATCTCGTTGGGGCTTAGTGGCGGTGTTTAGGGCATGCGGGGGTCCGTCACTAAATGCCACCTCAATGAATTCATACTATACTCTTCGATCAACTGTCTGCAGAATCCTTTTGTTTTATTTGTGAAACTAGCACAAAATCCCTTTCAATATGGCTATAAAGAAGAAATCTCCTGATTTTTCGGAGCGTTGAGCCCTGGAGATTTGCACCAAGTCATGCACCAACTTTCAGTGCCATCACAATTTCAAAAAGCCAGCCAAAGTATCGCCCCCAGTCTAATCGGACCTTCGGGTAAGCTTCAAGCGAAGCAATTGCCGTACTTTCTGAGCAACCACTCAGAAACGTCCTCACAAGCCAAGACAGCCACTCACTTTGAATCACACCAATATCAGCTGAGAAAATCTTCAACTCGGCAAATGAACCACAAGCATGGATTGGCCTGGTTTCTCTAAAATGACGGCGGTGTCTGCTCGCATATCGCAGCTAAATTACGGGGCCCCGGATCCCCGCATTTTGTTTCCTTGTCCTTTTTGGCCCACCTCCACCTGGGCATTAGAGTTTACATTTTTGCTTGTTTTTCTTTGGGATAAACGCAGCATATAAAGGCGATCTCTTTTGTTCATGTCCAGATAGGTTTGAACCCACTGTTTTCTCGCGATAGTGCTTTCACGATGGAGAAAAACACGAACACCGAGGCTATCGAGAATGTGACCCGCGACGAAAGGGAGGATGCCCCAATCAAGAGCATGGGTCCCATTATGCGGTCTCATGAAGATGACCTTGGTATGTTCCAATGTATCAGGCGATTCAAAACCGTGTCGTGGGTCGCCATGCTTGCGGCGTTCAGTGCATCACTTGATGGTTATCGTAAGAAATACCCTGACTTGACAGCTGGATATTACAGTACTAATCGGGCACTCAAGAAATCAATCTCAATGGCGGCATCGTTTCCAACAAGGGCTTCATTCGGCAAATGGCAGCTCCTGGCACCAGCATCATCGAAGGAAAATACATCTCTGCATGGGGAGGTATCCAATCAGCAGGTCAAACAGTTGGTCAGATTGTATGCAATCACTCTATCGAACACCCTACATCCCATTTCTCACTGTCAAATTAGTTTCTCCAATACGCAACAGAAAGGTTCGGTCGCAAAGTCGCCTTCTACATCATCTGGGTCGATATCGTCATCAGTGTCTTCATTGAGACTTTCGCGACAAAATGGGAACACTGGCTCGTTGCCAAACTCTTCTCCGGCATGGGTGTCGGTATGCTTCAATCAACGATGCCTTTATACCTATCCGAGATCGCACCCACACAGCTGCGAGGTTTCTTCATCAACGCATACAGTTTGTGAGTCTGCAAATTCTCATCTGGGCGCTTTTCTTGAGACTCACGATTTCTAGCTGGTTTGTGTTGGGGCAGATCTTTGCTTCAGTGGCTCTTCAAACGCTTAGCAAAAATGACCCTTACGACTTCCGGGTTCCTATCTATACACAGGTGTGTCAAATCTCTTCTAATCCATCTATCTTCCGGGTCACATCTTGCTAACCATAATCTTCAGTGGGCTATGGTCGGATTGATTGCTGCCATTTTCCTCGTTATCCCCGAATCGCCGTGGTGGCTTGCCAGTCAGGGCAAGATCGACAAGGCGGCCAAGGTTCTGAATTGGTTTAACGGTAAAGTTGATGGATATAGTGTGGATGAACAAATTGTGAGACACCTTCTCGACATTCAACGTCTATGGAAAGACCAATCACTGATATTGTCCAGGAAATCATGACCGCAACGATCACCGAAGAACGCATTGTCGCCGAGCGCAACGCCGAAGAAGGTACATGGGCTGTGTTCCAAGGAAACAATCGAATTCGATTCCTCATTGCAGCTTGGCCTAAGATCGCCCAGCAGCTAGTTGGCTTGGCTGTTTTCAACACCTATGCCACTTATTTCTGTAGGCATGCAGTGTATCATTTGGGTTTCTTAATGCGACTAACATGTATCTCAGTTCAATATGCGGGCAGCAAAGACCCATTCATGGTCACTGTCATCCTTTCATGTGTTCAACTTCTGTCTATGATCTTGACTGCTACGACAACTGACAAGCTCGGTCGCCGCCCACTGACAATTTACCCCTACGCAGTGACATCGGTCTCTGTTCTGTGTCTTGGCATTATCGGCTGCTTCGATTATACGAGACCAGCAACTAGCTCCCTTCTTGTATGTTATGATATCGGGTGAAAATTGAGCGTGCAACTGATGGCTCTTAGATATTCTTCGCTTGTCTGGCCACCCTCTCAACAACCGGTGCATCGGCTATCGGATACGCCTACGCGGCAGAAATTCCCCAGCAGCGTCTGCGCGCAAAAACAGCTGGCTGGGCGCTGGCATTATCAAATGCGATCGCAATCATGTTCAGTTTCTGCACACCTTTAATGATCAACAACGAGCCCGTGTCAGCTTGGGGCGTCAAAACGGGTTTCTTGTAAGTACAGCTGATTCAAGTATCGCCAAATTCTAACCAGAGTCTGCCTTCCATAGCTTTGCCGGAACTGGTACGGTTGCTGTGTTTGTCGCTTGGCTCATCCTTCCTGAGGTCGCACGCCGCACCCCTGCTGAAATTGATGAGATGTGAGTTGCTATGGCAGACCGAGCTTACACTTTTTTATACTAACCCCCGTTCTTAGGTTTGAGAAGAAAGTTGGTCTTCGCAAGTTTAAGGGCTATGTCACTGAGGTGCAGATGCGTTCAAATGAACAGTATGATGAGCATGAAATGCGTTAGGATTTGGATATGTTAACGCTAGCATGTTATTATGTTCTTAATGGATGTGATTGCTTCTAAAGTTCGAGATGGGGACGACTTGGAATGGAATCGATCATTAGAATCCGAATATACACTCTGAGGGTTACGGATAGCGTCTTTTGAATAAGATAGAAAAAGAGCCAAAATAGAGAGGTGTTTGCCCATAGAAGGACAGATCAAACTTCAGGATGTGAGGTTTTTCCCAGCTCAGAGACATACTTAAGTACAACATCAAAGATATATCCAAATAAACTGCAATCTCTAGGTTGATTATAGAACTGCATCATTCTAAAGTTTAGCCTTGCCGGTGACACAAAGTGGCTATGGTGATCATCCATACAAGTGTTGAGATCAAGATTGATTAGGGCAGTATTTGTGTTGAATAGCACATCTTATTTTTTTAAAAAAAAAAGTTCTCTCTCTGTACTCAATATCATCATACTTGAGGCCTATGTTGATTGACCTGTGTCACATGCCATCTGTAGATGGTGAGGTTCCAATCCGATTCTAAAACAATGTAGGCCCTACTTCCTTTCACGCAGCTCGCATGGCTTAGTGGTAAAGCGCATCAGTAAGCTTTTCTGTACCGTCAAATCAGTTGACAATTTACTAACCAAATTTCAGCTCGTAAATCTATTGGTGAAATGATGAGATCCCCGGTTCAATCCCGGGTGTGAGCAACATTTTTTTTCTGTCCTATCTTGAACATTTATTTTGTTTTTCTTCAATTTATTGGTCTGCGGGTTTCAATTGCCTAGCGTAGTGAGAACTTAGAAAACACAGGCCCTAGGGCAGTGTAAGGCATAGTAGATCCCCATGGCAGGGGGTACTTGGTAGTTTGCGTAAGTAAACAGTGGCCATGCGTACATAGCAATGTTGAATGCAGCATATTCTCAACTATTTCTATCCATAGATCAGACTTTGGGTGGAATTTATATGCCTTTGTATGCCCAAGTACAGAGTATATCGACTCGTAACTATTTCTAAGCTGAAAATTCAACACAGTCCACAATGCCATAATTTCTCACATCCTCACCAATTGGACACTCGACAAGTACCTCAACAGGCCTCTCGAATTGCACCTTGACGAATTTCTGATTCGCCTCGCCAGGACTCCACGATACTGTGGCAACATTATCACTACCCAAAGCCACACTCACCTCTAACCTCTCAGCCAGACTCAGACGTGGCTTGAACAACACTTTAGTCCATCCCGGTACCAAGGGTTGAAGACCAGCGACTTCGACGCAGTACTCATAAACCGGCACACTCCCCCAAGCATGGCAATCCGAGCGCTGTCTCACATCATCTTCCTCCCAGGTGGACAGATTATTCGCCAGCATCCCACGCCAGGGCGCCCACATGCTTTCCCAAAATGACTCATAGACCCCATTCCCAACAGACGAAAGTGCTCTGAAGGCATAGAAGCGCATCATATACGAGCATTTTGAGAACCGGGGGTCCGTAAGCGAAGTAGTCAACACGCGTTGACCTTCCGGGGAGTCCAACATTCCAGCCAGGACACCAAATACCTGACAGTGCTGAGAGTAGGCCTGATCATCGGCAATGTCGGCAGTGGAGTCTGTGAAAAATTGCCCATCCCAGCAATGGGTCCGAACAGCTCGCAGGACCGAGGCGGCTCGCTCTTCGTACTCGGATGCGTGGCCTGGTCGACCTAGGTCCCGCACTAGACTAGCTGCTTTTTGTAGGACGTACCCATACAGCAGACTGAAGTATGTGTGTCTGTTGGATTTGCGACCGGATGTTGGTACGCCCTTGTCAGGGTGGTCGTCTGTTGCTCCCCAGGTCGTGACCCAGTCGACGTATTGCCATACCACCTCTGGCAATCCGCTGACGAGACCTAGCTCGTCGATGTGAGAATCGAAGAAGTCGAGGACGCCGTCGATGCGAGGGATAAATCCCCGTGCGTACCGTGTATCGTTGAAGTACAGGTGGTGGTCGCAGACCTGCAAAATCCAGTAGAGGGAGAACCCAGCGATGACTTGAGGGACGTGCGATGGGAAGCGAGATTGCGTGAGTCCTAGAGGTGTAACTGAGGCGGCAAAGTTTGTTATGGCCTGTCGCATCAGGCGATCGTCGCCAGAGAGGAGGTAGTGGAATAGCCCGACAGACCGACTATCTCCAGAGTACCTATTAGGTGATTGTTAGATGAAGCTTTTGGGGGTGAGTGATGGTACTCACTGGAGTTGCTCGTAGAAAGGACAGTCAGAATATCCGTCAAACATGCAATTTCGCATAGTCCGAATTGAAACATCCCACATCTGACCGCTATATGCGTCTCCAGGTTGGATCCAGCGGGCTTTTATAGCCATGGGATAGTTGACTTGAGTGGCAGTGAAGGAGAGTAGTTCAATCGGCTGAGGTCCGATCTCAATTTCCACGCGCAAGAGACGGAACGTTCGAAACCAGAATGGCTCATAGACCACGGCCTCGAGATCTGAGACTTCCAGTGTCACTTCGTCATACGGACCTATGATATGGCCAACACTTGCGTCAAGTCGGTCGGCCTTGGATCGGAAGAACGGGTACGAGCGAGGCTCAAGCTCATAGCCCTCCGAGTACGTCACCTTGAATTTGATCTGAGAAGCACCCCGGACTGTCTTGAAAGCCCATCGGAGAAAGGCAGTCGAGTGAACATCGGCCTGAATGTCGACCTTGTGTACTGAATTTGCAGGAAGTGTCAAAGACCCCTTTCCACTTAAGAACGCAACCCAGTCGCTTGCATCAGCACTACCATCGCAGGCTCGGATGGTGTTCACAGCAACCGGGGTCGACTCAGGCATTGGAATGACCCGTGGCTGCAAATGCCACGGTGGAATGTCCCCGTTGAGAGTCTTCATCTTGTACGCAACGGGTTTCAAACGAGGACCAGGATTTGTCGGGACAATGCGCTCGCTGATCTAGAAGCCGTAAGCACGCAGCCAGCACCCTGATCCACAGAACAACTCACATGGAGAAATACATCATCCGCCAAACCCATCGGAAACCGAATACTCTCATCAACGCATGCAGCCCATCCATCCAGTGTACTGATATCGACAGTCTCGGCACCGGCCTCGATTTCACCTACAACCGTCAATCCTGGCAACGCAGTTCTCTCAAAGGGCATTGCACTGCGCGAGGCGGCAAAGTACCGCACAACCACGAATCGGATCTCATTGTCGCCTTCTTGTAGAAAAGGCGCGATGTCCAGGGTATCGTAGTACCAAATCAAGGGACTACTTCTGCTGGGTCCGACTGCGACCTGTCGTCCATTGACGTATAATTTGTATCGCGTGTCCGCGGAAAAATGTAGAAGTGATCGCGTTGGTTGCGATGCAAGATCAACGGTGCGGGTGAAGTGGACGATCTTCCCCGCTGTGTTGTCGGCGGAATCAATCCACTTGGGGACCCAGATCCAGTTGGCTTGGAGGTTGGCCTATGCGCGGTTAGATACATTGTATTCATGTTTGGAGAGAATTTACCTTTGTCTCTGCCATTTTTCCAAGTTGCACCTGGTGTTCTGCTCGATGCCCTCTACATATTGTACTGCGTCGGGTATGAGGACTGAGGGGGTTCGGGTCATCTCCATCCGAGCAGTTGAATTAGGGTTCTCGAAGTCTTCTAGAAGTCGTATCCTGGTCTTATTTTTCGACTTTCATATTCACGCTCTGTACTCCGTACTCTACAATTTCTAAAGTTGTATGGAGTTCTTTTTCATGTCCGAGAATTTGTCATAGAATCGCCCGGACTTGTCTCGGGGCGGAGACCAAGTGGATTTCGGACTTGGCCGGTCACAAGGTAATCGCCTCATACCGAGGCTGTGAGAAAGGGGCTGCGATCTGATAAGTAATGCTTTTTTTCAGTTTTGATTTAGAATGCTCCATAAGTGGGTGAGCCTTGTGCGTCATCTGCAAGGAGTTGAACACAATTTTCAGTCGTACATATGTAAGTTCTCAGTTCGCAACTGTGATCTCATTCTACATGGTATATAACATGCATGGTTTACTTACATATGAGCAAGATCTATTCTATATGCATGACATCCCTGGAATGATAGGGAAGAACCTTGATTTACGTGGCTTGATTCGATTTGGATCTATCTACTCGGTACCTGGCGGTGTATGCCTCACATGCACGAGTACGGGGTACTCCGTACTCCGTAAGTTCGTGTCTACTGCCCGTCAACAGTCGGATAGTCCGTGTAGTGGAAAGCCTTATCCTCGAATGGTCCATAGAATCGGGTCCGGTCATACGCAGCCAAGGGAAGCTTATCCTTCAGTCGACGCACCAGATCCGGGTTACTAGTGAAGTAACGACCATAGAGCAGGGCATCGTATTTCCCGGATTCGACGACACCCCAAGAATTCTGGTCGTCCCATCCGCCCGCGGAGAAGAACGGGGTTGAGCCAAAGATCTTGCGGAAGCGGTCCAGGGTCACATCCAGTAGACCCCAGCTCTCTAGGAACTTGTCCTTTTCTTCATAGCCGAAGATCTGCTCGTAACGCTGGCATGGAGTTAGCGCGAGCCAAACATATACACGGACGGGGGATACGGAGGACGAAGTACGAAATACTTACCGGCTCTATGAAGCTGACATACGACAGCGAGGGGAGATCCCTCTTGAGACCCTCGCAGAGGTGCGACCAGGTTTCGAGGCGCTGCTCGCCGCGCGCCTGATTGAATAGTCCGAATGGCGACAGTCGGATCGACAGGTTATGCTCCCCAATGGCCTTGGCGACCTCAGCCATCAGCTCAAAGACAAACTTACAGCGCTTCTCTGGGGATCCACCGTAGACATCGTGGCGCTTATTGATATTGGAGCTCAGAAACTGCTCTGGTAAATATCCATTACCGGCATGGATCTCAACGCCATCGAAGCCAATTTCCATGGCCAGTTTGGCGGCACTGCAATAATCACCGATAGTCTGTTGAATGTGCTCCACTGTCATTTCGATAGGCGGATGATTGGCGTAGGGAACGGGCTTAGTGGAGCCCGCGGGTGGATGAGAGTAACATTCCCCGGGCGAATCCCACACACTGGCGGACGGACAGACAGCGGGTGACCCGGTCATCTGTGGGATTGTGGCTCGACCAGCGTGCCAGAGCTGACAGAATATGATACCCCCTTTGGCGTGCACGGCGTCCACCACGCGTTTCCAGCCCTGGGCTTGTTCGGGGATAAAGAGGCCGGGAACTCCGGGCATGCCATTGCTCTGAAACCAAGTAATAAAAAGAATTAATTAGTGGGTTTTCTGGAATGTTTTGGGTTTAAAGTTCACGGATTAGGCGAGATAGACGTTTGGTTCCATGAGTTTGACAGGATAGAAATATAGATACCTCGAGTGATGGGGGAATTCCCTCTGAGATAATCAGACCCCCCTTGGTCGCACGTTGCGAATAATACTCCACTACCACGTCTCCAGGGACCCAAATACGATTGGGATGATCCGGGGTGCAAGGATGTAGAGGCTCTCCACGGTTGCGGGTCAATGGTGCATGAACAACACGATGCTCGAGGGTAAGGTGGCCATTAGAAATGGTCAGGGGCTGGAACAACCCGGACTGTTCGTCCAAGTAGTGGATAGTCATGGAGTCGTATTTCCGGTAACTTGGTTCTGTTCTTTGTTTGATGTATTTTCTTTTTTTCTTAACTATTTGTATAGCACAAGAATGGAGGGGAGGATTTGGGGCAAACATCCCCCCCTTGTGTGACCAAGGCCGATCAATTTACGCCAAAAAGAGGGCATGTCAAATCTGTCAAGGTGTCAACTCGGCTATAACCATATAGGGTTCGACTAAAGATCCAGCCGTGGCCGATAAAACGACGGCGCGACAGGCAAACACAAAATATTGGGTCGAACGGGCCCATACGAGGCGTCCGAGGCCCAGTGCAGACACTGCATCTGGTTACCACGGCCTCGGGGTGGCGGACGGAGCAGCAAGTGGAGCACGGAATATTCGCAAGCACAGCGTAGGAAACGAAACTCCACTCATCTCTACCCATTTCCTTTCCCGACAGCCGTCGAACCAATTTCCGGTGGATCTTGACGTCCGTTCCCCGATCAATTACCCCCCTCATTGGGTGCGCCACCCTATGTAGCGGTTCGATAGCTTTTCTTGTACAGTTTTTTTTTCTTTGCGTCAACACGCTCCACCGAAGATCTTCCTCTGTGTCAATCATCATTTTCACAAATCATATGGGGTTCGCCTGGACGAACCCGTCCGAGTGTTCTTTATCTACTCACTTTCCTGACATCCTGACCTTCCGGACATGCAGAGCCCACCATGTCCACTGAACACCCGGTAGATGTCTTGAACACAGTCAATCTCGTCACACAATGTCTGTGTATTCCAATCGTTACTCTCTTCGTTTGTTTGCGTTTTTATACCCGGATTCGTTTTAAGCAGTCCCTGGGGGTGGAAGATTGTGAGTACCAGTGAGGACACAATACGGAGTAAATGCTAATGAGTCTCTAGATGGCTGTCTGATCGCCTGGGTATGTTCGAAATTTAATTGCACCCTACTTATACTAACCCACAATTGCAGCTCCTGTTCATGGGATACTGTGGAATCAGTATCGTCGGTAGGTGCTTCCACCTCCCACTCTATACCACATACTCACCCGATACACAGTGGGCAATCATGGTGGAGGATATCACTTCGACCAACTCGACCCAGCGACAAAAATCCAATTCAAAAAGTTCTGCTACATCGCCACCATTCTTTACTGTCCCATGGCACTTTTCGTCAAAATCGCCCTCCTCTCCATTCTCACCCGCATCTTCGCTCCTTACCGCGGTAAAGTCTGGTTCATCTATATCTTCCTCGCCTGTCTCTGCTGTTACTACACCGTCGCTCTCATCGTCAAGATCCGCATGTGCGACCCTATCCCCATGTACTGGCTCGGCAATGTGCCCGGCGGAACATGCCTCGACCAGACCGCGGCCCTCATCGCCGATTCCGTGATTAGTGTCGTCAGTGACATCATCATTCTTGTGCTTCCTCTGCCATTGACTTGGTCTCTGCAAATGTCACGCAACCGCAAGTTGCGGGTCATGGGTCTGTTGGGTGCCGGTGGACTGGCTACTGGGTTCAGTCTGTACCGTCTGGTGCTCGTGCTGAGCAAGGGCAACTCGCCTGATCAGAGCATCGTGTTCATCTGCGTTATTCTATCCGGGTATGTGATTACTTCTCTACTTCTCATTGTCTTTTCTATTTCAACTGCTTGGAAATCTCTTGGCCTTCTCAGAACTAACGTTGTTTAGAAACGCCGAGGGTGGCATGGGATTGATCTGTGCGTGTCTGCCTGTCCTCAACGTCTTGCTCGCCTACTACAAGAAGGAGTACTCCACGCAGAAGTACTACCAGAACGGATCAAACGTCCCACTCAGCGAGAGAAAGACAGGTGCCACATCGAAGGCTGCTTCGGAGTGGGACAAGGCCACGAGCTTTGGCGACCAAAGCCATTTGATCTCGTTTGCTGGTGCCCCAGAGGCAGAGAGTGCTGATTCTATCTACAATCAGGATGGCATCAGGAAGACAGTCGCCGTGTCGCAGACTGTTGAGTCCTCATCATAGCCCCAGAGGAGGCTCGTTTCCCCGAATTGTCTTTGTATACCCACTATCATAAATTAATGAATTTTTCCTTCTGTTATCTTTCATTCACACAAAGCTGGTTCATTGTCTGTTGCTAATTCCATACCCCTGCTCTTCTGCTCGAGATCTCCAGGGGTTACAATCACCATTATCCATCGAGGTGTAGACCTCTTTGTCTACTCATTGTTTATCCATAGATAAAGATGCAATGTGGACTTCTTTCATCCAGAAATAACCCAACAATGGCTTTGGTCGTCTATGGTTTTTGTCTCGCGATCAAGGAATCAATCTTCAACACGGCACGGTGACCTCGAACCTGGATGTATAAAAAGCCTCTCCCCCCCTCGAATCTATCATCCATCATTCAAGATAACCATCACTTCACGATACAAATAGCTCCAACATCACAATCTAACTCACAACTTTACAAACCACTACCACTACCACTTACAGAAACCACAAACACTTACAACCATGTCTCAGACCCAATTCCCCCGACAGGATGCCTTCATCCGCGAATGCCGCCACTTGAAAGCAGACCTGGAAGTCCAAGCCGACATCCTCAAGTCCAGCCCCCAGAATCTAGGAACCGACCAGGTACGCGACATCGCCCATGAGATGAACCGAATCTCCCACCACGTTGACAACACCGTCAAGCTAGGTTTCGACATGATCGCCAACGAGCCCAACTGCACAGTCATCTCCCGCAATCTCCCCTTTTGGCTGAAGCAGTCTCACACACCCCATTCTGGATTCCAGGGTGTTCTCTACAGCATGCAACGCACAGTCGACCAGATTGGATTTGCACTGCGGAAGCACCCACGCAAGCAGCTCCCCACTAACCTCATCAAGGACCTTCGAGATATGGCTGGTGTGCTGGAAACTAACCTTTGTCTCAATGAATCATAGAGTAGTGCAGATCGGGTACTACGGAGATAGCGAAGGGTCCACCAGGACTTAAAATGGGAAATGTCAAAAGTACAAAGTAGACTTTAGACTATATTAGAACGTGGAACTGCAGGGCACGCGAGCTGATCAGCCCTGGAGCACTCAAAATTCAGTCTTTATTACTTTTGCATACGTATTACAGTTGGGGGCCAACACTAGATCTCGTAAGGATTGTGAAATGGCCAATCGGCTTTAGGAGTAGATCCATTGCGGCTAACGTTTCCCTTGTAGCTGGGCCAATCAGGAAACAAAGTCCACCCACGACAGCTCGAAAGTCAAAGAAAAGGGGCAACTCAGTTGATTAAAAAAAAAAAAAAAAGACAAAAAAGAAATCTCTCCCTCGGGGAATCGAACCCCGGTCTCCCGCGCTTATCAGTGTCAATGACAAGCGGAAATCATCACCACTAGACCAAGGAAGATGAGATGGCTGAGTTACTGCTCGGCCACTTGGCTGGTTGATGGAATGTTGATGAGAATATTGTTACAATAGCCTGCAACTAATTTAGCCACAATAAAAAATCCATATTCCCACACTAATTCTAATCCTCAAACATCAATTGATACCAAATTTTTATACTGATAGACGGTAACATCTATAGATGACAAGAATAAGCACAATCTTCACAACTTTAGAACTCCTGAGCTCGGAACTCCACCGAGCAGTTCGCAGATTCCTGCAGGTTCCCAGATTTCTGGGAAAGCTTTCCGATCCTGAAGGATTTGCTGATCGCTGATCCCTGTCTAGATGACGTCTGCGTAAGAGTCGTGGGGTCATGCGGTCAGCCTCCTGAATATCGAGTCAATTGGTCTAGAATCCTCGTACACACTCGCATACAACTTCAGGAGTATCAGATCTTCAATCTGCTGTGTCGGCGGGTATCTCGTCTGGGATGCAATATATATCCGATTCCATTTAATCGCGATCTTCCCGATCGGCTTCCCGCCGAGATCATTGCCTCGAAACGAACATTGGAACCTTGGAATTGACTCAGCAGCTTCTAAATTTTGGTAAGAATTCGCTGCTGATGCATCTACGATTATGTTCTGAGTTCCAGGGTTTAAGGTTCCAACTTTAGAACTTTAGAAGATCCACCTATAGATGAGCAACACTGGAAACAGCGCGAGAGTGACTGACTAGTAGCACACTGCTATTTAAGTCTTCAAGTATACATGTGCTTTCCAGACAACTTTAGAAGATCGAACATTCCGATGCTCTTATTCTACTCAAGTCTACAGGTATTGGAAACTGAACATAATCTGAAGACAGATAGATCATCAGCTATTGGAACTGCCTTCATCATACTTAAGTATGACCTGATGTTAGATGTCACCTGGGCACACCCATTCCAACTTTAGAAAGACAAAACATAAGATCCTGCAAGTTCACCTAAGAGCCGGATTAGGATCAAACAACCCCGAATTCGACCACAACCCATCCAACCCCGAATCAAACCCAAGAGACCACGACCCATCAATGAACGGCCACTGAAACATATCAGTCTCAACCTCATGACCCCCACCATCCCTAGGTACAAAATTCCCCTCTAGCCCAGGGGGACTCCCAGATCGGGAGTTTGCCGTATCCCGCGACTCGGCAGTTGCAGCTCTCGCATGCGCACTGGGCCGAGAACGGATATCGCCGTATTCATCCAGGGTTCCGGCCAATGCAAAGCCCTGCGGGCTATGTATCTCTGCTGTGGTCTGTGTGCTTTTGACCGTTTCGTAGAATCGGTTTGCGTCTTGGACTGTTCGCCACTGGATAATTGTTAGTTTGGGAATCAGGGGATTGAGATAGTTAACCTACCCAGCTGCGACCGACGGGCCATAGTTTGCTTAGTCGTTCTAGATAGGCGAGGTTTCGGAGTTTTTCTTCTTCGGCTCGCTCGAGGCCGCCGGGGTATCGGTGTGGTGCGATTGTTCCGTACATGTTGATGTGTGCTGCGACGAAGACGCTGAAGCCTGAGTAGGGTGATATGACTGGGGCGCCTGAGGCGTCTAGGGCGGCTAGGATGCTTCCTATTTGTTGGGCTGCTTTGAATAGTTGTTCGATTGTGTGTGGTTCGCTTTGGGTGTCGTTCATGTCGTGGAAGACGTCTGAGTGAGGCTTGAGGTTGGATAAGAAGCGGTCGCGGTGTAGGAAGAGAATGCTTTGAATTTGTTAGTAGAGACATGGCTGTGCTGTGTGGTGAAATACCTCATGCAATAGACCAGATTGATGTATGCGAACAGTTCCCCATACCCCAGAGCAACGTGAGTTTGAACACTGGTCGCCGGGTAATGAACAGTGATATCTTGAAGCGATCTCCACTCGTCTAGTTCTTCTTTGAGCTTTTGCCAGGTCAGTAAAAGTGGCGGTGTCACAGAGCCATTCGACGACAAAGAAGCCAACGATCTTCGATGTTCATTTGCAAATCGTAGAATACGAATGAATATGTCGAACCCACGGGTGACGATCGTCAGGCCATGCTCGATGGTGAGATCCTTTGCGAGTAGACAGCTCTTATTCATATCAGCAGGCATCAACCTGTGAGTTGGTGTATGGTTGAAAGTAAAATCTCGATCGCTGATCGGGAGAGGAACCGAGATCTGAGAAAATGAAAGCGCGAAATGCTGACGAGCCCCAGAGCTTAGCTCACAGTCTTGTGCAAAGCAACACCAATAAGTCCGAACCAACTGCTCATATTGCGTTTGTGAGGCATGGAAATCTTGAGGATTGTGTTCCATGCTGTCATCTGACATCTTTAACAGAGACTGTATCATGTAAGTTGCCATTCCTGCCGATTGTTAGTATGAGCCCGTAAATTTATAGAAAGACTGGTTGCTGACCGCTATACATCCATGCCTGATAGGGCCGCCCGGTCCCCCATTCATAAAATGAGATCATCACAAGTGACTGGGCGAGATAAAGCGATGGCGCCTCAAGTACACGATGAGCGAGATGCTTCCGTGCATAGTCGGCATATAGATCCTCTGCCTCAAGTTCCTCGCTGGTCATGAACCGCACGCAAAGAGATAGAAGCGAAGCGACAAAAACCGAATCCACGGAATGCACATCAGACGATATGTCAGAGATCAACGTGGGATAATGAAGGAAGTTAGTGATAGGAAACTTCTTCCTGTATGTTTCGACAGCATTCACCACAATTGCCGGAGATAAGGCCGTGATGGGATCCTCAGAGTACTGGTCGGGAATCTCAGGGATGCGTCGCACATTTTCCGGTCCCGGCGATACATCGGATGACGTTTTTCGCTTCTTGGGAGTCCGACTTGTGCTTGAGCTCTTTCGTGCTTTGGATTTCGAGGCACGGGGATCTGTCAAATTGCAATCCTTGGTTTTATTCTTTGAGCACCGCTGGCAAGGCGGTTGCCCTTCGTGGACACACTTGACCTTTGCTTGTCTGTATGCAATTAATAAAAGGTCAATCCACTTTCAATGACTGATCAAAGCTTACCGACAAGCATCACACGATATTGACAGCCTCATCGAGCGCACTATACCCCGGAATGGGAAGAACTCGGCTAGTGAGAAGCGGCCAGAAAGTGCGGAGCATATCGAAACGGGCTTCCCGGATCAAAGTAGAAGCGCAGCTACGCCATTAGTGTCGTTTGTCTCGCAACTGGAATTGAATGGTGGCTTAGTGTATGGAGCATGGGGAGTTGGACATACAAACTTCGAAATGGAAGATAACCAGACCGATCATGTGACCGGCCCTACACATACAATGAAGAATGAACCAAATATTTGAACTCGATATTATTATATTATATTTCTATCTGTAATTGCGCAGACACAGCCAGACAAATTAATTGTTCGCCATGGTCCACTGCCGCACCCAGGCGTTAAACTTGTTGACTTCCAGCTCATCCGTAGCCCAAGAAGTGACTAGCCGGACCACGGAGTTTCCATCATCAAGTTGCTCCCAGACATAGAATCGGAATCTGTCCAGCAGGTTCCGCACCAATGGCTGGGGAAGGACAACAAACACCTGGTTTGTTTCTGTCTCAGCAGCCAGTCTATAGCCCAATTCTTCGAAATTGGCCGAGATGCTCTGGGCCATGTTGTTGGCATGGGAAGCCAATTTAAAGAATAGGTCGGCACGGAACAGTTCCATGAATTGAACACCGAGGATTCGACCTTTGGCCAGCAAAGCGCCGTGTTGCTTAAGGTGGAAGACGAAGCCGTCGGCCAGTGCCTTTTTGACGATGATGGCCTCGCCCATCAGGGCACCGGCTTTGGTGCCGCCGATCCAGAAGATATCGGTCATTTCGAAGATATCTTGTAGTGTGAGGTCGTTCTTCGGGGAGGCGAGTGCTGTGCCGATTCGAGCTCCATCCATGAGAAGCAAGAGGTTTGATTGTTTGCAAATTGCCGAGAGGGTGGTCAATTCTCGTTTCGTGTAGACGGTTCCAGTTTCCGAGGCATTAGAAATATAGAGGAGGCGAGGCTTGGCCATATGAGGGAAGAATTGATTTTGTTGAATTGCCTTCTGGAGATTGGTGGGTGTCATTTTGCCATCGACGGCGGGCACCAGGATCAGCTTGTGGCCTGTTGCTTCGATAGCACCGGCCTCTTTGCAGGCGATGTGGCCCGAGTCAAGGGTGATGACAGCCTCGTAAGGCCGCAGGCAACTGGCGATTGAGATAAGGTTTGCGGAGGTTCCGCTTGGCACGAAGAAGATATCAGCCTCGTCTTCAGTACAGCCGATTTTATTCCGGATCAATTGACGGGCAGCATTGCTGAACTCGTCATTTCCGTAGGTGACTTGTTGAGTGGAATTGGTTCGCAAAAGAGCCTCGAGGATTTGGGGGTGGGCTCCTTCGCTATAATCGTCCATGAGGCTGTACGGAATACACGCCTCATCTTGGCATAGACTGGTTGCAGGCATTGTGTGATTTGCACTCTGTATATCTAGATCGATTACAAACTGTCAGAAAGAAAGAAAAGGCCTGAGTCACCGGTCTAATTATAAAATGGAAAAGAATCTTCGGGAATAATTTTCTCGGGAATAAATGGTGATTATTCCCGAGATGTGTCAAGGAATCCCTTGCGCCCCTTTAGCAGCGTCTCGAACCCGGTTCACCTCCATTTGTGGGTCGAATCGTGAGGGGACATGAGGGGTATGTTTCTGATTGGATTTTTGCTTTGGTTAATAGTTGATGCTTCTGTTGTGCAATGAACTCATACTGATCTCAACCCCGGTCAATCCGAGACGGTGAGATTCAGCATCAATCATCAATGGATGACACCTGGGCAGGTCTTGCGTTGTGTCATAATCTTCCTTGGTAAGCTGGAGAGCTACCGTGCGGGGGCAAAATTAGATGCGAAAAACCTGCCGCGTCCAGCCGCGTTCATATCGGGCGGGTCGATAAAGCTTCGACACCTGTGGTGTTCTGGCCATAACCGGATCCCCGTATGTGCGTATCTGTCCAATCTCTGCAGTGCGCGGGGCTCACGTAGCCTTGCCCAGGTGGAAACCCGATGTCCGGTGTTTGATCATTGATAATTGCCATCGTGGAGGTGACTGGGCACTGCCCTGGTCCAGATAGTAATTCGTCGAAAAGCGCTTGAGCCCATAGAACACATGTGCCAGGTACATCCACTCGTCATGATCGGCCACATTCAAGCCGATCTTCAAAGTTCTGTCTGGGGTGGCGGTGTTGTTTTCAGATTGGATTCCTAGTATTCGACGACTTCAGGAGACGAGAAAGAGTCTGGAACTTTAGAAGTCCACTGGGAGAAGAAGAGGTGAAGTCGATGTTAGTGTACTTCCAGAACTGAATGTGCACAGCTGGACGAATCAGACCACAGTGATATTCGGAGGTCGCCGATCCCGTCCTTTAGCGTCTGGCGTCGGGTTTTCAGTTAGCCATTGCTGATGTCGTCGCAGGGTCTTCGAGTGTATAAGTAGGAATGAGAAGTGTAATTTGAGTCTGCAACTCAAAGCTGTTATATAAATAGGTGAAATCTTCCCCGGGTTGAAGCGCGGAAGAAGCCGAAATCCTTCTCATCTGAGGCAACCTTGGCACATAGATATATGTATATAGCTACACCTCCAGGGCTCCGCGCATTAGATTCCCGGCATGCACAATAGTCCTGGGAATTACTAGTGGAGTATACGGACACAAAAGGGTATATAAATAACCACCTGGACACATCCATGGATGTTGGAATGGTTGGGGAATCGATGAAACCAGTAATATGTACACAGTGGGAACCACAAACCAGACAATAATGTATCCACAACTCCATCAAATGATACAATGATATATGCATGAAAGCCTTCGAACTAAATCGGGACTCTCAATCCTCATGCGGAGATTGGAGACGGACTCTCTCATCCGCGAATGCGCTTTCTCTACCAAGACGCTGGTAGAGTCTGACGCGCCAGCCACGAATAACCATATAGCTAGCGACGATCCCGCAAAACAGACAAATAAGAAGGATGAAAGAGAATGCAGCGCCAATGCTGCGAATGTTTTCGTAAGTGAGGTTCAAGACTGAGATGGTCTTTTGGGTTTCGGTATCGATGGCATCGGAGGACTTGCGACCTGAATCGGCCAGGTAGTCGCCTTCGGCATCGCCGCTTTCAAAAAGGGTGGACGGGTTCAGTGGTCTGGGACTCGACTTGCCCCTATATCCAGTGGACTTCCAATCGGGGTGATTGCTTCGGTGGACTTCGGATGTGCCGAGCACGGTGCCGTTGACATCTACAGCCTTGGCGGTGACCCAGTCCAGATATCCGGCGCCGATGAACATAGTTTCGAAGTCTACGCGGGGAGCCTTGCCGACGAACACTGGGTCATGGAAGTCGGAGGCCTGGGCATAGAAATGCCACTCGGCCACGTCGGTGGCGCCGTTCCAGCTGACCCAGACTGTTGTCACTATGTTAGTTTCATCAGTGCCATAGACAGAGGCTACCAAGTCGGGTGGTGTGTCGGGGCGTCCGGTGAATTCGAATTTATATGCTCGGTAGGAAGAGTAGCGTGGGGAGGTGAAGTTGGCTTCCAAGACAGCCTCTCCCTCCGCAGTATGTTCGGAGATATAACCTCCTTTACTCCAGCAAGTGAAAACATGGTCATTCGGGAGGAGTTGGGTGTTACCACGGAGCCTGGATAGTTGGTAGTCGGGTCGAATGTACCGTTTGACAACGCGGGCAGTCCAGGGTTTCACGCTGGTGTCCAACTGGACGAACATTGACGAGGATTGGTTCTCCTCGTTGAACTCCTCGTCCGAAGCGTTGTTCAAAAAGGAAATCAGGTGGTGCGTGCCATTGGACTCAATGAATTTCGCATCGTGCTGCTTCGAGAATGTGAAATCTTGCTCGAAATCACTATACTTTCCACCTAGCCGCCACATGATGTTTCCATCCATGCAAGAGATCAGGTAGATTGTGTTCGTGAATCGCGCAGAGATCAAGTAGTCCCCAATTTCGTTCTTGTCGATTGAGTTGATATGCACATAATCCCAGCCAGGGTGTCCCTCCACCGGCGAGCTTGGGGAATAATGAACGGTCTCGGGGAGAGGAATGCGGTTGTAGGAGTCCCACCACTGGATCACCTCTGCTGTGTTGATGTCGAGTTCCGCAAAGCCACCACTTTCCAACCATGTCTTTTCCCCAGGTCGGCCATACTCGTCTAAGCCAATTTCGTGGGATAGGTAGACCGTGACCAGCGCAGTCTTACCATCCTCACGAACTTTGAACTCGTGAATGTCGAAAATACCCAGATCGCGTCGTAGAGGAAGCTTGCGTTCCACCTTGTAATCGTTGGTCAGGATCATGCCATATCCGGTGTCTTCGGCTCCGTCCCACGCGTGATTCAAGATAAACGAGAGTTGTGGATCGGCAGATAGGCCATTGACGACCCTGAAATCAAAGGCATTCCGGTTATCGAACTGCTGAGCGCCAGACCAAATCAGGTGCTGAGAGGTTACGGTCAGCTGAATGGGATGTGTGGCGGGGGAAGGAAACATACTCCTTCGCCATCGTAAATATGGGGGCCAATCTGGTATTGCTCGTAGAGACTGGAGGGCGCATCGGGCTCAATGTGCAAATACGGAGTGACGAACCAGTAGCCTGGACTGATGCGATCGCGATTATGGTGGTGGACGTTGAATTTGACGGCCCTCACGTCAGGAAGCTGGGAAACACGGTGTCAGTGCGGACTTGGGGAGTTGAATGGATGAACCGACTGTAACGAATGACATGAGATCATCGCTGGAATACTGTGCCAGCACTGTCTGGCACAGCCATAACAGCGCGATGCTGGGGAACAGCATTATTCTCAAAGGAGTGTGTGGGAGTTGAAGGAGGGAGAATGAGTGCCATGAAGGGCCTAGACAGGCAAAGATGCCCGCGGATCGAATAAGCCCCGTGGGGCCAATGGCAGGGACTGAAGGGTGAAGTCTGATATCATTGGACCCTCTGGCAGGGGAAGGGGGTTGAAACGGAGGAAAAAGTGGTGCTGCGTCCCGTCAAGTCGAAGATAGTCCCGTGCCTCGTCAGCTTAATCCATCTATACGAGAACTCTGTACTCTGCACATATATAACCATGCTCATATGTCTTGAATTTTAGGGGAAACTACTTACCTCAACAATCATCAAACTATGAATCAAAGAAAATAGGATGAAATTGGTATAGTACGGTCGCAATATGACATCATCGCCAAAGATCAAATATAACTTAAGTTGTATAGATCAGTGTAAATCATATATTTAGTGGTATCTATAACCTGCCGTAGGTCACCGAAAGGGCATACTCGTCGAATTGCCAGGTCTAAGTGCTATAATTTGCTCACTGAGCACATGTGAGAATCGGATCGGTGCCTGAGGAATGAGGCATCCACACCTGAACACCCAACCCTCCTAAATTCTCCCAGACCTTTTGCTCTCTTCTTCTTCTTCTTCTTCTCCCTAGCTTAGTTCTCTTATTTAAATGGACCACTTTTCTGCGCCGCTTCACACATGCCACAGCTCTAGAGGTCTACATAATTACTATCGTCCATCAGAGGTCCCCTCATTTACACACAGGTGAAACAGGGTACTGCCTACTCATATTCGAACCCTACTCGCTCATACAAATTATCCACTATTCCCACCTCATATCATTTCTGTGCCTCTTTGTTTAATTCTGATCCCCTTTGGCGCTGTTGCTTTATCGCTATCATCTTCAAGTTGTTTTCTTGGTTTCCTAGCATCTCAGAGCTTCCACCAAGACTATTACAATCAGTACGACTTAGGACTCAAAGTTAGAACATTTATCATGTCGCAACAAGAAGTCCCGGCCCAACACTCCAAAGCGATATACTCCGAATCCACTCAAACCTATAGTGACGATGGAGCTCGTCATAAGTCAGACGAGGAGCCCATGGTTTACAGGATTCCAAGAGACTACGCCACTATGGCACGTCGGGAGCGTGACAGCCTCCTTGCAGAGGGTGCTGATCCTGACTCAATTATCCTACAAAGCGAAATACACAATTATGTCCCTCGAAGAGAAAACGACTCTGTCGACGAATATACGAAGCGCTACGCCGATACTATGAAGGAAATGATTCGTCGCGGTGTTCGGATTCTGGATGACAAGCTTACTGGCGATCACATGCCATCCATATTCGGAACCACGTCTGGGAAAGTTTTTGACTTAGGCCCCGAATCTGGCGCGACAAAGGGGGAGTATCGAGAATTTACGCAGTGGCTCTGGGGAGTTCAGGGAGCAGAACAGATTGAGGTGCCGGAGAAGTGGTTGAAGTTTGAGAAGCCAGCCGAGGGGAAAGATGAACAGCAATAGCTGAGATAGGCTAGGGTTATGTATTCTAGATTTACGGTACTTCGAATTATTTTCCTATCCTCTGCTTCTCATCGACCTGAATACGCATTCGTGAATATAATCCAACACACCACTGCTAGTACATACGGGGATTATCTCAATTGTAGATATTACGCCGGACAAGATCTATAGATCTCACTTGAGCAGTTCATGCAGTCGAAATCGCAGTAGATATTCAAGTGTAATTAGATACATATGACGGAGACCGCTGCAATTTATAGCCTTCAATGTTGAATACGACATGAATGGAGCAAGCACCCCTCCTAAACAGTAGTAGTTACAAGTATGCCACAACTAATGTGTGACTCCCCATATTCGAATAAATAATACTGGTAAGGCTCATGATTGAATTGGCCTACTCAGCTTTCAGATGTTCCTCCGCTAGGACCTTCACCCCTGTCATGACCTCACGCATAGTAAGATCTCGAGCCACCCTTGGTCCGACTATTCTTCGACCGCGCCTCAGCAGCCACGGGATGAGTACAGAAAGGAGACAGGATGTAGCTCTTCGAGCTACATCTTGTCAACCTCCTGAACCCTGCCCATCTGCCCATCTGTCTGTCTATATTAGCTCCTAGCCATATGAGAACCTGATCCCGCTCCGCACCCTGACAACTAGATCCCCTGCCAAAGCATTCTCTATATATACGCGAGAGCGGAAATCGCCTCTCCGTCAAACTGCATGAGCAGCCTGGTCTCCCGCACACATAGGAAATACCCCGCGGTGACCTCATCAGCTTGACTGCACTCCGAGGCCCCCGCGGTAATAAGAGCTCAAGCTCCCGGATCCGCTGAGAACTACTTAAGTAGAACTTATTTCGGAGTCTTCCGAAGCTTCTAATTCTAACTCTGAATCTAATGTTAACAATAAACCATTTTATTCGAAACTAATGAAGAGAACTAAAAAGTCGACAATTCGTAATTATACCTTCTCTTACCTATTAAATTGACTACGTACTACCAGAGACCGCAAATGCGGCCGATTCACCTTGTATACTTAAGTACTCTCAAACATTAACAGGACATAAGAGTGATATGTACAAGTCATAGAACAATAACCAAATATACAACGGAAGCCCAGGAAAAAAAGATATAAAACACCCGGAATGCAATGCAAAACCCCAACAGGAAACCGAAGAAAAACCATCATGCAGGATCACGATAATTCCAAAGTTTCTTCCTCTCCATAACCCACCAAAGGCCAACCTTCTCCGCCTTCTGAGCCCACTCAAATGCCTCAGGTCCATGTCTCGAATGCACCTCCGCAGCAAGCGCACTCATAGTCCAGCCCGTGATAGGGTCAAGCTCATACGGATCTTTATCTAGGTGCGTAAAACGGTACTCGAAGTCATTGTTGAGAGGGAGGCTCAGACGCCAGGGCACGGCAGCAGAGCCAACGCTCAGCATTGAGCCGCCTGCATTAATGACGCCCATGTTCCATGCTTCGCGGCCGTTGTGGGAAGTGCGGTAGGGGCGGATGAGAGATTGGCCTTCGTATTCGTTTATGAGATCGAGGGCGATTTCGGTGTCATCTTGGTTTAGGGAGTTGGTGTTGATGAGAAGGTCGAGGATGGTGGGGAGGATGGAGATGGCGCTTCCGTTGACATTGAGATGCATGCGGGGGAGGAGGGGGTGGTGGAAGAGTAATGGGACTCGGAAGTTGCTGATGTGTGGGTTGTGGTAGGTTCCTGTTGTGGGACAGTCTTCGCTGAAGGCTTGGCCGCTGCTTGGGTTAGATGTCGTTGGGTGAGTGGGATTCGAGGATACTTACTGGTCTCCGACGAAAACTGTCAAGGTCTCGTCGGCGATGCCGGCGTCTTTGAGCAATTTCATCAGATCGCCTAGCCAGGTGTCGACAAAGCGATTCGCGTTCAGGAAACCGTCCATATGCTCATGTTGGGATTTGTGATTTTCCCCAAAGTATTCTTCGCGAGTGAACCCTTCGGGTGTACCCCAAGGGTGGTGGGTGGTGCTAGTAAAGTGGGAAAGGAAGAGTCGTTTGTTTTGCCGAAGTGTTTCATCGATCATGTCCTTGATATAGGGACGAGCTTCTGTCTCAGCATAACTGCATCGGTCAAGTTAGCATCAATTTCCAGACACGCCAGTGTACGTTTCACATACCCAAAGTAATTGATCTTCTCCATTCCCTCGTGGAAGTATGTCGAATTTTCCATGTCAATATCCTCGGAATACAAGGACTGATTGAAACCAAGTAAATCAATCAGTCGAGTCTGTTCCTGGAACTCTCCAGTGACCGACTGGGCATAAATGGCCTCCCACTCCCGCTCAAGAGGGTCACTGGTTGAATTTTCCGACGGCGCAAGACCCTTGCGCTTGTTAAATAGATCCAAAATGTGCATCAAACACGGTTGATACGGAATAATATCATTCTCATGCATGAAATCCACTGGCAATGGACCAAGGCCGCAGTAGTTGACAAGACGGGATTTAGCAGAGAGACTGCTCCCTGACAAAATCCCATCAAAGCTAAGACCACCCAGTCCTGGGTTTGTAGAATCGGCAGACATGCCAAAGCCGGATTCTTCGCCTGTTAGCATTTCTGCTATGGGCGTTATCTGGGATAGCTTGTCGTGCAGATCTGCCTCGTCTTCTTCTCCGTAGATCTCATAAGTATCGCGAATTTGACTGTACAGCCGAGATGTGTTCTTAAGAGGGAAGAGATCTTTCCTTCCGCTTTCCAAAAAGACGAAGACGATATGGTTGATTGGAATAGCATGATCCTTCAGAGCTTCCTGCAGAGGGGCTAACGGTTCCAAGTCCAAATTCGATATTCTCATAGGATCCTGAGAGGGGTTATAGAAATAGTGTCGTGGCTCAGCCGTTTTGTTCTGGCTTTCGGGATTATGTTTGATGTTTGTCGCGGGTACACTTTCGTTTGTTGCAAGTTCGTTCCCTAATTCTGCTTCGGGACTCACCATCCATCTTTCAAAAGCTGCAGGTAGAGGACCCTGTGCCCAGAATGGCTTCTGGTTGCCATATCCGGTGTTACCATGGTCATCCAACGTTGGTGCCCAGCCCTTATAGTGACCACTGGCGGGTTCCCGGAACTCCTCGGCCATCAGTTCAGGCAGCGGGAAAGTTTCCACTGCAATCCGACGGGCCCGGGAGTGTTCCCCAAGCATCGTGAACGGGAGAGCCCCGGTCATATGATTGTAGGGCACTGCCGGGCGAATCAACCAAAGAATGATAGTCACACCACTCGCGATGAGCGTCCAAAGTCTCGACTTGTTAGACACCAGACTTCTCAAGTCCGAAGGTCCGGGAAGTTGGTGGTATATCTTTGCATCCCCCAGATGGGCGAGAGAGGTTAGCCAGCGGCTCATGAGATTCCAGATCCCTTGAGCCGCTAGCCAAGAAGCCACGGAAAGGACTGTGGCGGTAGCCACCATGGGGGCCAGCCCGCTCAGAATCAAGTTCATCCCTTGGCGGCTGGCCCCCACAGACCGGGCAGCATCCCATCGAATCTCGCTTCCGGTTTGAGAGTAAAAACTGACCTGCGACGAGGTTGCTAACAGATCAGTGCATCTGTTGGGGGGAAAGAGTCAGTATGTTTTAGGATAAATCAAAACAAAGGATGAACCCACGCGATAAATGCCGATCCAATTACGGCGGCCACCGACCACCGGCCGGACGTTGTATGTAATAGAATCCATACTGTGACGAAGAGAAGGATCTCTTGAATGAAGAATGTCGGGAAATATAGGGCCAACAGCGACAGTGGCAGCGAGCGATGTTGATATATGTGCAGTAACTTGGAACAGACACCCGAGAGCACCAAGACCGACAAAATCAATCGCTGTGGCTGATGAAAACGAGGGACAATCATGATAGTCCGATGCACCAAGCCGCAACCATCAGGGACTCTAACGCAGTTCGACGCGCTCTATCTGAGTGCGAAGTAGGAGCAAGGAGGGAGAGAAAGGGGAAAATCGAAAGGGCGGAAATCGACTGCTCGTGTGCTCCACAGCATTTCGGAGTTGTGCAGCGCCACAAATCTGTAGGGCGGATTATAATTGCCAATTGTCTGTCGGATCGTGCGGGTGCGCTAGCAGCCAAGACAGTGGCGCCCAACGGAAAGGGGTGAGGGTATTCGTAGTCTCACACTCCCTGGCCTTTGGGGTGTCATTGCGATTTGAAGTGATCAGCGAAGATCGACACAGCCTTATGATAATCCGTACAGAGGACTCCGTAGTCCATTCCGAAGTGTAACAGCGTCTCAACAAGTTTCAAGTAGTGGGTCGGTGGGCCTGAGCCTCAGTCCGAACAGGGGGCCCTGCAGCCCTGTGTACGGAAGTACGAAGTTGTGCACGGTGGACTCTTGGCAGGTTTACGCTGTTGCCTCGTACTCGGACAGCCGTAAACAGCGTATACATCGTATCCATCGTATAGTATGCCCAGGTGGAGTTCATCGCATACATAACACGTCGCAAGTCGGGAGTGGGGAGTTCCCGTGTCGCTACCTCAAGTTTTACATAAAACACGGAGAACCCCATAATTCATACTCTTCATACTTGAGTACTATGCACTACGAGTACACGTACACCTCACTACTTACTCGTATATCCAAGGAGCAACAGCCTGAACCCGAAAAATTGTGTGAATACTATTATAATATAAAGCATCCTTCAGATCCCCCTACAGATCCCGCAAAGCCAGCACGGTCTTCAGATGTTCGTACCCAAGCTCAACCTCCTTCGACCAGGCCAGCAGACCAGCAGTCTTAATGACATTTTTGATCTGCCGACCATTCAACGGCACCTCTGCCATCTGATCAAGTTGCTCATCCGTAAAGACCTCACTAGAGCGGGTAAGGAACTGTGACCAGATATGACGCCGGGAAGCGATATCCAGTTCCTGGTAGTTGAGAGAAATGTGGATTCGCGACTCAAAGGCCGGATCGATATTCTGTGCCCGGTTGGTAGTCAAGAAGAGGATTCCCTAGACAAGATATCAGTCACCAATCTCATGGTTCATGCTCACGAAGACTCAAACTCAACATACCTCGTAATATTCCAGCATTCGCAGGAAAATAGATACCAGCTCATTACGAGCAAGGTCTCTGGCATCACGAGCTTCCATAAAGACATCCGCCTCATCCAGCAACAGAACAGCTCCCCACCGTGGAACAGCCTTGAGGATCTGCTTCAGACTCCTTTCCACACTGCTAGCCTCCATCCCCAGGTCACCGGCACTCATTACATAAAGAGGCACCTTCATGACCTCGGCAACACTCTCTGCCGTAAGCGTCTTACCAACACCAGGCGGACCAGCAAGCTGCATAATAATACCACGACCCTTACCCTGGACGACATCATCAAAGGAATCCAATCGTTTAGACTGGGCCTTCGCGACACCCAGAATGACCTCTTTGAGTCCCTGTTGCTCTTTCGGCAGGACCAGGGACTCGAAAGCGCGCTCGTCCCAGGTGATCTCGTGTGAGCTTTCGAGGTAGAAGATCAGCCATTCTTTGTCTTTGAGGGAATACCCGTAAATCATAGGAGAGGCAAGCAGGAGCTGAGTATCAGTCAGTTCATCTTCCTCGATATTGCTGTCCACGCTGATTGTCCCGTTGGGATGGAAGATGTTGTATGCGTCTGCGTCGATGATAATTCGTCCCTTCACGTGGTACTTGGTATCCCGTGCATTGGGATCATCTTCGTGATAATCTCTGCTGATGGCGGGGCCATCGTAAGCCTTGAAGTGATACCCTTTATGTTCTTCCCAGCGCTTTCCACGCGCAGCCAGGATTTCCCGAATGGATTCTTTTTCAGGGTGGTATTTCAATGGGAATATAGGCAGAGAGGTAATAGGTACTGTTCCTGTGAATGTGGGAATAGCGAAATTCTCAGAAGTGTATCCGAATCGACTGCCGTCGAAGTCAACATGGTCGGCATACAGGCGCCAACCACACTTGGTCAGAACCATACTGTCGAACTGGTGGCCGCGGAGGAGACCACCGACTGAGGAAACGACCACGTCGTGGGGTTCCATGATTGTCCAGGCTAGTGGGAATGTGATGACGCCGTTGGCGACGAGGTCCTTTTTGCAATCGATCACATCTCGTAGCTCTTCGTCCATGATTCTATAGAATAGATCCACATGGGTTTTGGTGGTGGGGTCTGTTTCCTCATCGCGGAGTCTGATTATATCTTCCCATCTGTGCACGAATGGCTTGAAGGGCGCTGTGAACTCCAGACGATCGAGTGTGGTGGTCACGCCTGGGTAGTTGTCTAGTACTTTGCCTAGGAAGGTTTTGAGGTGTTCACTTTGGACGACGATGGAGTGAACAGACAGACTCTTTCGTCCATCGTAACATTTTTCTTTTCTGACTAGAAGGGCATATTGGGCAGAGTCGGCATCTTCAGCAGGTTCGGGGAGGTCTGATGGGAGATCTCTGGTCCATGATCGATTTCCATCTTCATCGGGCTTGGTCTGGTATAGGTTGCGGAAGTCGCAGACGGTACCGACGGGTTCGAACTTGACTTCCTCTTTGGCTTCCTCTTTGCCATTTTGCTCAGCCGGTTTGGCTGCTTGGGTATTAGATTTTGACGCACATGGGGATTTCATGAACCCACCTGATTCGTTGATCACAATCGCCATATTCGTAGTCTTCAATATAAATAGGAGAGGGAAGGGACCAGAAAAGAAGTAATTAGTAAATACTTAAGTATTGAAGAGAAGAGAGTGAAAAGAAGATCCCCAGAGCTCAGCTTTATACCACAGCTGAGGATTGGAACAAGCACAGGCAGACATGCATGTCAGCCTCATGCTCTGTTGCCTACTGGTACGCTGTAGACAACAGGATCGGGCTACCAAACGAGTATTTGCGTAGAGCCTCGGAGCAGAGCCTCATGAGTCAACTGTGGCAGCTCTCATTGGATCCACGTAGCAAGAGGGGTATTGCCAACACTGCGTTCTTTATTTTGTGCGATTGATTTACTCGTGTGAGATTATCATATCCAAATTTACTACTTGAACATGGGATAATTACTCGTTCACAAAATCAAGGTCACTTTTGACTACCTTTGCTTTATACCCACTTGACATGTTTCTATTTCTTTATTATTCTATTGAAATTAATTTCCATGAAACTGTATGGAAATGTACATTCAAGTTGTGTTCGGAAGTTACCCTGTTTGTATGGACATAGAGACAGAGAGACCTCGCAAGTATGGAATTGTAGAATATTCTGTCTTATTATATTCCCGACACCTGGCAATTATGCAGAGAATATGTTGAAGAGTGTTTCGGATTAACCCCGAATTTTTCCCTAACGGCAAGTCTCCACGTCTGAGAGGGGAATAACTCGGCATTAGTACCTTCCGGCCGAAAGACACGGCCCCTAAGTATGAGCTACGATTTTCCTTCTTTCCTTTCATCTTTTCTTTTCAAGTTGATCAGAGATGGCCAATTTCCTCTCAGAATTTTATTCTGTCTCCGTGGAGTGCCAAAAATTTCAAAACGCTTTTTGCATGCTAACCTATTCCGTCTGGAACGCCGTCAAACGAGCCCGAATGACCTCCTCCGAATCCTGAGTATCCAACTCACTAAGCACACCAGAACCAACATCATAAATGAGGCCGTGGAGCTGAAGACCCCGCTCCTGAATCGCATTGAGAACAACACCCTTCTGCTTAACGACATTCAGTCCCTCACGAACATTCAACTCCGCCAATTTCATCGCCGCCTTATCAGGAGTCATGTTAGAGAGGAGTTCCAAATTGCGTTCACGCAGCTGACGCAATGGCAGCAGCCAGGGATCCAAAATGCCTAGGTTCTTGTTCCCCATGGCGGCAGCAACACCACCGCAGGCTGTGTGGCCGCAGACCACGACGTGGCTGACGCGGAGATATTGCACGGCGTATTCGATGACGGCAGAGGAGCTGAGATCACCGGGGTGCATGACGTTTGCGATGTTGCGGTGCACGAAGACATCCCCGGGGTGCAGGCCTAGGAAGGTGGTTTCGGGACAACGGGAGTCAGAGCATCCGATCCATAGGATTTGGGGCTTTTGTCCATTTGCGAGGGTGGGAAACAGTTCGGGGTGGTCGCGGGCTGTTTGGGCTGCCCATTCCTTGTTCAGGCGGAGGCCTGCTGCGTACCGGTCTGTTGGATCGGATTCATTGTCAGTCTGAGTTGGGGTCTCGGACTTGGCGTCCGGGGTTGGGGTCTGGGTTTTGGCGCATGAAAAGGAGGCGGTGGTTGAGAAGGGGACGGTAGGTGAGGATCCGGTCGCGCGAGTCGGGCGGGAAATGAAAGACTGGGCCATTGGGTGGCTCGGTGAGTCACAGGTTGCCCGCACTGCTCGCGCGAGGAGGCCGGATCGCGCAGTGAGTCTTGCGACAGCCATGGAGGGGGATAGAGGGGGAATACGAAGAAGAAAAGGACGGAGAATGCGAAGAAAAAAGGTGGAGTAAATCCAGAGGTGCAATGAATTGACACCAGCAAGAGTCAAATCGCAAAGAATATGTGTTTTGGGCAAGGAAACAATTTCTCTCAACCAGTTGTCACTTGCGCGATGCTAATAGGACCTTTGTTCCTGAAAATGTTCCTGGACCGGAGAGATGAAGCGGGAAAAAAAATGATGGGGAACATTGCCAAGGAACAACCAAAGCAACGCACTAACGTACCTTCAGCGGACATATCGAATTCAGATGCACAAGAAAAGATAGAGATTAAAAATTCCGAAATATCAGAAAGGAGAAGAGGTGGAGAGAAAATAAAGTGTTGAGGCCGAGGGGAACGGAAAGGGTCAACCGGCGCTCCGCTATACTTCTGGCCGTAATCTTAATTGTCAGGAAACATTGGAACTTCATTGAATTGCTGTGTAAACTCCGTATCGGAGCCCGAAAATATCTACACTTTTTGATTTTATGTCCACTAAACTCATGCCGTTCCACCACGGCCACCAACGTTCAGAAGGGTCTTCTTCTGCTCCTCGCTGATCTCAACCGCGGGCAAGGGACGGGCTCCCGCGATTGTGGGCGACGGCAGGAAGCCAGTCTGCACCAGGTAAGAAGCATAGAGACCAACCAATTCCTCCGTGACACCAGCACCGGCCGAGGCGTCGATTCCGGACCAGGCGGCATCGGCACGCAGAGCAGCCGCAGCATTGACATCGTCCAACTCGGGAGCCTTGGTGTTGGAGGGAAGGTCGGCAGTGACGAAGTGATACAGGGGCAAGCTAGAAGGAGTCAAGATTAGTAATTGTAGAAGGATGAGAAAACCTGGGTCCGACTTACAGAGCGTGCTGAGACTTCTTGTCATCATGCTCACCGCCGTTGACATATTGCTCGAGGGCCTTGGACCAGGGAATGTAGTCAACCTGGGGAACGTCGTAGCCGTACAGCTCCAATGCTCCGAGGAACTCGTTGAAGCGGAGACGGGGGTGTCCAGTGACGTGGGCAACACCAGCGGGGGGCGGGTGGAAGGCGCAGGCAATGACAATACGGGACACATGGTCCACAGGGACCATGTTCACAGTGTTGTGAATGTTGGGGCGACAGTTGATCTGAATGCAGCCGAGGCAGAATCGGATGAGGAAATCATCGTTGTTGGTAACCTAAGTGGGGGATTAGTATGTCGAATGAATATAAAATGACGGAAACTTACTCCGGTTGTCGAATCACCCAGGACGTATCCCGAACGAATGATGGTTGTCTTCAGGCCTCTGCGGCTAGCCTCCTTGACAAGGTATTCACCGGCCCACTTGCTCTGGCCGTAACCGGTGCCGAGACCAACTCGACTGCCTTCCATGTCGTCCTCTTCACTGATACCATTGCCACCGGCGGCAATAATGCGTTCAGATTCTTGAACGAAGTGGTCCTTGTCTAACGCACTGGTGGAACTGACGAAGGCAAACTGCTTGGGCTTTCCGCTGCACAGCTTCAAAGCGTCGATGGTACCCATAACATTGGCAGGGCGAAGGGTCGAGTATGGGTAAACCCAGTGGACAAGAGCTCCGTTGTGGATGACAGCATCAACAGTGTTGGTGAGGTCGTCCCACACAGTCTGAGTCAGACCGAATTGGGGGGTTCCAAGATCACCACAGAGGGCGCGCAGCTTGGAAGTCCAGGCTTCGTCCCAGAAGCCGTAGGCACGGCAGGTGGCACGAATACGCTCAAGGGCCTGTTCCTCGGTCTTTGCGCGAACCAAGGCAACAACCTTAGTAGAGGGTGACTTACGGGTGAGAAGGTCCCGAAGGATATGAGCACCCAAGAAGCCAGTCGCACCAGTCAGGAAGACAAGGGGCTCGGAGGCAAGCATGGCATCAGTACGCTCGGGGAACGTCTGAGGAAGCTGGCTCACAAGCTCAACAGCGTCCTTCGAGTATTCATCATCGGGCTGAGAGGCTTGCACAGCGCCGGCAAGGGTCTTGTCATCGCTAGTTGCAAAAGACTCCAAGGCCAGCAGGCGATCAATTTCACCGGCGAAGCCCTTCAAGGTAGGGCTGCGGAAAATGGCGTTCATGCTAATGTCAATACCACGCCACTTACGACGGAGCTCGAAGAACATTTGCTGGGCCAGGATACTGTGTCCTCCAAGGTCAAAGAAGGAGTCATCGGATCCAATCATGCGCGAGGTCACATTGGGAATAAGCTTAGCCCACACCTGAGCCAGAGCCTGCTCCGTTTCGGAAAGAGCCTGCATCGCAGATGAGCGGCGGCGGGGTGCAGCAGCACTCAATTCCGCGGTGTCGGGGAAGGGAAGTGCAGGCTTGTCAATCTTGCCGTTGGGGTTGAGCGGCATGCGCTTCAGAGGAATGATGACAGTGGGAACTGCATATGTAGGAAGCTTGCTCCGGAGGTGCTCGCGAGCATCATCACGGAGAGGACGGAAACGCCGGAGAAGACCAACCATACCCTCAGCGCTCTCATCGTCCGCAAGCCCCTTAGCCTCGAGCCACGAGGTCCACTTGGTCATATCGGGCACAAAGTAGCTGACCAAAGTGGGCTCCTCATCCTTGTCTCTTCGCACCAGAGTCACGTTTTCACGGACAAGCGGGTGACGAGAAAGGTGAGTGTCAATCTCACCGAGTTCAATACGGAAACCACGGATCTTCACCTGGTCGTCGGCACGACCGGAGCACTCAACATCTCCGGAGGGAGTGTATCGGCCAAGATCTCCACTTCGGTAGAGACGATCGCGGGGGCCGACATAGAACTCGCGCCAGGGCTCGTTCTTCGCTTCAGCCTGATCCTTCTCAGCCCAAACCTCGGGCTTAACAAACCAGTTGGTCAGGAATTTCTTCGCACTCAGCTCAGGCGAGCCAAGGTAGCCCTCCGCAAGACCACCAGCGCGGACATAGATCTCACCGACCTCTCCAATAGCACAGAGACGAGTGGGGTCGTAGCGGTTGACAACCAGCATCTGGACGTCCAACATTCCACGGCCTGCCGGGATGACGTCCTTTGATGTGTCGAGGTAACCCTCGTGGCTGGAGTAACTGGGGATCTCGAAGTACGAAACGGCACGCTGGGTCTCAGTGGTTCCGTACATGTTGACGACAGCTACATTAGGTGCAAGTCCCTGGAGGGAGCGGCAGTCACGCTTGATCAAGATATCACCGACAAAGAATGCATGGTGAAGGGCGGGGAATTGAGCAGAAGCACCACCGACCAAGATCTGACCCATAGCAGGGGTCAGGTGAGTGACAGTGGCACCGAACTTCTGCATCCACTCGGCAAGCTTCTCGTTTTGGATGTCCTCGCGAGCGGGCACCAACAGCTGGGCACCCAAGAACAACGGAGTGAAGATATCTCTCTGGATAGGGTCGTGGGCGATACCACTCAGCATTGTGAACTTCTCGTCTGGGGTAAGCTTGAAGGTCTCGGACATCCAAGGGAAGTAATAGGCCAGGGAGAAGTGGCGGCCGCGGACACCCTTTGGTCGGCCCTCTGAGCCAGAGGTGAAAGACAAAGTGGGGATAGAATCGGGACCAACGACGACTCCAGTAGATTGAGACTTCAGTGCAACTTCGTTAGTGAAGACATCTTGGCCGTTAACGGAGCCACCGGTGAGGGTTCCATCATCGAGCAACGCAAGCGCAGGGATCTCAGTACGGAGCTCCAAGTTCTCGTTAATAAAGGTGCGCACGATGTCCGACAGTTCACCGGCATCTCTTGTAGCTTTGGCAATGTTGACCAAAGCACGGGGACGGGCGACATCGAGGTAAATGTTCTGGCGCTCTGGTGGGTAGGCGGGATCAATGACGGAGAAGGTCGCACCGGCCTTCAAGATACCCATGACGGCTACTACCAGGTCAACACCACGGTAGGCGTAGACCATGACAACCTCTCCTCGCTGGATGCCGGACTGAACTAGATGGTGACCAAGAATGTTGGAGGCCTCGTTGATCTGGCGGTAGGTGAATTCGCGGTGAGGGGAGGTGCTAGACTCAGTCTCGACAACGCAAAGCTTGCTAGGGTGTTTTTCCGCATTCGCGGTAAAGATGTCGTGGATAGCACCACGGAAGTTGGACCAGTTCAAGTGAGATGTAGGGTCGGGCAAAAGTGCGCGCTGATCCTCGGTCATCAGGTCGATGCGTCCAATAGCTTCCTCTGGGTTGGCAGCGGCATTGCTGGTAATGCGCGCGAGCTGCTTCAAAATGAACGCAATGCGGGCGCTCGAGAAGAGACGCTGGTTGTAGTATGCACCCAATTCGACCTCTGGGGCCGCACCACCGGAGAGGTTACCGGGGGCAACATTGACCACTAGATCAGTGGTGTCGAAGGTGTTGGCCGGGTATTCCTGCGACGCAGCCGGGGCATCATATGCGGCAAATCGGAAGAGGACTGGAGTGCGTTCGGAGTTCGACTTCTCCTGGATATAAGAGCGAAGGCTACCCAATGGCACGATCTGGGAAGCGCCTTCCTTGAATGCCTATATACAGTAGCCAATTAGCGAAAACCCAAAGCGACGCACGTGCAAAGGTAGAGTGGAATACGGACCTTGTCGACCTTGGCATAGAGCTGGACGAAGGTCTCCGAGGCATCGATCGGGACTCTGATGACGAATGGACGGCCATCCTCCTCGGAGCTGGTCCCCACAGCGATGTCTTCATCACCGGTCAGACGAGCCACCAGAACGACAAAGGCAGTGAGGAAGACTGTGAATGCAGAGGAAGAGCCGGAAATCTTCTGCAGCTGCGATTGGGTATCCTTGGGGAGTCGGAGGGACTCGAAGGCCTCGATGACCCTCTTGTTATCAATTGTTTGTGTGTCGGGATAATCGCGGGTCAATGGAGACACAGTGAGGTTATTCAACCTTTGTGCCCATGCCTCGAGGCGCTCCTGCAAGACCGCACCCCCAACCATGATGTATGTGAGATATGAGAGGGAAAAAAGTCCAGATGAGTCAACTTTACCCCCCCCATAGCGGCGGGAGGGGTGGGCATGTCCGATTTCGCCGCCCTCATTGTGCGGTGGTGATTGGTTGGGGGCAAGTCCTCCCCACACCGACTGGGAATTGAGCTGTGAGCGTCGGTCGAACAATGATCCGCACATCAACAGTTAGAGCCGCATGTGCATGACAGGTTTCCTCCCCTGAATCTATTCTTTTATGGAGTGTTTGAAAAATCTCTCGGTAGCTCATGTCGCCCTCTGAGCCTTCTTCCTCTCCGGGCCCCCAGATGAAGGACGGCCCGGCTGTCCAACATGCTGAGACCGCTTTATCCGATCTCCCAATACAAACACAGGAAGACTCTTCGAAGCCAGACGGCAGCTTGATAGACGCTATGACATCGGATACCGCGGAAGGGGAGGCTCTCTCCCATGTACCCTCAACTACCGACGCAATAAACTCGCAAAACTCTACCCAACCTCAAACATCAGCTGAGCTACAACCACTTGCGGGGCACATGGAGAGGCTGTCACTCTCCGGAAATACACCATCAGAAACACCGTCAAATGCAAATACCCCTCCACCTCCTACTCCTCCCGAGAAAGACAACGTCTTCGCAAACACAACTCCCACCCCTGCGCCAGCGCTCCCGCCTATTGACACCAGCACGAACCCCATTTCCGAGAAAGAGCTTCCAGAAGTGCCGAGTGATAGTGACCCGGAGCTGAAACAAAATCGACAAGCCGAAGGCGGGCGAGAGGATAATGACTCGCAACCGGAAATCCAAAATATCATGGGACAGTTCCAGGACCCCGCGCGGAGCACCGACCAAAAGGAGATCATGTCACCACGACTCGAGCTTGCCGAACAGTTTCGCGGAGGGCCGGCTTACTTCCCACCTCGAAAATCAAGTCTGGACCACCCGGCATCCACTGAGCCTGCGACTGCTCCAGTCCCCGTGGCTGCGGGGGATCAGCCTGGACCCGTCCCCCACCAGCCCGATTCCCCAGTATCAAACCGGCGATCATCTACGTCAACAGTCCCACCTCTCCCAGAGCCGGAGTCAGAACAACCCTTTGATTTCCATCGGTTCCTAGAACAACTGCGTCACCGTACTGCCGACCCCGTGGCCAAGTTCCTACGCTCATTTCTCATGGAGTTTGGGAAAAAGCAATGGATGGTCCACGAGCAAGTGAAGATCATTAGTGATTTCTTGACATTTATAACGAATAAAATGGCCATGTGCGAGATCTGGCGGAATGTATCGGACAGCGAGTTCGACAATGCCAAAGAAGGCATGGAGAAACTTGTGATGAATCGCCTATACTCCCAGACCTTCGCACCGGCGATACCAGCTCCACCAACGATACCCCGAAGTGCCAGTCGGAGCCGACGGAGAGAGCTTGAGAGGCTTCACGGGCCATGGCGCCGCGGCCAACACCAAGAAGATATTGAACGAGATGACATTTTAGCGCAAAAGATTCGTATTTACAGCTGGATCAATGAGGGTCACCTTGATATTCCACCTGTGAGCGGCGGTGGACGTCGTTTCTTGAATCTTGCACAACAAGGTATGTATACCGACCCGGTCATCTCGTGATCTGCTCTAACGTTGCCATCCAGAGATTTCAAAGATCAATGGCTACCGGGCTCCCCGGGATAAGGTCATTTGCATTCTGAATTGCTGCAAGGTCATTTTTGGTCTGCTGAAGAACACCAAAAAGGCTGACACTTCCGCCGACTCTTTCATCCCCCTCTTGATTTATGTAGTGCTTCATGCCAACCCGGATCATCTGGTCTCTAACATCCAGTATATTCTTCGATTCCGCAACCAGGACAAACTTTGCGGAGAAGCAGGGTACTACATATCATCCTTGGTATGTCGCAATCCGACCAGGACTGCCCAGTATCAAAGCGGTACCTTCTAACTAACCTTTCTTAGTCCGGAGCGATCTCATTTATCGAGTCCTTAGACCGAACCAGTCTGACCGTCAGCGATGAGGAATTCGAACGCAATGTCGAAGCTGCTGTATCTGCCATCGCCGAGCAAAACCGCGAATGCGAAACATTTGAAGAAACCCCCTCCACCCAACCCCCCACATCCCATCCACAGGCCGGACCCAGTCGCCAACAAGTCTCACAGTCCAGCGATGAAGAAAGCTCCGCCCCCGTCGCAGGACTGCTGCGCACCATTCAAAAACCACTATCTACCATCGGCCGTATCTTCTCCGACGAGCCAGACTCGGGTTCCCCTGCCTCCCCAGACCGCCTGCACCCCGTTGCAACGCCCCAACCCGGCGTCGCCCCTCGCCTTTCTCCCAACGTCTACCAGCCTCCACGCGCAAGTAGTGAGGAGGGTCGGCGCTCGGAAGACGAGCGCTCTCACTCTGCCCATCGTGGTGATACTTCAGCGAAGAAGAAGCTCACCCGTGTCCTCGATGCCCAAGACGCCGCCGCACGGCAAGCCAGTGCTGAAGACGCCGAGGCGCGCCGTATTCAGCGTTCTGAACACAAGAACGTTGTTGAGACGTTGTCGAATATGTTCCCCAACCTTGACCGGGACTTGATCGACGACGTCGTCAAGATAAAAGAGGGAAGGTCAGTACCCCCGCAGCTTGCCTAGTCAATGAGATACTAATGCGCCACTAAAGGGTCGGTCTAGCAGTTGATGCATGTCTTGCACTCAGCGCAGAGTAGTATATAGAATAATTCTACAACCATTCGGGATTCCCTACAGCATTTAGCCTACCGTTTCCTGATAGAGTCAAGCTAGTAAAATCCGCCAATTAGTTCTAGTTATAATTGCATCAATCCCAAATATCCCTCAAACCCCCAATACAATGAGTGGGAGCACATGTGTTCCTTTACTCGGAGGACTCCGCAGTCGGCAGTTGATCGAATCTCAGCTCCGCGCCAAAACTTCTCCCTCGGCTCCCCCGCAAAACCGCGGTCTCTCTGGGACATTTGTCTCGATTAAATTCCGGAATCTTTTATGAAACCCTAATCTTCTTCAACACCAAAACCAAAATGTCTCCATTTCGCATAGTCGATCATGTCGTACCAAGCCAGCACATAAGGGAGTACCCTGGGGCGACGGCCAATGAACAAGAAGAACCACTGCAGCTGGCCGTGAAGCAGTACATTCCACTTGATAATCCCAATCCGCAACCAGGCGACGTGACTATCCTCGCCGCGCATGCAAATGGCTTCCCCAAGGTATGGGTTTTGAAAATGCCGAGGTCCAATCGCGCGACCCGCCCAGGAGTCGCGTGCAGTGCGCGACACAGAACAGCCGGCTAACTGTGGTAGGAACTATATGAGCCTCTCTGGGAAGAAATCCACGCTCGATCTAAACAGAATGGATTCCGCATTCGAAGTATCTGGATGTCCGATGTGGCCCAGGAAGGCCAGAGCAGTGTGATCAATGAAGACTCCCTTGGCAACGACCGTAGGTGACAATGTCGCGAGAATATCATGATGTACTAATCAAGTTGCAGCAAGCTGGTTTGATCATCCTCGCGACCTTCTTCACCTGGTCAATGTGAAACGGGCTGAAATGCCCCGGCCCATAGTTGGCATTGGACATAGCATGGGAGGCGCTCATCTGTAAGCCCATAACTCCAAAACTGAATATCACCAAACTAATCAAGACAAAACCAGCACTCAACTATGTCTGATGCACCCAAGACTCATCCACACATTGATCCTGCTAGACCCCGTCATCCAACGCCAAACCACCCAACTAGACGGCCTCAGCATGGAACAAAACATGCGCAGGATCGCCAAAACAACCCAACTCTCAACCTACAGACGCGACATCTGGCCCTCCCGCCAAGCAGCCGCAGAAGGCTTCCAGCGAAGCCCCTTCTACCAAGCCTGGGATCCAAGAGTCCTCTCCCGCTGGGTCGAGCACGGTCTCCGCGATCTCCCAACAGCCATCCACAAACTGGATCCAAAGACTCCAATCAACCCCTCAAACCCCCCAGTAACTCTCCGCACCCCCCTCCACCAAGAAGTATTCACCTTCTCGCGCCCAAACTACAACCACATCCCGGGCAGCGGAAAGCCCGTCAATCGCGTCACCCACCCAGACCTGGATGCAGACCACCCACACAGCCACCCATTCTACCGACCCGAGCCAGCGCGTATCTTCTCCCAGCTCCCCTTCCTCCGCCCAAGCGTGCTGTACATCTTCGCTGGGAAGTCAGACATGTGTATCCCCGCTATGCGCGCAGACAAGCTAGCCAACACTGGCGTTGGACTGGGTGGTAGTGGTGGTGTTGCGGCTGGACGTGTGCGAGACGTATTCCTCGAAGAGAAGGGACATTTACTTGCCCAGGAAGCTGTGGATGAGTGTGCTGATGCGGCTGCTTCGTGGCTTGCGCCTGAGATTCGACGCTGGAAGGATGAAGAGGAGAGCTTCCGATCTGGTTGGAGTAAGAAGTCGAAGATTGAGAAGCAGACTATTGATGCGGAGTGGTTGAAGAATGTCCCGGCTCCAGCGCGGAGGCCTAAGGCGCAGAGTGGTGGCTCGAAGCTGTGAGGAATGTGGTTTTATGTATTTTCGTCCCAGAAGGAATATATCCTATATACAATAATGGCTTGTAGAGATAGATACAGAACTGAAATCGTCTACACTTTTCTATCGCTTGTATTGGTTGTATGAGATGCTGCACTGATAATCAGAATAAGGACAGACATGACTCCCCCTTCTAGTCACGACTCCACGACTCCGCGACCCCAGACAAGAAACAAAACAAAAGAGACATGGTATATTCATCGTGAAAGCCAAGATAGTACGTTTCCGGAACGAGTTGTGCTTGTATGCTCCCAAAGATAGCAACGCCAAGGAATGCCAAAAGGTGCTCTCCCAGTCTCACGACAATGAACAAACAAAGGAATGGTATCTAATTCATGGGTATGTCAAGTATTGCATTTGCAACATCCAGGCCGCCAGATAATAAGCGACGAGTGAATCGAGGGAACGGAGTAGACAAGCCAAAATCTCACGTTGACTTCTTGGCCGCAGTCATATCAGAGACGCGAACCACGTCAGGGATGTGCCAGAATCGCGCCCAGCGCAGGTGGTACTCGTCTTGTCGGTTGTTGAGACAGTGACGGAGCCAGATGCCCCACACAATATAGAGGTATGCACCAATACCGGTCATGACATGCCTGGGAGACAGGTTAGCAGGAGCTTGTTAAAAAGAGCTTCGACTCGACACATACCACCAGCCATGGCCTTCCAAGAACAGACCCCACGGTAAACCGACGGCACGGCGCATCCGACGGATTTCAGAGCAGAAGATATTATCCAAGTTCCAAATAAAGAAACCTCCCAAGAACATGCTCAGCCCGTAGATGACCATGAACCACATGGTCTTGAGCATCTTGGTGTCGCGCACGTTCTCGTAATGCTGGCGCTCCTTCGTCGGCACAGGGAGACCCTTCTTCTGGCGCTCCAGACGGTCCTGCTCTGTGGAGTGGCGCCATTTGGGTCGAAGGGTCACTTCCATGATATACATGCTGCGTAGGACGACGACAGTAGTCAGGAGCGCGTAGGCATTCTGGTGGAAGATTGGGTCTTGGAGATAGTGGTAGTAGAGGGTGATAAATATGGCGAGACCAGCGAGGGAAAGACCAAGCCATACTCGTACCGCCGTGGAACGCGAGTATGAGAACAAGGCATAGGCCATCAGGCAGGTGGTGTAGATCATAGACAGTTCGTCTACTAGCTGCATGGGGTCTGTTTCTGGTCAGCGATGCCCTTGCGACTGTCCTTGTGTATTCTGTTCCGATGGGCGATCCATCTTCACCATTTCGCAAGGGATAAAGGCAACTTGCATTTGAGGGTGGAGTGGAAGAAGAAGCTTCCTGTTCCCACTACTAGGTACCCCAGCAGAGCGATACTGAAGATCTGGTCATGTCCATTTCGACGACAGCTAAGGATACCCTGGACACCGAGCCACATGAACATCAGGTTAGTCAGAGTGTTCACGATTTCGGCGGCATACTCGGTGGCATAGTAGTCCTGCATAAGCGTTAACATGGGTCTGCCCATGGCAGGGTTATCTTGTTATCTTACCTCTTCACACCAGTTGAGGGTCGCGGTAACGGGCTCCCAGTACCCATCCTTTGCAGGTGGGTAAGGAAACGAGAGAGACCAGGTCATAGTTGTTTGAGAGCAAGTTGTGAATATTTGAGGAAGAGGAAGCTGGAGCGAAGATGACGTCGATGAACCCCCCCCCCCAATTGGGATTAGCTGATTGGCCGGTGCCTCCCGAGGTCCGCACGATGCCGGAGCTGCTGCTTTGCTTGGCTGTGCTGTGCGGTGATGGATAGGGATTTGTTGGTCAATTTGATGGTATTACAGTGTAGGCAGTGGAAATTATAAGTCTACAAGTATAGAGGGTTCTTTGTCTTCTTAAATGTCTTAACAATGTACTTGTAAAAGCCAGACTCTAGGCAACCCCATATCTGAAGATCACACAATGGAGATTTGACGGATATTTAAGCGAGCAATTCAATGGGGATATTGAAGAAGCAGATAGAATCAGATATCCGGAGTACTCTTGGATATACTTAAGTATGGAATATGCATCTATACAAATAGGACAGACAACGTCGTACTTCGTATACTTCCAGACGGCGGTGAGGCTTATCGATAGGCCGTAGATCCCGATGAAGTCACTATCTCAACGTCTACCCGAGGTCTTGTACCTGACATCGGAGCCTCAGAATATCCATTGACCTTCAAAGGCTGTGCCATCGCTCATCTGCCTTATTTGTATTCCTGGAATGCAAGCTGGTGCTGCCCACCCCTGGCTGTGACCGACTTGGCCAGCGGAATTTCTAAATTTTTACGCATCCGGCTCTCCGCGTCTTCCTGGCAGACCAGACCCCGAGATTCGATCTGGCATCGGATCATCGTCGTACAATCAACTAGTCGCCAGCAGTCTCTTGAAGAGATAAGTGGAGTCTACACCCATCGCAATGTCGAAAAATGGCACAATAGCAGTGCCGCAGGCAAAACCGAGCACCTCAACAAGTATGTATCACTACCATCCATCTCATCTTCACTGCTAATCTCATTCACTGCTTGGTATAGCTTCAAAAACACCTTTCCACTTCGCAGCCGGTCTTTGCTCCGGTCTCACCTCCTCTATCCTCCTCCAACCCGCGGATCTCCTCAAGACTCGAGTCCAGCAATCCCAAGGAGCCTCCCTCCTCCCCACTCTCAAGGCAATCCTCTCCTCTCAGAACCCCATTCGTGGACTATGGCGTGGAACACTTCCATCAGCCCTGCGAACGGGCTTCGGCTCTGCTCTCTATTTCACCAGTCTCAACGCATTGCGCCAAGCCGTCGCGCAGAGCAACCCACTGGCTCTAGCTAGCCCCGTGAACGGCGCCAAGTCGTCATCTGTCCTCCCCAAACTCTCCAACACAGCGAACCTCGCCACTGGAGCTGTTGCAAGAGTTGCCGCGGGCTTCGTCATGATGCCCGTGACCGTCCTCAAGGTCCGTTACGAGTCCGATTATTACGCATACCGCAGCTTGATGGGCGCAGGTCGAGACATCGTACGGACCGAGGGTCTTCGCGGGCTCTTTGCAGGATTCGGCGCCACTGCCGCCCGAGATGCCCCCTATGCAGGACTATACGTTCTGCTATACGAACAATTGAAGCGTCGATTGGCACAAATGAACACGAAGTCCTCTAGTGACGGCACCACGGTATCTAGCGTGTCATCCTCATCAATTAACTTTGTCTCTGGCGCAGCGGCAGCAGGCATGGCAACTGCAATTACCAATCCATTCGACGCTGTCAAAACCCGGGTGCAGCTCATGCCCGCTAAATACGGGAACATGGTGCATGCTACGCGCCTTATGCTCCAAGAAAATGGCCTGCGCAGTCTCTTTGGTGGTCTCGGACTCCGTATGGGCCGCAAAGCCATTAGCTCGGCGCTTGCCTGGACCGTTTATGAGGAGCTGATCCTGCGCGCTGAAAAGCGCTGGGAGTCCAAGCACCGGATGGGGCTATAGGTTTGCCCCTGCTGGCTAGCGCATCATTCCGATCAATCGGTACCAACACTCTGTATAATAGCTCTTCGTCCTCAAAAGGTTCTCCCCATCGCTCCGATCGCTCCGATCTGCGTCCGTGCACCACGCGCATACCTTGCATCGAGCTTGCCCCAATGAGGGCTCGTACATAGCAGTCTGCAACCTGGCGTATGTATTTCATTGCGTCTGCACATGCCATATTTATGCAATAATCTCCGATCACAACAAACTCAACTCAATTCCCGCCTACGGGATCTCCCTCACACTCTCTTCCTTGAAACCGGTTCCGCCACATCCTTTAGACAAAGACAGGCTCAGTCTACATGACACCGTAGCTACGGGCTTGGTAACAGCAAAGATACTTGATGGGAAGTCGAGGTCATTAAATCATAAGGCGTTACTGTGTACTACCACATATTTTGTGATATAAAGATCATAACTAAACTGAAAAACAAACCAAATCCGAAACAAAACCAATCTCAACTCAAAATGAAGTCAAAATGGAATCCAAAAATCAATGCAAGTCCCAAACAATAAAAAAAAAAGAATAGAAAGCAGCTAGGCGTATACGCATGTTCGACATTCTTATCCGTAAATCATTCCAAAGACAAGCAAAAGCCTCATGTAAAGACCACACGGCTCCTGGGGTTCTTCTTCCGGACCAGGAACATTTTGTCCTTGTTGCGGTCATTGACCTTCAGTTCAGTCATAGAGTGTGAAGTCTGAGCAAGGACCTTGCCATCGCGCAGGCGTCGGGTATGAGCGAAGAGTTCCTCCTGGAAATCCTCGCTGATCCATGTCTTGATGACGATGTAGTTCCGATCGTGCTATGGCCAATGTCAGCATCAGAGCTCAGAGGGTGTATTTGCTTGATTCCTACCTCATCCCATTCCCAGGGCAATTGGTAAGCCATCAATGTCTCGGGGAGTAGATGTATGCGATGGACCTGGTGTTGTTAGTGAGGCCTAGATGAATAGCAGAGGACTTCATACCTTGATCCAAGTCACTTTGTGCTCATGGTCCTCCTTGTCTTTTCCATCCTTGCCATCCTTGCCATCCTTGCCATCTTTACCATCTTTTCCGTCCTTGGCTTCCTTTTTCTTCTTCTCCTTCTCCTCCTTCTCCTTCTTTCCCTTGGCGATATCTGCGATGTCCTCCTCGCTCCATCCGATGCTGCGCAGATGATCGTGGAACTCCTTGAGCTTCGCAGCAGCAGCGGCCGCCTCGCGCTGCTTGGCGCGTTCCTGTTCCAGCTTCCACTGCTCAACAGCAGCAGCCTCGGCAGCAGCTCTAGCGGCGGCCGCATCAGCTTGCATCTGCTTCATGCGCTCTTGTTCCTGCTTCCACTCAGCAACAGCAGCAGCCTTCATGGCCAACTCCTTTGACCGCTGCTCCTCGGCAGCCTTTGCCTTCCTCATATCTTCATCTCGAATCTCCTGAATGAGCTTCTCTCGCTCCTCCTCTTCCTCCTTCTCCCGCGCAAGCTGCTTCCACTTCTCTTCACGCACAAGCTTCTCCCTCGCTGACTTCTCATCCTGCGACCGCGCAATCTCCTTCAGTCTCTCCTCCTGCAGCTTCCGCTTCACCTCCTCCTCTTCCTCAGCAGCTCTCTTCTCAGCAGCATACCTCTTCATCTGCCACCTCTCATCAGCCCTCCGCTGCTCCTCCTGACTAAGATGCTCCCGCTCAAGCTCCTTCAGCCGCATATTCGCCGCAGCCTTACGTTCAAGCTCCTCAGAGCGCTGCTTCTTCTCAAATTCCTGCAATGCGCGCTGTCGCTCCGCAATCGCATCTTCATAATAGTCTTCCCGCTCGCGCCACATCTTCGCCTCCAGCCGCGAGTCCACAGGATCCGCATGTCGATCCATGGAAGCTAGCTCTGCACGCTGCCGAACCTTCTCCAGCTGCCGCTGCAACTGCTCATGCTCATGTCTGAGCATCTTAAGATCCATATCCTGCCGAACATCATTATGCTCAAGCAAATGCTGACCCATAACAAGTTCATGGTCACGGTGGAACGGCGATGGCTCCCGGGATGCACTAGCAGCACGCTCCCGACGAGGCGCAACAGGCACTGCCAAGGGCACTTGGACGACATCATCGAAGTGGTGGGGGCTCTGGCTGTGGCTGTGACTATGATTGTGATCATGACGCTCAGTGAACCGGTTCTGAACCCTCCGAGACTGCTGCTTGTTCTCGGGTCTGTTGTCAGACCGTTGCGCCTGCTCGTTGATGATGTTTATATTGGTTGGAGCAGGCTCCCGGCCGCGTCGACGGGACCCGCCTGTTGAGGCAGATCGGTACACGCGGGATGTTTGCTCTGGGACGAGAAACTGTTGTCGGGGGTGATGGCGGTGGCGGGAGGAGGAGCGCTGACGGAAATGGGCTCGGTGGCCGCCTCGTCCGATGGAGAAGTCGGTCTCCGAGTATTCTGAATCATCTTCCGAGTCGAACTCGTCAGGGAATCTGGCTTCCAGGGGCATTTTTGTGGTGGTTGTGTTGGTGGAGCGCTGTAGATTGGGGGGTCCTCCTGATAGAGGGGCCTAAGCGGGGAAGAGGGTATCAGTCGCAGGTGGCGGGTGATGTGTGTTTGGAGAAAAGAAAAGGGATTAGAAAACAAATAAAAAAAAAGACAATGTAAAGCAAGTTGTTCAGGGCGCCGATCAGAGAGGGGTAAAAAGAAAGAGAAAAACCTAGGCTCCGGGGCTACTTATTCACCTGTCATCTATTCTTATTTTCGGAAACTCGAAATTGCCCTTCAGCCTCATGGCGCATCGCCTTACAGATCGACCAGAACAACCCCTCGAACCGGGTCTTTTTGTGCATGGTTTCAAATCCCCTATTTCCTATATTCCAACTTACGATATACTCTACCATTACACTTAGATACTATCGACTTGATCATCCCCCATCCCCAGATTCATTGTCATGTACGGAGTACATCGTGGCCCACTCTCGAGATTACGGTCCCTGTCGACATAGCGCCTTATGACTAGCGCCGCAGACCGCACATTGGGCATCTGGGCTGCATCCCGATGGGGCGGAATTCTCTGCTCAACCCAATACTGTCTCTTTGCCGCTGACTCGGAAACTAATAGTTTCGAGTCTGTTCTCGGGAGTTTAATCAGGTGTTTCATGTCTAATATCCCTCAAGTCTACGAGTATGTACTTCATACTTGAAGAGGTTATAGATCAGTCCCACGGAATGCGACAGTCGACCCGTGGGTGGGGGCCGAATCGCGTGAGATGAGCCATGGCACATGACTTCTCACACTCCACTCTCTGCAACATCTACACTCGTAGATATTCCTAGATTACGAGTATCTGTAAGTCGTTTGGGCTTCCGTGTAACGGTACTCCATAACGGCGAAATCAGGAATCTGACGTAATCCCAGACTTCAGGAGGCATCCAAGTAGGCAACCCAGGCTCGCAAACATGAAGCTGCACTTACAGCCGAAAGTAAGCTTTCTCTTTCCCAAAGCCCTAGCCGGCCCTTATATCAGGCTCTATTTCGGGCCCCGCCACCCGAATACCTTGGGCAGGATGAGTATATCTTTCATCTTACATACATTTTACATTTTATGGTCTGCGTCAACAATCTAGGAAGATCCCTGCAATATAACCAGTGCAAGGACCAGTACCCATGCCTCAGTATAATACAAGTACATATTGACTATTTTTCGCCACAAGCAATCAAGACCAGCACGACCCACGAGAGTGAGTCGCCCAGACTACGTCATTTTTTAATATGCGCAGTGGGGTGAAGGCCCTGGCCTGGGCGTAATGACGACAACGGCGCACATGAGTGTACTTGTAAACTTGATCTTGATATTGTATGTACAAGGGGTTTATTCCGGTTTGATAAGGTACTTTTTTGAGTCTATACTCTCATCTATTTAAGTATAAGACGAGTAGTATTAGTGCGTTCTAAAGTTGGACGTTGGCGTGGACACTAGTCGCCCCGGCTTTCAGCCCTATGTCGGATAAGCGCGTATACTGGAGTTCTAAAGTTGGCAAACTTTACAGAGTGCAGTGTGCATGGTCTCCTTGCGTACCTTCTAAGGTTGTGCTTGCGACAGCTGCATAAGATCTAATCACTGCCCCACTATGGAGCAGTACGAAGATGTACAGCATGCGGCTTGCAGATCCTAGGATCATCCATGGATGCTACAATGTATGTGCTGTATGGATGCGACTTTCTGGTAGAACATTCCATGGAGTGAAACTGCTAGTACCTCATACATATCTCCGCGACCTTGGAGAGTCACAAATGATTCTCAGGAACCTGCGGAAAACCTCGAGGCCAGCGTGGTATATTCTCAACCCACTCGCTTGAAGGAGTGTAGTAAGCGACAACTCCTGGGTATCTACTTAAGTAAGTCATCAAGTATTTCTAAAAGCCAGACCAGACCAGGCTGTGCAGAAACAGGGCAATGCATAGTCATCCTCTTGCATTTCTGGTCCAGTCCCAAACCAAGGACATGATCCACGTGCTTTGAGTTGGTTCTCGCAGGCAGAGCAGATATCGTCGATGGTCAGCTTGAAACCAGGTCCACCGGATCGAGATAAATCTCTGGTATAATGTATATCACGCCCGACCTCTCATTATGTCAAAGCATCCAACTCAAGCCCTGCCAGACTTGAGAATTGCCTCCAGATTCTCACGACTCTTCTGATTCGTCGTCTCATGGTACTGCAACTTCTTCTCCAGGTTGGTGATCTCGGTAGCGGCCTCGCCGCTCTCGCGTGTAAGGCGCTTGTTCACTGTACCGATTGGAACATTGACGAACCTAAAACAGGGGATCAGCCACAGATGCAAAGCAGTCGCGAATGAAATTGGAATGGAAAAAAAAAAAAGGATCGAATTTCCACCGACCCAGTCGGATGGAAAGGAGAAAAGAACGAATGAAGAGATTGTGAACTGCTTACATCTTCCCGCAACCTTCGTAGACATTGGTTTCACTGGGTAGCTCGGATAGCTCCTTCGATGTGAGTTGCAACATGCGGATCTCGCGTTGCTTGGCGGTCATGTGAGTCTTGGTGAGGCTGATCTGTTGCTGCGAGGCCACTGCGCGGGTCTCAATCTCTTGGAGGAGCTGAGAGGTATTTCATTAGCCTGTTGGTTCTGACCGCTATGTTCGATTGGGGTGGTGAGGCGGTTGGATATTACGGCTGGGCGAAACCCGGGGCTGGCGCCTTGGTTTTTGCGCCCGTTCGTTGGGGAATCATAAGAAAAGGACTGGTGTATCGGTCCAGTAGCATACCTTCTGGAGGGCTTCGTTGGGAATCGACATTTTGGTTGTGAAGGTTGATTTCGGAGCTTGTTGAGGGGTAGGAGGGGCGCGGGATTGTTTCGTTGGTGTGGTGCTTTAGGCAAGGGGTTTCCTTGGCTTCTGTCTCTCGGTATAGGGTGATTTTGACTGAGTCGGGATAGATTGGATGTTTCGTGTCGGTGCCTTTGTGATGTCTCGACTGGTCTGCCAATTCGACATGCGCGGCGAGTCTCATAAAAGGCGGTGAATTGTGGCGGTCGACTTGAATTGCCCGTCTTATCTTTTCTCCGTACAACGGCCATTGTTGCAAACATTCTTTCATTTGGATGTAAGGGTAGAGTGACGGTTTCAATATCAATACTGAGGTAGTCAGCTTCTTTCAGCTCTGAAAACCTTAAAAGCTTACTATATTCTATATTCTCTGCAAGCCTTGACTGCGACATCAGAACAGTTCTGATTAGCAGGATCATCTGCCATTGACTTCTTAGCATGAGACCTCTCGATACAGGGGGAAATTTATAGAGTATGTAGGAGGGGAGCGATTGAATCAAGATCTGAGACTGGTGTGTATTAGCAAAGGGAACTATCTAAGCTAGGTATACAGAGTACATCGCACAGGAGACGACTCGGGAGACCTGCGGCTGAGGGTATAAAAACAAATCATGAAAAGGCGCTTTTCAGTCGGGAGAATGCGGGACTTACTCCTGGGGACCTTGAGAGCCCTGGAAAATGAGTGCTGCCCAGGGGGGCAAGTGATCTCTACAGGATTAGCTCGTAGGTGTACCCAACCACGCACTAGGGCGTGTTACGAAGAGATAATGATCCACTGGTCAGGAATGAGAGCTCCTGGGGGAGTGCTCTGAGACTCCGGAATATTACAGAAGAGTAATCCGTACTCCGTAATCTGGGTTGAGACAATTGAGTTGCTAGGGAACTTGTCTCTCCGACACGCAGGGCGCGCACTTTTTGGAACACACAGGTTTAGAGAGGATGCCGAAATGATTGATATTTCAAGTAATTGTGTAAAAATATGAAATTGGTTTGTGCTATGCGACTCTGAATTGGTAATAGATATTGAGAAGACAAGGAAGTATGAAAGACATTGACCATAAGAAAAGAGAAGAAAAAAAAAGAGAGAAAAAAGATCGCAATCCACCCATCATTCTTGGTTTCAGATTCATTGAGCCCTTTTGAAACGCCCATCGGCTTGACCAACTTATTGGACAGCCCGTATTCAAACATGCAGATTAGACTTGCGTGGGTGTACATGAGCAAGATCTAGTACTGCGATGGCTCGGTGGTGCACCACAATTCGTATTCCCCAGCTGTTGGCTCGGGGATGGTGTGTCCACTACGAGCCAGGTCCCACGACTGCTCGCGGCCTTCCATTTGCATGCTGGGAAGGTAGGAGTCCACGCCCTGAGAGTAGGGGGCAGGGGTGCCGGCCATGGAAGGCGAAGAGGTGAGGGGGTAAAATGATTGAGCACTTTCGTCCCAGGCGGAGTATGAAGTGGACGAGGGAGCATATGTTGCCATGGTAGAGTCTGCATCACCGCTCTGACTGAGGAGGCGCGGGTCCATGTCCTCGAGGGGCAAACCGCTCATCATTGATAGTTGGGAGGGCTGGAGGAGCTCGTGGTGAGTTCCACCGGGGAGTCCAGCAAGGGCAGAGTCGTAGTTGACATTTTGGGGTGGGCTTACGGGGCCAAAGGAAATGTCCTCTACCTTGGAGACAGTTGGTAGGCTGCTAGGGTGCATCGTGGACATGCCGGCCGGGTGGCTGGTGTTAGACCAGTGCGAGTTCGGCTGGATATAGTTGGGGATCATCATGTCGGGTCCGTCGAAAGGAGATGAGCCCCTGCTGGCAGGGTAGTAGGAGTCGCCGAAGCTGTTTGAGCGCGAGTGGCTACTGTAGAGGGGTCGGGGTGCGCAGATGGATCCACCAAAGTCGCTGTCCAGGTCAGAGAAGCCACTCTCGTCGGTGAGGTGTGATGGCATGGCGGAGGAAAGGGCACTGTCACGACGGTTGGCGGCGCCATTCTTCAGCGGAGCGAACTTGTAGTCGGGATGTGTGGCAGCGTGGTTGTCTCGCTCAATTCGAGCCAACTCGTTATATTTCCTGCGGATCTCAGCAGGCTCCATGTGCCAGCCAAGACCAGTGACCTTGGAAACAATCTGGTGGTTGTTGGCGCCAACAAGAAGCTTGGTGCGCGCAGTGTATGCCGAACGATACAGCATGTAAGCATTCATGGGTCGAGAGATCTTTCCGTTCTTGTTGCGGACTTCCTGGTGGCGCTCCTCAGTAGATCGGTTCACCCAAGCGACCATGTCACGGATGGGGGTGGTGTGGAAACTTTCGGTCAATTGACTGATGGGACCATCCAGCTTGAAGCCAATGTCGGAATCCTTGCGGTTCTTCTGGCGCCGGACTTGCTTCCTCTTGACCCGTGGGGTTCCATTCACGCGAGCACGGTAGGCCGGCACACGCTGTGGAGGAGAGCCCGATGAGCTGAGAGAAGGAGACTCCATGAAGGGGGAGCCCTCATCGCCAGTTGGAGGAGGCGTCATGGCAGGATCAGACATCATCATCTGTGGAGCGGTCAGTGAATGTCACTCCGAAAGAGGATGATCCATCTTACCGAGTGAGAAGGCATGTTGGAAAAGCTGCCAGAGTGCTGGTAGTATTGTGGTGGCGAGCCATATTGCTGGTGGAAGAGTTAGGATTCTTGTCAAGATCAGGGTGTTGAGCATTGGAGACTTACCATTGACTGACCCATGTCTTCAGACATGATGGGGTAGCTCTGATAGATCCCGGAGTCAAAGGACTGAGGGAGCTGTCCGTCTGAGGATTGAGCCGGAGAAGGAGGAATCCTCTTCAAAGTCATTGTAGTTCCAGAGACTACGCTATTGCAAAGTTGATATGGAGATTGGAGATTGGAGAGATGGTGAGAGTAGAGGAGAAAGAGAAAGAGAAAGACTTTTCAGAAAAAGGAAAGAAGTGGAAAACGGCGTGGAATAAAGAGGACTGTCCTACTCTGCAGTTGCGGTCCCCTGAAAGAGGTCTCAAACACGCAGTGTGAAGTGAGACAAATGTATCAACTGTATATCAAACAGAGTACAGTAGATAGACCAGTCAATAGGTGGAGGTAGGTAGGGTAAGTTGTCAAAGAGATAGACAATGTAGATCGAAGAGAGAAAGTTGGGAGGGGGCGGGTCTCGACTAAATAAGAGAAGAGAAGAAGCTATCTAGAGGTGAAGAGTAGAGAGTAGTCAAGTTGAGAGTCTACGCAAACAGCTAGAGGCTGAAACTGAGTCAAGAGAAATACCATACAGACCGTTACAGTCATTGGATTCGTCTGGGGATTTTTCGAATTTCCATTATTTTGGGGGCTTTTTCGTGATAATTCTTTTTATATATTTTAATTATCATTTTATATTCATTCAAATGCGCATTAGAACCCTATTCGTCGGCTGAACCCGATCCTGGTAGGGATTTTCCCCTATTCGGTATATTTCCAGGATTTTAGTCGATTGAATCTCTATCTTTCCATATTTTGATTTCACGATTTCTTTCTTATACTCTAATTCTAGAGGTGTTCGTCGCAGATTACTCTTTGTCCCCTCAGATCATCCCGTTGCCATTGGCTTCACTCTGTGCCCTGCCATATTTAGTAGATAATCTTCTAAACTTGTACTCCGTGCACTTTCTTCACCTTTGTACTAAATATGGCAAACGGCCCAATAGAGCTGGATTGTTGCATGAGGGGAAAATGGGAAAAAAAATTGAAAGATTAGTCGATTACCCGGGGTTGTCATAGGCCACATCCCAATGATCCAGGAGAGGATCCGAGTGGAGTCAAAAGTGCCAGATGTTGGTGCCCTGTCCATCGTGTGAACCCACCGCACAGGCTTTTCGGCCAAAATAAGTTTAGCCGTCAGGCAAGTTGGAACCGCTAAATGCGAAAAAGCAAGCATATCCAAGCATACGAGGAGAAAACCAGGATTAATTCGAAATCATGGGGCTAAATTTGACAGCCCGCGTTAGACCCAACATGGCTGTTCATGGCGTAGTACGCTATCGTGGTGAAATTGATGAAATTGGTTTAGTGGGACTTGAAGCTAAGCCTGCTAGACGCGCTATAGGCCATACCAAGCCCTTGACAGTAACGTGGGCAAATTACCTACAAGTTCGGGATCTGGAATTTGGAGTATAGATCAGAATAGGGCTGGAAGACTATCCACGGTTGCCAGAAAAGTGAATCTATACCATACTTTCCAGGGCTCATACGAGTAGATGCTGCGCGGACTCCGAGTGCCCAGAGGATCAACCGTGGATTGCCACACAGAAAAAGGCAACAGTCTCTAGATGGTTCGGGGAGATCAGTTGGACAGATTCGCTAACTGGATCAAATTTCGCCATCTTGCCCTGATATGGTTTAGCGAATCAGGGATCAAATGGATTACGGGGGGAGTTCACCCGTATTGTCCCCGAGCAGCCTTGGAGTGATCGACGGATTGACGTTGGAAAAGCCGAGAGGATGAGAGTTGAAAGACCCACGGTTGACTCAATGCTGATTTGTCCCATGGCGAGTGGTTAAAGAGTCCGGCCAGAGTCTGCGCGCAAGTGGTGGGAAGGGAAATCTTGGCATTGGCCCTTCGTGGGTCCTTCTGGTGACGTTTTCTCCCGGCCACCCCGGTCCCATTTACTCGTATAGTGAATCATATAAAATCATAGATTTTGGACAAATTGCAAAATCATGGAATTAGAGGGTTATAGAGCTATACTACATGAGTCATGATGCAATTTGCTCCCAACATCTATAGATCTACTATGCACGGTGCAGCCCCTTCACTGCGCCTCTGAAATACCACACGTCCTGGATAGGGACTAGTTGACACCGCATGGCCTTTGAGAACTGCTATTTCTATTCTACATATTCCCCTCCCAGCATGAAACTTTGGTGGCTGCTTCCCACCTGGGGAAGATTCACCAAGCCTTACAATGAGCCGGGGAGACCCCAGGTGTTCCCCATCAACTGGTCCATGGAATCATGAACATTATGCAGGTCCCGGCCATGTTTTTTGCTCTTTCATTCCTTTGCCTCGTGGTGTTGAATTCTTGGCAATGCATGCGTTTTCTTTGTTGATCCTTGTACCCTGGCCCTCGAACTGACCAGGGCTGCGCACAAAGTTGCCCCATTGCTGTAGACCGCCATGGGGCGTTCATGCCATGTGCTGCACAGAAAATGTAACCAATGGTTGTAGCAGGATCTCTTGAAAGGTCGACCCCGGTGCTGCATGGCCATGAGGTTTGCCGTTGGACTTGGCTGTCAGACTGGCTCGGTCTGTGCCTTGAGCTTATGCTGTTTTTGAATTCTCACTGCCTCATGTAAGATGGTTCTTAATATACATACCCAGTGCATATATCGAGCTGATATGAGGCTGAGTAGGGTTGTATTCTAAAGTTGCGAATCTGTTTGCTGTGTTCCAAAAAGACATGAACGAGGCAATTATAGGCTCTTCTCCAACACGAGGAGACATGCTCAACTGATCTCTGATAGGGTGTATACACTTACTAAACCCGACTAAAGCCGAGATAGGATCTACTAAACCCTAGATAGGATCAACTGCCAAGTAAAAAAATGTCGCTAGAGGCAAGGATACTTTTGTACCCTTGCTTGAGCTCCTGGTCAACACGAGGAGAGAACCAAAAAATGAGAGCCAGCTGAAAGATTCCGCCGAGTTGACGAATATTGAAATACGAATTAATTACAGCCCTGCCATCCGGCATCCAGAAGATCATAGAGGGGGGCCGAGAGACCCCGGGAAGAGCCAATGAAGAGAACCTCGCTCAGACCACAGAAAGATAGGAACCAGATTTACAGCAAGGATCACCCCTCCTTTTGCGGCTTCCAGGGCTTTTTCCAGAGCTTCTAGAACTTCCATTCTCCTAATAAGGACAAGCTTCAAACACTAAAGTGGCCTGGTGACTCGAAGTCTATACGTGTGGACTTTGCCTTCTGAGGGTCTCACTGCTAAACGGCCGTTTCATCGTTCTTTCACCCCCTGATTTCTAAACATATCTTCGTTTCAGGTTATTCTTGTGGTTCTATTTTGGTCTCTCACTGCCTTGGAGAAAAGGTCTGGGAGTCTTCAAAATCTTCAAACCCATGGGGATGGATCAAACCTGCGATATGGGGATGTGGCAAGGGCCTGGTGTGATAAGTGGGAACTAACTGGCAAAGCAAATACGGACTACTCTATACTCTATGCAGTTACCAGATCCTCATTTGACGGTCGAGGTCTCCGAATTCCCGAAATTCTCAAAATTTCCCCAACATCTTTAGTCTTGCGCCTTCACACTAGAGATTCCGATAAACAACGATACGAGTACACCATCTTCTTCGTATGGCTGAAGTCAGTGAGGATCATCCAAATTACCTCTTTAGGGTCGAGTTCCGCTCTAGCAGATCTGATCATGAATCCTTGAAGAAAACGACTAGGTTTACTTCGACTACAGGCACAACGGTGTAGGGATTTATTTCAAATTCTCTCCCAGTCAACTGGAACGCCATGGAATGAATATACCAAAAAGACTCCCTAGTACAGCGCGCCTATGCATCCTTGACAACACCATCCACAAAAGGGGAGGTGGTTGGCAGGACTCTCCCAACGATCAGTATTTCTTGCGTTCAGGCCTCGTTGCAAGGGATGACTGACAGACAACGGGGAAGGGGGAAAATGGAGCTCTAGTACAGGCCTCGAGGACTCTGGACGAACCAAATCAACTTAACAAATGGGGGATCGACATTCCCCGTCACTGTGATGTATAGTTTGCCCCCATTCTCTTCCGAGCCTTGAGATCTGCTCAGTCAAGGCTCCCGAATTCTGTCAGAACAGCTCGAAAAAACAAGCTACGGCACTCCAATACCCGGATTAATATTTCCTGTATCAATCAACAAGCTAACACACCGCTATTGCAACATCATCCCTGCCCAACAATAACTCCTGAACAACGCTAAAGCTCGCCAGCGACAAGGGTGTGCTGCCGTCGTGTCCAAAAACGGATGTCGCTGGACATCTTTCGGCATGCATAAGCCCATCGAAGCCGGCAGCAGGAGTTATTTTTCCTAACCAACAGATAGCTCTGTCGTCGATTGGCTCATGTGAGGATCGTCAAGTCGCATACGAGCTGCCAGAAAACGCATGGAGCTACATTATGCGATGCAGGGATGTCAACATGGAGACGAGAATTCCTTTTTTTCTTTTTTTTTTGGCTATTAAATTTGGGCGGCAATCTCGATTACCGCTTACAGTTAATGAACTATCGTCGTGTTCGTGCTGAATTTTGTTTTACTCTCTGTAATGAGTATGGAATTCAGATTATCTCTCTGGCTCCTTTTTTTTTACAATTCCGGACTGCGCCGAGCTTCCGTTAGTCTTGAATGGTGCCCATTACGAGCGTCGATCCTCATATTGTCGATATTAATGATAGACTTTGCATCAAGCGTTTTACAGGTAAATTTATGCGATGAAATCCGTACCCCGTACGGAGTACACCGTCCTATGATTCTTCGTGTATGACATGCCAAGAGCTGAAACCCGTGCTTCGCTCTGAATTGAGTCTCAGTATCGCTTAAACCAGGCCTAGGGTACAGAATACGAGGATTAGCAAATCGAGTAGACCTAGAATCTCAGGAATAGACTTGGGAGGCGTGAACTCTAGAAGGGCACGAGAAAGCAGATTGGAAGCTGAAGTCGGATCCGAGTTCCTCCCCGGTGTAAGGCGTAGACGCCGAGGCACGAGGAACCGGTGTTTAACCGAATCTGATTCATCTCATCTCTAAAATGTCGAGCAGTAGACTATACTCGTACTTCCCACATTGTATGGATTATGGAGTACTCTGTACGGAGTATTGATAACTTCGATTATGTGCAGCACATTGGCACACCGTTAAGTGACTCGCAGATCAATGCTATAGCCCGACATCTCCAATTCCCAAAACGACCAAACCCAAAGTAGACAGATGCCACTTTTCGCAAGTGACGAGTCATGAGCACGAATCCGATGAATGGTCAGCTGGCGCGGAATTCGGCGATCCCGGTGGCTCTTTCGGCGCCGAAGCCCTAATATGGATCTACGAAGAATCAACTACCCCGTAACGACAGAGCTTAAGGTTCGCACTGAGGCAGACAGATTTTCAGTGTCAATGCGCACACGGAACCGAAGATCATTGTCGGGGTTTGAGACTTCTGTCACATCTAACGTCTGTGATTGTCTCCACTGTGAATCTCGACCGTTAGGGGACCGTTACGCAATCGGAAAATCTAGATTCGCGGATACGGAATACGACACTATTTAGACGCCAAGCGAAATGAATGACCGGTTCATCACAATCCGTCACCCCTCTGCCGTGTTGGATACCCCTCGATACGAGGTTTTACCTGTATCTATAGGATGTGGGAGGGGAAGGTCACGTTTGCGGGTATCCGATTGTTTAGATAGGCTATCCGCTGTCCATCGGGCTATCCACCACGTTAGAATAGGCTATCCACCACCTCGAGCTGGGTCAGTTCATACCCGTTGAGATCAATATGTAGTGGGATTCCCGGTTCAGACCTCCAGGGCTCTCTTTCTCTCCTCTCTAGACCCAGCAATACATTCTGATCTACAGGATTCATTCTACATTGCTTCTCGATATTATGATCACAGTATGCAAGGAGTACTGCATGTGCACAAGCATACATGGCCATAGCCATGACCACGATCTCGCCCGCGTGAGTGGAGTCGATCCGGGCCAAAGCACGATCTGTAAATGCGAATGCAATTGTCTTTTCCTTTCGTACCGAACTAGTCTAGTGGGGAAATAGTCGGCTGTAGCCTTCCGCGGGCGAGACTAAAAAATTGGCGTTGACAAATACCTGTAGACTTAGTTGCCCTACTTCACCTGGACAGAAGATGGAGTACGGAGTACTCCGTATGGAATACTCTCCTATACCTGTCTAGATAGTTCATCTGATCAAGAGTATGACGCCTCTCTAGTACAGCCATGGCTCCAAACCGGATGCTCCAGGTTCCAAAAGCGTGTCCAATTATTGACCCGTGGAAGAGCGCAGACCACTACTGGCCGGGCCAAGTTCCGGATCCACTATTCACCCTTTTATCCTTTTTAACTCCGTATTGTGTAGAGTATAATTTATGAGTTGCATGGGTGGAGACGGGGAAGCGCTCGGATCAGAAGTATCGTAAATTATGGAGCCTCTGGAGCTATTCGGAGATTGAGATTTGAACCCTTACTCTCTTGGGTTTGGAATTTTACAAGTCTAGTCCCTAAGCCACTTAAGTATAGGTTTTTTTTGACGCAATTTCGCTTTTCTCGTTTGTGACCTTATGCTATTGGTCGCTTTAAGCCAATAACTCGGCTACCGGTAAGGCGTATCCTAAGTATCGTACGTACAGCTTCAGCACGGATGCGACCTCAAACGGGAGCGGGGAGTAGCCGAAAATTTAGAGCTCCATTCTTTTTTTTCTGTACAAGTATATTTACTTGATTGCGTCTTATATATAGACCTAGGAAAAAATTCAATATTGAATCTCAATGTCAAATCTAGAATATACTCCATACTTAAGTACTCCATACTCCGTATATCGCCCTGGAACATGTGATAACTTTAGAAAAGTACCAGGCTTTATCGTGCAGCTCTAGTCATTATCATCACAGAGCCCCGTACATATGACAGCAGAGATCTGCCAGACTTGAGCACCTGATTCCATGGAAGAAATTGCCGCCAGATAGGGGTCGATTACAGCTGCAGGTCCACGGTAGTGTGTGATCTACATAGATCGCATCCAATAGGCCCCAGCTTCCGGCGCCACTAGGCAAGTTGACTGCGCCACCCACTACTGCCAATCAACTAACCAGCTCTCGTCCTCCGTACTCCGTATTCCGTACTTTCGGCGGAGTTTTAGCGCGCTCGAAAATACATACGAGTAGCACTTTAAGGTCGTACTAATGTGAACCACCTCGGGCATCTGAACGTGTTGCTATTTTCACGAACGGCACGGAAGACGGAAGACGTAGCCCTGGAGGACGGGCTAGACCTGTAGACTGTCTCATTTTTTCGTTTTTCGATTTTGTCTGCTTTTTTCTACGCGAGGATTTTCGGGAAATCCACATCCCTGTTTGTCTCTGGTGGTAATTACAATAGATCTCCGGGTCTCAAATGAAAGAATTAATAAAGAAATGTGATAATATGATTGAGGCTGTGAACGGCTTTGTGCCGCAGGAATCACGGTGTGCGGACCAGCGTGATGAGGTCTGTTGGCGGTTGTTGGCTGGGCAGGACTGCAGGTGTCGGGCATGGCGTTTGTAGGGGTATATCCTGCCCAGATGTACCTGTCTGTATACGTCGATCCACCTATGGCGTGGATTTAGATCGTGACTGGTCGTGATTCTTGTGTTGACTGCAACTGTAGAAACTTGTAAAATTGGGAGATATGTCCAAGTCTCGTCGATGCAGTTGAAACTTTTGAATTAGTCTTGGAAATTATACCTGTAGACATGTTCCAAAATTATTCTCTGCCCAAGTGTTACGCTCAGGCGAAACAGTAACTTCACTGCGGCTGTCTCATGTCGGCTGTCGGCTACGATATATATTGACTTGACAACTAAGAAGTTGGACTTCAGGAACTTTAGAATATATCGTGCACCACAACACTGCAATATTTTCATTTCATAGAATTCCTCATGAATTTTCTAAATCTAATGCTAGAAAGATCAGAACTATCGAGAACAAATGATATTGTTAGGTAGAGTACATGCCCTGGTCCACTAAAACACCCGGTGCCCTAGGGCCAGACCGTCTGAAAACGCCGCTCAACATCCCATCCATCTTGATGCATTGTAAAATGAGAAACAAACGAGTAAGGAAAAGGGTAAGATAAAACGCCAAATGTCAACAACCCCAGAGAATGAAGGATCATAGCCCTGAAAGGCCGATGAGAAAAACTCGATATCGAAACAAGGTACATTGACGGAGCTGAGCTGGCCGCAGAAGAACAAAGAAGAGCTTTTGGGAGTGACCGTGTCCAATTACCCAGAGTAGAGTGGTGAATGTGTTGTTTTTTGAGGGTGTATAGATGGGATGTCGTCTGCTGGGGAAAAAGACTCCGGTATTGGGGAAAAACATCTCCGGATGGATGTCATTCGCGCCCACTCAACCCCTTTTTATGAAGAAGTTTAAAGAGACGTCAAAGTTGGCTCAATGATACATGTCACATCTGTTTTGGCTTTTGGAAATGCACAGGAAGTCGATTTGGTTTGTAGGTTCGAGGAGAAATTTATCGTCCAAATCGGTACTTTCATCTGTGCACACTCCAAATATCTGGAAACAATTGCGGAGCAGATGAATAGACTGCTTAAACCGTGATAAAAAAGACATTAGCTCTGACCATTGCTTCCACGCTGAGGTGAAGGAACTGGGTCAGGGTACTGGGATGTGGTACCAGATCCCAGGGGAGGGATGCGGTTCAGGGATGGCGAGGACATCAAATGCTGCCCATTGCCCTGATAATGGTGCGTCTGGTGGAGCATGGAGGCATTCTCTCTCTGCCGGCGCTCCTCCTGCTCAGGTGTCATGCACTTGACCGGTGGGGGGATAGGCGCATCTGGAGAGCTTCGGCCCATGAGTTTGGGGCTGGGCTCGAGCCTGCGAATTGGTGGTAGAACCGGCGCACCTGCCATGCCACTGGCAGTGGGTGGACGAGGTGACTGCTTGGTCGGGCTGATTCCGGACATTCCCATGCCGTGAGAACTTTGAGGAGGCGATGAGTGATTGCCGTTGGGGGTGGCAGCAGAGAAAGATGGGTAACCACTGGACATTGCCGGTGTGACTGCATGCCCTGATTGCGGGCGTGGGGTTTCAAAAGAACGTGCCTGGTTAGGGGCTACGCGAGGGAACCCTGCAAGTGGGCCAACATCTGGGTTGCCTTGTGTTGGAGACATGGAGGGCTGGTTTTGGACTGGACTCTGGCTGGACTGAGAGGAGGGCGGCCGTACAGAGTGGAATGAGCCGATGGGAGGAAGATGAGGAGCCGATTGCATAGATGGCAGTGGGTGTTGCGCAGAGGGAGGTCGTGACTGTTGCTCCATGCTGGAATGCAACAAGCCATTCATGCCCTTAGGAGGGGAGAATGGCGGGCGAGGAGGGCTTGAGGAGGGTAAGGTATCTCGGTCTGCGTAATGAGCCCGGCGTTGGGGTGAGGGAGGAGGATAAAAGTTGCCTTGGCCAATGGTGGGCTGAAGATCGAGTTGTGACCTTGGATGTTCATCCTGAGCGTTGGAAAGTGCAACATGTGACTTCTTTACAGGTGAGGGAGGAGCCAGATCGTCATCTTCCAGCTTGCGCTTCTTGTCGACCGGAGCAGCCGACGGGGACGCCGAGGCGCTGACCCGGAACTTCAGAGTGGGAAGTTTTGGCCTGTTGAGGTCCTCTTGTTTCTGCTTGCATTCGCGACACACGAAGCGGAAATCATCCTTTTCAGCCGCCTGTTGAGAGACACCCAGACACTTGCTATGTTGCCACACATTACATTGCTCACAGGCGATGCTGTGACTTCCATCATCCTATGCGAAGTTAGACAGGGGTAACCACAAGGTTGAAGGACTATCGACTCACCAGGTTCTCGCCATGCACACCGCAACCAGAGCAATCAAAGATCCACTGGTCATCCTGGGCGAGCTCTGCCAAGTTCTTCTGCGACCGTTCCATCTCGGTCTTTAGATTTCGGGCAGAGGCTCTGCTCTCGCCATTGTCGAGCCTCTCTTGCTCCTCCGCTAGCCTTTCAAGCTCAGCTTCGTGAAGAAGACGCTTTTGCTCGCGATCTCTGATCCGGTGCTCCCGAGTCATCATCCGCGACTGTCGATCTTCATCGTGCTGGTTTTGTCTGGCCTGCTCCTTGCGGGCCTCCGCTAAATCTGCGTCGTGCTTGCGAATCGCTTCGGCAGCCTCTCGGTCTTGTCGTTCCTTCTCTTCCTTGGCGGCAAGTCGGCTCGATCTCTTAGCTCCAGCGACTAGTTGCAAGCTCAGAAGCTCCTTTTCCCGCTTCTGACGCTTGCGTTGTAGTGCCTCCTCCGCTTTCTCAAGAATAGGGAGGATGTGCTCCACAATGCTATCGCGAAGGTATTTCTCGTCCGCGTCCTTGGTCTTCTGAAGTGTTTCCAAGAAGGCCTGGTATTCCTCAAGAGTCACAGCCACGCACTCCCACTTGAACAAATCGTCTGAATCGGCCGCGACAGCACTGACATCATTGGTCTTTTTGTTTTCTTCGTCGGAAGCCTCTTCCGCGGCAGCCGTGGAGGTACGCTTTGACGTTCGTGATGCTCGCGAGGATCGACTCTTGGTCTTCTTCTTCGGCCGCTGGGGAGCAGGAGGCAGAGGGCGATCGGTCCGGCGGTAGAGACGATTGTCGTCGAGCACGTAGTATGAGCGCCCTTCACGATCCCAACCAAACTCTTCAATGCGCTAGTAAATGTTAGCATAAACTGATCAGGTACAGAGCCACTGAAGGCGCTGACTTACCCATTCAGTCTGTTCGCTCTCCTTCTTCTCGGGCATCTTGTCGCGAATGCGGTCCGCGTTCCAGAACGTCCAGACTGTCAATTGATGGAGGACACGGATCTTAGTAAAGACATCGAAATCCAGGAATCTGTTGGGCTCTTCTTCATATCCAAAGGGATTGGGACGTTTGGGCGCCTTCGCATTGTATTGACGTCTGGTGTACTCGTCGAAATTATCGAACCTGCCAGCAAGCAAAGTCAGTCCATGCGCCCCTCAATTCCAAGTGCAGCACATTGGTATACGTACGTGAGTCCGCGATGAGAGGAGATCCACTTCAGAAGACACAATCCTATTTCCAGTAGTTTTTGTGAGGGTTCAGGTTTGAGGCATTCGGCTTCTAGGTCCTGGAGTGCGAGAAAGCAGCCAGTCAGCATGTATTCGGGAAGAAGACAGGGGCATAGTCTCAATCAATGCGACACAGCGCGCAACATCGATTTCCATCCCATAGCCGCGCGTAGAGACATACCTCGATCCCGAAATCCTCATCAATCTTCATGATCTGTCCAAAAATGGCAATGTACTGCATGAGACTAGCGAAATCCCACGAGTTTCGGAGCTGGGACAGCAGCTCAGACTGCTCGGGAGCTTCATGCTCTACCACCGGAATGGCTTCAGAGCGGGTGCGCTTTCGCGATCCCATCGCGGCGGGACAGCCGTGAGGGCCGGAGTTGAGAGGCGTTTAACGGAGGCTGATTCAAACGGAGATGTAAGTCGCAGGAATATGCAACTCAGAGTCAAGCAAATAATGTGAAAGTGAATGAGATCTGAACAGTATGGTTGGGACTTTTTTTTTTCTCGTGTCGTGAGGCGATGCGGATGGGATCAAGCAAGGCGCGTCACGACCAAAGTCACGTGGACACTTTCGCCGAAAGAAGACAATGAAAGAGATCAATGGGTCAAGAGCAGACGAACTAGTTAGTTATACCCTGTCTAGTTTGTTTAAAGCTAACAATCTCATTACTTCTAACTCAATAAAAAACAATGGGGTTCATCAATTGGTACATGCTTTTAGAATAAAAAACAGGCCCATGTCCACACAAGGGAAAACAGCATAAAACAGACAGTTCTTTGGATATCTCTTGCCCACAGGGTCTATCTCACAGGGCAGTTTGTTCAAAGACAAGGAGAAAATGCAGACGACAGCGCCAACCAGAATTCACGCCAGCCGACGATGGGCAGCAGTGCCATACCGTCGGAAATCAAGAGACAGAAGCAAATTTCCCAAACAAGATGCAGAAAGAAAAAAGTAAGCAGATAGGTAAGAGGGAAATAGGGATAAGAAACAGAGAAGAGAATAAGAAAATAGAGAAAAGAAGAAGGAAACCGAAGAGAAACATGATAAAAAAGAGACAAGAATACATTAACCTTCCCAGATCACCGAACCCAAGGAGCCATTGGTGCGGTAGTAAGAGAGAAACAACCAGGAATGAAGAGAAAACAGATGGACCACGATGCCCTCAATCGATGACATACACACACTTGATCCAGTTCTTCAACCTCAATTTTGCGCCTTGTGACCGTTAATCGCCAGAAGCCAGCCTTTCCCATGCAGTTCATAATGTGGAATATTTCGGAGGAAACAGATGCTTTTCATATGTTACATGGCTGCCGGGCCCCCATCCGAGACAGTGTCGGATAAGTTAATGAGGAGTTGAGCCAGACAGCGCTTGGTGGCTGCGTCGTCGCGCAGGACAGAGGAGAATGTGGCATCGCGGAGGGGTTCGGGGAGGCATTGTCGCAGGGCCTCGCGGGCCCGACTGTTGTCACTCAGACTGCGCGAGAGGTTAGCTAAGATCAGACGGAGGAGGGGTTTCGCGGGCACCCACCGGAGGAAGCAGCGCACAACATGCTTGAGTAGGCGGACAGTCTGTTGCTCCACTAGTTGAGTGACCATGTTGCTGAGAACAGTGCCCACTGCGTAGAACCTTTCGTAGGTCGCACAGATGTAGCCCAAGCCGATGTCATCGAGGAGGATCTTCTGCACAATGAAGATGGCCACGGTCTTGCTGAGCTCCGATCCGGTCTCCATGATGCGAAGACACAGAGGGATGATCTCTGTTGTAAGAAGGAAGTTGATCACGTCGGATGAATCATTCTTCACCAGGGCACCAATGACGCCCAGCGACGTGAGACGAAGATATTCAAATGGACGAGACTTAGAGGTGGTATTGAGGAAGGGGTAGAGGAAGAGGGGGATGTGAGCTAAGCGATCGAAAGCGATTAGCCATAGTTCCTGGAGTCGAGTAAGGATATTGCTTACCGTTCAAGAACAGGGTGCGGGTCTCATTGTGGGATGCGACGCATTGCAAAAGCGCCAGCGCATTGCAGACTCGATTTGAGGCGGCGGCGGTCAGCTGGGAAGGGTTCAAGAGCGGATAGACTGAGATGATTTCCTGAAGGAGCGCAGTCATGACACCTGCAAGTTGCCGGGTTAGCTTCGATTCCAAGGCTGGGCGCACGTTGGGGGGAGGGCTGGGGTCTGTACCAAAAGAGTGCCAAATCACTAGAGCCAGTTCAGGAACTTGTTCTCGCTTCTTGCTCAGTTCCATCAGGGCGGCTTCCCTGCGAGCGGGATCCAAAAGTTCTGCGACCCAGATGAAGACCTTGCGATTCTCTTCGCTGATGCCACCGTCCATGACGTTCACCCCGCTCGCCATACCGTCTCCTCCCATGCCAGCGGCGCCACCAGCTCCCTGCGCAGGATTTCCAGCACCATTACCATTCATGGCAATGCGGCCATAGTGTTGCTGTTGAGCCGCGGCAGCCGCGGCTTGCACCTGGGCGTGCTGTTGAGCGACCAGGGAAGCGTGCTGCTGCTGCGACTGGTGTGGGTGTTGCTGGGCCTGGTGGTGCTGTTGCTGATGCTGCAGCCAGGAGGGATCGGCTTGGGGGTATTGATGCTGGTGGGAGAAGACGTGTTGGCTTTGGGTTGAGATCATGGTGGGTGATCGGACTCGTAATACTCCGAATCAGAAGGTGAACCGGCACACTGCCTGAAGGAAAACAAAAATCGGTGTGTAGCGTCAGGAGTTTAATCCCGAGACTCGACTCATTGACAAAAAGTAAGAAAGGTTGACGGAGAGGGTGAGAAGAGAGAAGTTCGGCAGTGAAGGCGGGGACGGACCTCACGCCTTTGTGTGGCCGGGGAACTTCACTTTTTGACGATCTTTTGTACAACGCCAGCACTTGAGTACTACGGGACTGGACGCTTTATTTTTATTTGTATTGTATTCTGAGTCTTATGTCTACTTACAATGCTTTTAAGAACTCCCAGGTGCTTGCAAACTTGCAGAGGGGGGCACCTTGATAGAATACATTGTGTCCTGCACGATGCACTTGCTTCATGCCGCTGCCCGGGCGGCTGCTGAATGCACTACATCTATTACCTTGGTTCTTATGGAGTATTGGATCTAAAGTACGGAGTATGGAACATCGATCTACAAGGCTGGATCATTGGGAGTCAGATCTTACGAGCCATGCCCGGTAAAGACCGTGAACGTTTCATATGTGTTTCATATCCCGAATTCATATTATCATGTCAAGTCAGTACTCGTAAAAATTCATATGTACATCAACATCAAAGCCAAGGCCGTGTGTAAATCATAGTGATACATCAGTCACGTTAAATATCTGCGCCATATATGCAACCGAAATCAAAGGTAAATTCAAAAAGGTATTTGTCACTCATCGACGGCTTGATCGAGCGCGCGATTGTCGGGATCGCCGTGTGTCCCGAGTTCGTCGGTCAGAGCTTCTGCTGCCTGGAAGAGGAAGTTAGTCTGATTCGTTAGAAAGGAGAGGAGGAGAACATACTGCCAGTTCCGGAGTAGTAGTCGGAGTAGTAATAGTAAGAGCTTGGGTAAGAGGACTCAGTCTTGCTGTCGTCATGATCCTTGTCCCTGTGTCTCTTCAGGCCCAAGCATAAAGCAAGAGCCCCGAGGATGATGGCGATCTTGCCCCAGCTGTTCTTCTTCTCGCTGACATCACTGCCTTCGGCAGGCGGCTTAGATCCGAACCATGTCCGCCCAGGAGGTGGAGGTCGGCCTCCGTGTGAGTGGTGTGAGTGGCGTTCTTCCACATAGGTTGTATCTCGCTTGCGACGCTTGCCGATTCCAAGAGCTGCAAAGAGACCGTCCAAGACACCCTTGCAACAGAGACAGGCGCAAATCAAGAGCAGCAAGAAGGCACCGGCGATGGAACCAATGACAATTCCGGCAATAGCACCGCCACTGAGTCCACCATCGTTGTCAGATGCCTTTGCACCGATCAAGTCTGCGCCGTCTGTTCCGACAGGTGCCGTGAAGCCCTCGGTTGTTGTTGGGGCGGAAGTTGCTGTGACGGTACTGGCTCCATCGCTCGTTCCTCGAACTGGTGGCGTAGCCTCTGCGTCGGTTCCAGTCGCCGTCACTGCTACGGACGAACTCTCGGCGACACATTCACCGTCCTGACACTCCTGCGCAGCCTCGCAACAACGTGTGCCGCACTTCGTTTCGCCAATGTCGGCCCGACAGGTGCCGGTACTGGTGGCTGCGGCGAGTTGACTACTCCATACAGAGGTGATTGTTGATAGGTCGGTTTCCGTCAGCGTGTACACGGTGGTGTAATATTGGTAGCCTCCACTGCCACTGCCACCGCTATCGGAGCAAACGGCCTCTTTGGCACTGTTGGTCGTACATGTTTGACCGCTTGAGCAGCACAGCCAGCCGTCATAGCCGCAGGGATTCGCACAGCGCTTTTCAATTGTGGTGTTGAGGGCGTTTCCCTCGTATGCGAGCGGGGTTGCGGTTGTCAATGAGCGGTCGAGTAGTAGGGTCAGTGTCGACAAGACCGATAGGATGGATGAGGACCGCATTGCGAGTGGAATTTTCGGAGTTTCCAGCACGCAGGCCGGTGGTCTTGCAAGAGTAATCCGAGATGGGCGAAATTGTAAATGTACTCAGGTCTCGGGGATGTATACTTCGGACCTGTACCCTCACGAATCAACTTTTAGACCCCGATATCGAATCTTAAAAGTCTTGAAGTGTATTTTCTAGGAATGGAATGTAAGAAGAGGAATGGAAGAAGAAAAGAGAAAGAAAAAAACATGTGGTTGTTCTAGTCCGGTTTCTGACTCCAGCCTCCCAGCCTCTCCGTATACCCAACCACCCGCTTTTCGTTGGAGACCAAACCAACTCTCCTCTGGGAGGCTGGGGTTTCAAATTAAACACATCATACGCTACTGTGATTGGTCAAACGCTAATTTTACCTCGAATAAAACTCGAGGCCTGCAACGATCGGCGATGCGGGTTTTTGGTTCCCCACTAACAACGCTTTCATGATCAACACCGCTATTCTACGGGGATACTCCTTTGATGCGAGACAACCCCATAGATGGGGCCATTGGGCAGACAAAGGAGCAGGCGCAGAAAAAATAAACACAGAAACACCTTGGAAGCTTGGGTGACCGTGAGCTTACCAATGGCAGCCCAATGACTAACTGCCCAATGCTTCAGAAGCCCTGACGATCCGATGGCAAGGAAGTCTAAGGTGCATGAAGGTAAATCACAGAAATGCCAGGGAACAACGAATTATCTATGCAGTGATGCCTGGCTTACAAGGCAGATTGAATCGGCCCTTTCTAGCCCCCTAAAGGAGCGGAAGCCCCTCGCTGTCTACCCAAGTGCTGGAACGATTCATCAAAATCAACGAAAAGGTCGTCGAAACGTTCAATTTCAACCGGAATACGAGCCATGGCCTCTGTGACACCTGACGCTTTCTTTTCGTCCTCCGTCAAATGTTCATGGGTCGTCGTTCACGAGTGAATATGGAGCCTCTTCACATCACTTACGTTGGGCAAATTTGAAAGGAGCTTCAAGCCATCCACGATCTTGCTTCCTGCAGCCGCATCGCCATGAACTGCAATATTCAGCATGTCGCCAAAGCCCCGGGTGCCGGGTGAGGTACTTTCGAGCCTGTGCATGGGTGGGGTGGGATTTGAACCTGGGCCACAGTGTCCAGCTAGCATGCGGGCTGGATTCGAAGTACTGCACAAACCTGGTAGTGTTTTGAGCATGTCGCTCACTTCTAAGAAAAATAGTTGTGATACCGGGGAGAACTCGCTGGACGAGAAAAGCAGCCACGAATTCGGGGCCATGGAGCATTTGTACTCCTATGCGGGCGATAAAGGTCGCCGGAGCGAATTGCTCCCAATAATCGAGACCGCGGTGTCACCGGAATTGCGTTCACAAAGGGGCACAGCGGCCAGGTCTGATGATGCCTGATTTTTGGAGATCACCCTATGGTTGGATTCGGATGTTTGCTGGTTTACCTGAGCGGGGAGCATCTTCGAACATCTCTCTACGGGCAATGCCACTTCGTGTCGGGTCGAAGCCCTTTCACGCGTGAGAGCATGGATTTGTTTTATACTCGTCGTGTCATGGTCACTGAGCGAATGTGTACAGAAGACCTCAGAATTGATGGACGAGATTTGGCTTACCGTGGATAATGAGATGAGTCTTCGGATCTACTCGAGAGGTAGGGCTGGAACTATATCGGAGATGAGGGGTCCCCCCAGAAGTCCTTCCAGTCAACTTCAGATATTGTAGAAAGCCTCGCAATGCGACCGTGTCCAAACGAATTGTCTTTGTATTTCAGAATACGGAATAACTCGCTCCAACAGTCCGTGTTTCTCGCGTTTCCCAATCTTGAAGTCCAGGAATTGAATGATTGGTACTGCGACGACTGATTTCACGATATAATTTGACCCTTTCGCGTATACTAGAAAAACATTATGCACCGATGTCAATTTGCCACGATCTTGCAAACAGGCAATCATTCTATTCGTCTCGTCTCTCATCCAGATTGCTCTATCTCTAGGGGATCCATGTGTCTGATAATCAACCCTCTGCAACTCTGAATGGCAACTTCTGATCTACTTAGATCTAGTATTCTTCGAGGTTAAATCGATGAAAGTCCTCGCCTTCTCCGTCGTTCGAGTATCAACAATGCGAGGCAGATGGCAGAGCCCAGATACATTGATCCAGTAAAGAGCTGCACCCTCAGAAAAGGCTTCGATTCCGTTGAAGGGTCTCTGAGTTGCAGCGCAATGGCCTCTGCCACTGTCGTTGGCGGGCAAAGCGCAAGCCACAAGATAGCGAGTCCAGTGCCTATATCCTGTAGCCCCACGACTTCTGCGGCAAGCGGTGCAGCAACTGCAAAGAGTGTCCCGGCAACCAATCCGACGGCAATCGAAAAGAAGTATGTCAAGCCAAGTGAGTCGACAAAAGTCCACAGCACAAAAGAAAAGACGCTTGTCAACAGCGAAGCGACGAGTGCGACATTGAACCGTCCAAAATGGTCACTGAGTAGACCGATAGCTGGGCGCCCAATCGCTTGACCTAGATTGAGAAGTGCGCTTGCTAAGCTGCCCTGCTGTTGAGTGAGACCAATCGCAACTGAGAAGCTGGACATGCTAAAAAGCAGCACAACATAACCTAGAGCGCTCAGAAACGCCCAACCCAGAAAAAGGAGATATTCCAGTCTCAAAATGACGGAAACCCGGAATGGCGTAGCTTTGGATGAAGTGAATGAGTGTGCGGGCAGCCGAAGCAGATTAGCGCAAGTCAGGTTTATGACGAAACACAAAATCCCCAGTGTGCGCATCGCCCATGGAAACCCCATTTGGGGGATCATTTTACCCACAGCGAGAGAATAAACCAAGCCGCCTATCCCAGATCCGGAGGCAGAGATTCCGTTTACTAGACTTCGCCGCTTCTTGAACCAGTAGGAAGTAATTCCCACCGATCCACAAAAACACAGACCCATGCCGAATCCGAAACACACACCCTGTGAGAGGAAGAGCTGCCAGCTCGTTTTCGCGAATGAAGCGGTGATCAAAGACAATGTAACGAAGATGGCGCCGAGATTCAACACAAAGCGATGAGACACCCGTTGACAGAGGTAGGTTGCCAGAGGTGCTATGAGCATGGCACAAGACATACTGAGCCCTCCGATAAAAGCGTATTCAAGAGCTGAGGTACCGGGGAAAACATCGGAGGATAAGTAATAGGCAAGAAAAACTCCGTATGACTGTGGATTGAAAAAGTTAGCAATCTTTGATCCGGAAGCACGAGTGGCGTGACTGTCATACACCATTGATGCCCCATGTGTGGGCATTCATGAGGAATGTGCAAGCAACACAAACCCAGCCATAGCCACCCTCCCGGAACTGATCTGTCTGTGGATCTGGCTTGCTGGTTGTTGGGGAAGAACCCTTTGCCTGCGAAGATGATTCACTCATCTCTGATCATGACCATTTTTGCTCAAGTTAATCTTTGTGGGTGTATACATGCTGACACTCCTGGCCTTTATATTGGTACCTGGATCGGAGGTGCGTTTCTTAACCCCCGAAAGAGCTTGACTGAACTCATAGCTTTGCTTTTGCAGGCCCGGAGCTGACACCGAAAGTGCCGAGTATGAAGCGTGTTTGCACTTATCGAATATCAGCCTACAGCGATTCAAAGCTTAGACAAACCTTTCGTGCATATTTGAAACTTGAATATTGGAATTTCTGGCCGCCCTTGCTGTCTACTTGATAAGTTATCAACCAAAATCTGATCTATCATCACACCTGGGCACAATTACAGAGTACGAAGTACAGATAAAGCAGTTCCTGGTCAGATAAGATTGCCTCTAGGGCTCTGAGCTCCACCTGAACTAAAGTTCACGGACGCGTCGGTGCCGAAACTCCGGTATCCACTATTATATAAATTCCAGCCAATAGGAAGCCAGCCCACACGCTTCATTCCCTCCCCACGTTTTGGCCACGAGCTGGCTGGCTTCGGACATTCGGCGCCGATATTGCCGACAACTACAGCATACCCCGTCTTCCGCAAATCTCGTCTCGTTGTCTTCTATCGGCTGGTTTTCACTTGTTCCGCACCTTCAGCACTATGCTGAGAGTACAGAAATCTTCCCCAGAGGCAAAAGGGGACTCGCAGTATAAGTTGGGCGCCCGATCCTGCATAGCATGCCATCGGCGCAAGGTCCGTTGTGACCGAGGAGTGCCATGCACAAACTGCTCGAAATGCGATTCTACCTGCGTCTATCCCACAAAAGATAAGGACAAAGATGATCAGAGAAATTTCACTTTGCAACATATCTCCGACCGTCTTGGGCGACTGGAAACCCTTCTTTTGCACCTCGTGGGACCTCGTATATCTGCCCCTGATGCCGAACTTCAAGGACAAGTACAAGACCCGCCAACATTTGGGTCGGGTCAACGGAATCACAAACCCTGGGAGTTGTTGCTGAACGATGGAAATAATGTCCAGTACGTCAACAACTCAAACCTGAGGGATCTCCTCCAGAATGTGAGCCTGAATTATTAGATTCCTACGTGTGAAAAACCATACTAAATCAACCCCAGGATGAACGTATAAAATCCCAGCGCGTCTCAGACTCTGAGCCGACACTGCAGCTACAAAACCACACAAGTTCCCATACCTCCCCTTCACAGCCAAGTCCTTGTTCAAATGCTGCGCCCGACGTTCTTGGATTTTACCCCGAATCACATTTGGCCCTTCAGCTATGGGCGTTATACGTGAAGTCTGTTGACCCGGTACTCAAAATTTTACACATACCCACGACTCAGTCTGCTGTCATAGCAACGATACTCGACCCCAAGTCTGCGAGTGCCTCGATGGTTGCGTTGACATTTGCAATATATTTTGCCGCAGTCACAACCTTGCATCACTCCCATGAAGTGATTGATCTTCCCATGGAAAGGCTAGCACTGTTAAAAAATTACAAATCCGCACTAGATCGACTTCTCTTAATCACAGAGGTGATGAACCGACCCGAGATCCCAGTCCTACAAGCTCTTGCAATTTATACCGTATGTGATGCACCACTGTCCCATGATACTTACTTGAGTACTAAAATCATGCTGTAGACCTGTCTACGCGTTCATGAAACAGGTCGCGGTGCATGGATCTTGAACGGTCTCGCAATTCGACTTGCCCAGTCTATAGGTCTCCATCGCGATGGTGCATCTCTCCGCCTGAGCCCATTTGACACCGAGATACGCCTTCGGCTATGGTGGCATCTATGTGTTCTCGATGCTCGAGCTCCGGAAGATCAAGGGTTCGAGCCCACCATCGACATTCTCAATCGAGGGCTACGTCTCCCTCTAAACGTCGATGACAACCAGCTATTCCCAAGTATGAAGCAGCTTCCTGTCGAATCTGTTGGATGGACAGAAATGTCTTTCTTCCTTATTCAGACAGAATCATGCCGATTACTACACCCGGTCTTAGGGACCCGTGAACATTCCCCATCAAATGCCCTGTCTGATCTCATGACTAAAAGACAGATGATAGAGGAACGTACCCGGCATGTTTCATCGAAATACGGCGTTCCTGTCAAAATGCCTGGATATCTACCGTTCATTGCAGTGCAGCATTTTACTACCGCCCGCAAGAAAATGGAATTCATGCTCCGGCTCCGAGAAGAGATTGGTATGCAGAAAGAGGAGGGAGCGCAGGATGATACCGCAGACGTCTTGAAGCCATCATTTCAGCTTGCATGCGATAGTCTGGAGAGCAACTCGATTCATCTGACAGATGGCCTCACCGTGGGATTCAAATGGTTATTCACGACCTACGTCCCGTGGTACGCTCTTGCGTATGTCCTGCGCTGCCTGAACAACAACCCCTGTGGACCGAATACCGATCGTGCTTGGAACTTGGTTGAAAAGGTCTTCCCTCGTGGTCTGAATCTAAACGAGCTTTCGACGCCGGAGGAAGACGGGTACAGCAGTATCTGGAAGTGCCTAGCGTTACTCCGACACCAAGCACTATCGTCAAGAAACGCCCAGTCACTTGCAAATCATCAGCACGCCTCTGTTGAGCGTGTTCACAACTTGGATGATAGAGCTGAAGTGCAAGTTAATCATGGCGAGCCGCCGCCGGCTTATGCGTCGGCTTTGCCGGGCTATGGAATGACTTCGGAGCAGGACATCATCGCTGACCCTAGCCAAGATATGTTCTCGTCCTTTGACCTTTCCATGTCTGGGGCCCCGTATTTGCCGGAATGGAATGCAGTCATACATGGATTCTTAATGGATAGCAATGCCTCAGATATACCTGAATGAACTTAACGCTTGTCCAGACTATTCCAACTTGACTATTCCAGGATTGACACCTTATGCGCATTACAAAGCTCCCCTGGTTACATTACCAAGGGAAGGAGGTGTGATCCCTACAGCCCGATAATCGACCAACCGATCCGAAAAGTCCGATCGAAATCCTTTCACTGATTGCCGCAATACAATCGGTTGGAGAAATGGAGCGTTTACGCTGCACTTTGTTGCTTCCCCCATAATCTCCCTACCGCTGTCTCTCTCTGTCTCTACCTTTCTCTCTCTCCATAGACTCAAAAGTACCATCCCCGGCCTCAGCGCTATACACAGGCAATCCTACCCACTCGATGTCTTCCACCGGACGGGGGTTTCTTATCTCAGTTGTCGCCGCTTTGGTGAGGGTGCTCAGATTCAGGTGCTTTGAGTAGATATGAGTTCAAGCTCAGACTGAGTGAATGACATCCCCAATGCTTGGCAGGTTACGTTAGTGGGCACAGACTCCAGAGGCCTCGAGGCGGCTGGGATGTGGGGCACAAAAATGGAAATGATTTTCAAGATCAGCTCTACACACCGTCCGTCGAGGATGAGAAAGTATTGGGCCAACCGACCGAAAGTAGATGAAATCGAGCTCTAGCAAGCTGGTTGTTCACTCGGATCCAGGAGCGGGGATTTCAACTCGGAAGGCTCGAACCTTCCATTCTCCATGCCAAGCGCACCGAAAATACGATGCCAACCCGAGAATAAGCCGGGATATCAACAAAACCCAAAGAAGATTATATCCCGCATGATACTCTCTCATCTTGGCAATGTCGTGTTGCCGTCGCCCCAAGAAACCAGGCATATTTGGCACGCAGCCACCAAAGAATGCAAAGTTAATTAAGGAGGGGACCAAGCCAGAGATATACTCTTGTCGCGGAGTTGACTTCCCCATTCACGGACATGTCTTGTCCGAATGTCGCATCATTCGACCTGGATGCCGGCCAAGCACGGGTTGCGAGGCTGTGCTCTCTTGGAAAATGGAGATCAACCAGCCCTGAGCCAGACATATTCCAAGCGCTCTTGGTTTTCTTGTCTTTCAACCTTCGACTCGGGGTTTCTCTTCCTTGGAAACCCTAACTCACCTGACATCGCATCGGAAATTTGACTCGTTTTACTTAGTCGATGCTGGGCATAGCAAGAGTGGACCCGGACATACCGTTCATTGGGTCTCCGTTGTCTGATTTAGCTCTTGAGTTAAAACTTAGGTACGTTGATCTAACGGGGCCCACTTTGCCAGAATGCGGGGTGATATGTCTAGGGTAAGCCAGCTTTCCACGCGATATGCTGTCAAAATCCCAAGTCTACTACAAAGGCGAAATAATATAAAAGCAGCCATGCCGGACAATACGAAAGAGCAGTTCAAATTGCAGTCGCACTGCAAACTACTGTCCATCTTCCTTTACAAACAACCTTGGCACCATGACTGAAAACAAGATCTCCCCGGAGATCGATGACGAAAAGCCCGGTGTCTTGCACAAGGAAGACACTATCGACCAAGAGAAGCAGAAGCATTTGAAGAATGTCGACTACTCTGGCGCGACCAAAAAGACCGATCCTGCTGAGATTCGTCTGGTCCGCAAGCTCGATCTGTGGATCATGCCTACTTTATGGCTGATGTACTGGCTGAACTACCTCGATCGCAATGCCATCGCCCTGGCACGGTTGAATGACCTTGAGGAAGATCTGAACCTCTCTTCATCCCAGTACCAAACCTGTGTTTCTATTCTTTTTGTTGGTTATATCGCTGGGCAGGTTCCTAGCAGTAAGTCTATCCATGCCAAAGCCTACCACCTTGACCACTAACTTTATCATAGACATGTTGATCACACGACTACGACCTTCTTACTATATGGCTGGAGCCATGGCCGCATGGGCTGTTGTTAGTGCGTTGACTGCGTTGGCCAAGGACTTCACCGGCCTGCTGCTAGTTCGATTCTTCCTCGGCGTCACAGAGACACCATACTACCCCGGTGCCCTCTACATGCTCTCGATCTTCTACACACGCAAGGAGATCGCAACCCGCATTTCCATCCTCTACACCGGCAACATTCTCGCTACAGCCTTCGCCGGCCTGATTGCCGCAGGTATCTTCCATGGCATGGACGACCTCGCCGGCATCTCCGGCTGGCAATGGCTCTTCATTCTGCAGGGTGCCGTGACCTTCGTCGTAGCAGTCTGCTCCGTCTTTGTGCTACCAGACGATCCTCTACACACCCGCTGGCTAACCGAAGACGAACGGCAGCTTGCTCACAACCGCATTCTCGCTGATACCGTCGGAGCCCGCCACCAAACCAGCACATTCGGCGGCGTCAAAGAAGCTGCAAAGGATCCCCGAGTCTGGCTCTTCGCTTTCATGCAACACATGCATCTCGCAGCAAACGGGTTCAAGAACTTCTTCCCAACTGCTGTTGAAACTCTCGGCTTTAACACTACAATTACTCTTGTGCTCACATGCCCGCCTTATCTCATCGCCGGCATCATCTCTGTATACTGGTCCTGGAGTTCTGGCCGTATGAATGAACGAACATGGCACATCACCTGCGCAAAGGCGGTTGCGATCTTCGGGTTCGTCCTTGGATGTGCAACTCTGAATACCGGCGCGAGGTATTTTGCTATGTGTGTCTTTGCGATTGGTACTTATGCTGGTACATTTTACTGAATACTTTAATTCGTTGTCTCTGGTTACTGATTTTCCGGGATAGTCAACTCAATCATCCTCGGTTGGGTCTCGAGTACCTGCGGTCAAACGAAGGAGAAAAAAGCTTCGGCTCTGGCTATCGTCAACACATGTGCTAATATCTCGTTTATCTGGACTCCTGTATGTCTTTTTCTCGTTCCCTTTTCATCCATCGAAAAAAGGACTCGTGCTAATTGCGAATAGTACCTCTGGCCATCGTCCGATGAACCACGCTACACAATCGCCATGGCATCCAGCGCTGCATTCTCAATTACCTGCGCGGCTTGTGCTTGGGCGATGAGAATCTGGCTGCAGCGTGCGAACCGCAAGATCCGCCGGAGTAATGATGAGTCAAGCCTTTACTATGCTTACTAGGTCAAACCTGCGAGGTAAGTTTACCTGGACAAGTTTATTACATATCAGGGACGGGCCACTACCGCATTGGCTTTCCGTAGAAAGCCTTACTCCAACCTTGTAAGTTGGACGTGGAACTTAGAAACCGTGTGTAAATTAAGAGCTTCCAATTTCCAACTTTATATATTGCATATGAAAGAGACTGTTCTCAAGGTTCTCCATATGTAAAAGCAGCTGGGCACCTTGTAGATTTTAATTCGCCCAACAAAACACCGAAAAAACAAAAGCCCGCGACATGAATGGACGTTATAGAGATTTCATGAGAACATCAAAGCTGACATGGTCGGAGAAACATAGACAGTAGAAAAAGCAATATACAAAACATTCAGCCATATCATTCCATCATATAAACATACCCGCGACACCAACGACAACACCAAGAGCCAGATCTTTTAAGCTGGTCGAGCGCACCGCAGCAATGTTCCCATTGGCGTCGGCATCCGCAGTCTGCGTAGCGACCGTGCCACAATACCCCAGGTTGATACCGTGGCAAGCATCCAGACTCAAGCTTGAGCAGATAGAAGTCGCCTGCGAGGAAGCTGTCACGGCCTGGACTGTCTTGCCACCCCCGTCGACACCAATCGTCACAGCATACCGACCCATCAGGGCGCCCGTGCACTGCGCATACTCTGACTGACACACGGAGTAATAGGAGGAGCATGTCTGGGGGTTGTTGAAGGCAGTGGGGACGTAGACGAAGGGGTATGCGCCGTCGATTGTGGACTCAGTATTGGAATCGGCGGTGGCTGTTGCGGTCGCGGCGTTCGGGAACATGAAGTTGGTTGTTGATCCGGTAGTCTTTGTTCCGGTCAGACTACCTGTGCAGCTTGCGCCGGTCGCGCAGCAGGCGATGTTGTTGGCTGCATCTCTTGAGCAGTTGGTGCCTTGTCTACAGCAGGCGTTTGCGTTGCCGAGCTCTGTGCAGGGGTTTGTGCCGCTGGGACAGTTGTTGTCGGCTCGTTGCAGGATGCGGAGAACCTCGAAGGCGCGGCGGTTGACGGCTTCTTCGGCTGGGGAGAATGGGGCTGTGATTGAGTTTGCGGAGGTGAGGAATGTGGCCGCGATCCAGATCCAGGAGGACCGCATTCTTGTGGAGTTTTGTAGGGTGTGCTGTATCTCTATGTTCTCATCTCGGGGTGGGATGTCAACAAACTACTCAAAGAGGCAAGATTAGCTTCTGAGTGAAGAGGAGAGGAATTGGAAGTCCACGTACTGAGGGAATGAATGGTAAGAGATCAAATTATTCCAAGATTGAGGATCCCAAGTGTTCCAGAATGTCGCAAAAGATGAAATGATGTAGGGTGAGGCCCATAATTAAATCACTGCAGCAACAGCCCAAAACCCGCCCAACTCTATGCTTTCCGCTTAATTTTCCCTTTTGCTTTCCTCTTCTTTTCTTCCAATTTCTACTGCAAAGTACTTGATCTTACGACTTTCTACTACTTATAATACTTACACAGGCTTCCAGCAAAAGTATCCCCGTCTCTTCTGACCGCGTTTCACAAACTCACTGCCACCGCCAAGTCTATCCCCGGTGGAACTCACCGGGAATTCGGAGGCTGGGCACCGACAGGTCGCAACTCGTCATATAACGGTGGGTCTCTCGTACATCTTCAACAATAGATGTTCGAGGACCACTGGTCCAGGCCGTCCTTTAGGCTGCTCCAGCGCCAGAAATCCCCCAGAGAATCGCACCCAGCCAGAAGGCCGGTTCACCGACAGATTCCAGTCCTCGTGTTCTGGGCTGGAGAATGTGTCACAGACGAGCGATGATAGTCCAGCAAATGGGAGGCGAGATATACCAGCCATCAAGTTGAGGGCGTACAATGCTTCTTGGTCTCTGCGCTAATGTTGGCTTCACTCGATTATTGACGATAGCCCTGTTGACAGTAAATTAATTGCGACCGAAGGAGGGGTACCTTGAGGCCCTTGTGCATTACCTATACTGGCAACGCCTGCGAGTGGACATGCACATCGAGTGAGTGCCGGCGGTCTGGATTTGGACATGAATTACCTCTTGAACCAGTGCCCAGGCCATGACAGCCTCAGTCGCCTATTGCATCACCCTTGCCCCTGCCAAAGCCCTCGGCACAGATCAGGCCGTCAGATAGCCGGTGCAGATAATGGGCTCCTAGGCTGATTGCGGTGACTTGAGGGTTGAAGATGCCAACCCGGGAACTTCTATACCTGCGACGTTGTTAGCGAAGTAATTATGAGAAGTATCTACAGAGGGGTATCACTTGAAGCCCACTGGTGTTTTCATCTTTGGTCATCTCTTGATCAATTCGAGGGACTCAATGGATGGCACACACAGTACCTCATTAAATACCCCCAAACCCTAGATCCAGACTTGTTGATAGGACATTCTATCAGACAAAATGGAGTACCGTACTAACAGACTATTTAGCAAACTATTGTACATTTATTTTGCACCTCTGAACAGTATCTCAGATGGCGAGACGCCGTAACTGTCCGGGGTACTCCGTATAACACTCTTTCCTGGTCAAAGACAAACTCTCACAATTTCCCACTATCAGTCACAAATTGCTCTCAATACTCTGTACTACATCTCAATATTCAATCATTCAAACATTCAAGTTGGATAATACTCCATACGAAGAACTTCCATACAAAACAAAATCCAACAATCCCCACGTCGATCACTCTGACTAAGGCCCAGCCTTGGCACCAAAATGGCTTCCAGTCGCGACCCTCCCTCCGACCGCGCGGCCACAATGTACGGCGAACTCGGCAACAAGCTGGTAAGAAGTCCCAAACCCCAAATCTCAATTACCCTAACAATCCCAGGTCCAACACGCCAAACGCACCCAATCCCTCGCCCACCTCCCACCCTACCAAACCGAGATCGTGCGGGCCGTGACCCGCGAAGTACGCGATCTCGACCGCGATGTCACTCGCCTCCTAGAGCCCTTCGAGGGCGCATTCAATCCCTCCGCAGACCCAGCCATTGCCTGTGCCCTCTTAGTCGATCACCTGTGCATGCGTCGGAACAAGCGCTGTCTACTGGCTTACCACCGCGTGCGCACGGAGAAGCTGGAGGAACTATGCTGGACGGGGGTGGATATCCTCGAGCAGCAGCAGCATATGGACGGGACGCAGACGGCGCTTGGGCCGAATGGGCATAGCTCGTTGAGTCCCGAGGAGGAGGAGTATTTTCGACAGTATGGGGATTTGCTGGCTGCTTACAAGGGGCAGTGGACGGATGTTGATTTAACGGGGACGTTGGAGCCGCCGAAAGATTTGTTTATTGATGTTCGTGTCTTGAAGGATGCTGGTGAGATTCAGACTGAGTATGGGTGAGTTTTGAGTTTCCTTTTTTTCCTTTTTTACGTTTCTGATTGTTGACTGGTGTCAGTGTGATCAACTTGACCAAAAATAGCCAGCTGTATGTTCGCCAGGGTGATGTAGAGCGCCTGATTGCTCAGGGATTTTTGGAGCGATTGACTTGATCTTTTAGATTCGGTCTATGAAGATGTATGGACTGGCGTTGGCTCCGGCTTCAAGAACTATGTACTCTGAGATACCCCTACCGTTAGTGTCTGGACCTAATGGGCGCCAATGAATTATTTGATTTTTGTCCTTTTTTCTCCGGCATCGCATTCTCGCATGCTCTATTGTATGATTGTGATTTGTAGACTTGGTCGAAAGAGACGTGGTGAAACAGCCCACTTGGGACTTTTGTAGCTTTAGAGTGGCAGCGCTAAGCAGCCCGCCGATTGGCTAGCGGCGCCGCTGTGCAGCAAACATGCATAGCTGTAAAAGCTGCCAGTCCGACTCCGGAGGTGAAAGTAGTTGATCGACGATGTATATAGAAGACCATTGACGAGAAAGGCCCAGACAAGCATCCGATGCACGGGCCAGCCTGGTTATCGATCGTATCAGTCCGGATTGGGTTTAGTGCGCAGAGACCAGATAAGACGCCGTTTAGTCAAATTAACCTGTTTTGCTATTTTTTTTTTATCTTTGCTAATTCGCATGATTCAAACCTCCATTGGCAATTGCAATTATCCGACTCGGTGACTGTCAGCCATTGAGTATAAAAGAGACCATGCCCGCGCTTGCGTCATCCGCCCGTTGAACTTCGATCGTGGGACAACTCTTGCGTGACCATGGGGGTACTACAACCACGGGGACGTCGTGATTCTCGCGCATCTGCTCTGTCGCGCAATTTACTCTTCGATCGTGACACTCAGCCTACTGCCTCAGAGTCGGCAGTGGAACATGCACACTTGGGGACCTCCCCCGGGCCAATTGGAGTGTCATCAAGCTACAACGGTTCAACAATACGCACGCCAAACCGATCCTTTTACCACCGATCAATGAACACGAATAACATGGGTGGGTCATGGGATTTCCCCGCTTCCGCGCGATTTTTACTGACCATTGGCCCGGCCGCAGATCCGGCCCAGTATGCTACAGATGGTCTCCGTGACCAGACCGCCGAACTGGCGACATACGGTCTCTCGTTAACGAAAAAGTCTCATCTGCGAGATGGTCCCGGCTTACCGCCCAGCCTGGATATATTTCACGGCACCCAATCTGCGCCGCATTCCCAGGATGAGCCTACGAGTTCGGGTGCTGCTGGGGAGGCTCTGCTGGAGCCGAGATATGCTTCGCTGGATCCTGCATCGGCTTCTTCGGCCTTGACAGAGATGATTCGTCGCCCCTCGGAGGTTGTGGTGGAGGATCAGCTCTCGCAGCCAGGCACAAATGAAATCACGCAGTTTCCGCCCCCACCCACGGTCCTCGAGGACGCCGAGCCGGACACAGAACACACCTCGTTGCTATCCAAGTCGCGATCCAAATCTACCCAGAATTATGGCTCTTCGGATGTGGAGAACCAGAGAGTACCGATCATACGATCCCCAACCGCTCTCGACAAGGGTATTTCCTCTCTGGCTCAGTGCTCTCGCACTTTAGCGAATCCCAAATCCTGGAATGGACGCGCCATATGGGACCAGGCGGTGGCTTATCCAGCTAGTTTGGTCCCTGCGGTGCTGTTGGGTTTGCTCCTCAATATCCTCGATGCCTTGTCGTACGGAATGATCCTGTTTCCGCTGGGCGAACCCTTGTTCGCACATCTCGGTACCGATGGTATCTCCATGTTCTATGTCAGCACCATCATATCACAGGTGGTCTTCTCTAGTGGTGGCTCAATCTTCAAGGGAGGAATAGGAAGTGAGATGATTGAAGTAGTGCCATTCTTCCACCAGATGGCTTTCACCATCATGAACTCCATCGGCAAAGACAACCCGAAGTCAGTGATTGCGACGACTATCCTTGCCTTCTCTGTCAGCTCCATTCTCACTGGCTTGGTGTTCTTCCTGATGGGTGTATGTGGACTGGGCTCGCTCATTGGCTTCTTCCCCCGCCACATCCTCATCGGATGCATTGGTGGCGTGGGTTACTTCCTGCTTCAAACGGGCGTGGAGGTGTCTGCTCGCTTGCCCGGGTCTTTGGAGTACAACCTCCCCACACTGCAGAAACTCTTCCAGCTTGATACTCTCCCACTTTGGATGATACCATTGGCTCTTGCGGTTGCGCTTTTGGTTTTGAAGCACTTCGTTCGCTCCAACTTTTTGGTTGGCGGCTATTTCATCGCAGTGGCTGCGGTATTCTACATCGTCGTATTGAGCGCCCAAATCTCCATGGATTCTTTGCACCATACTGGGTGGGTCTTCGATGCCCCAGCGTCAAATAACCCATGGTACCATTTCTATACGCTTTATGGTATGTCAGGCATCTCACTTGGTATGATCACGCTGCTAATTAATTCCAGATCTTTCAGAGGTCAATTGGACCGCCTTTGGCGAGACCATTCCCGCGATGTTTGCGTTGACCTTCTTTGGCGTGCTACATGTTCCTATCAATGTTCCCGCCCTTGGTATATCCACCGGCGAGGACAATCTTAACGTTGACAGGGAACTTGTGGCCCACGGTGTGACGAATGCCCTTTCAGGGTGTGTGGGAAGTATCCAGGTATGTTGCAACGATCATTTTCGCGGGAATCCACCATCTGACTGATTCAGAACTATCTCGTCTACACAAACAGTCTGCTGTTCATTGCTAGCGGTGGATCATCGCGTTTGGCAGGGTTGATGTTGGCTGCAGCCACAGCGGGCATCATGGTTATTGGCCCGGTCATCATCGGCTATATCCCCATCATGGTAGTTGGTGCGCTGATCTTCTTGCTAGGCATTGAATTGCTGCAAGAGGCATTGGTAGACACCTGGGGAAAGCTGACCCGTCTGGAATACTTGACTGTTGTCATCATCGTCGTGACAATGGGTGCCTTGGACTTTGTCGTTGGAATCTTCGTTGGAATCATCTTGGCCTGCGTGAACTTTGTAGTTCAGACATCTCAGAAGTCTGCCATCCGAGCAACCTACTCTGGTGAAATCGCGGGTTCCACAGTTCGGCGTCCCCCCATCCAGCAGCAATTCCTCCGCGAAGCTGGACAGCAGACCCTGATGCTCAAGCTGGGAGGGTATCTCTTCTTCGGAACCATCGTCAACGTGGAAAATACCATGCGTGGCTTGATCGAAGATGACGCTTTCGACCGACGACCAATTCGCTTCCTTATTCTCGACTTCTCGCGTGTCTATGGTATCGATTTCTCGGCCGCCGAAGCCTTCACGCGCATCAACCGTGTCCTCCGAAAGCGCAACGTGCAGACAGCTATTTCCGGTCTGAACGTCGAAGGCGATGTAGGCAAGTCTCTACAAAATGTAGGACTCTTTGAGCCAGAATCCGGCGTCCCCATCTTCGAAGACCTCAATTCGGCTCTTGAATTCTGCGAAAACGACTACCTCAAAGTCTTCTACAATCGCCAAGAAGCACTCACCACCCCTACCGACCCAACCGCCAGCGACAGCGAGGGCTCCCTCCACCTGCCCGTCCCCGTCCCCACACAGCCAACAGTCCTCCCCGATAACATCGTCAGCTCACCCCGTCGCCAACACCTCCAGCGCGTAGCAACATCCACAATCCAAGCCCACGAAACAACCATGATGATCTCCCCCGCCTGGTCCGCTATGCGCCAACCTCTCCCCCTCCTCCTCCAAACTTTCCAAGGCCTCTCCTCCCAAAACGAAGACTTTTGGTTCCCCGCCTGCGCCTACTTCTCCTGCGAATCCTACCCCGCGGGCACAGTCTTATACCACGAAGGCGATGCCCCACGCGCCTTCTACCTCCTCGAATCAGGGATGCTGCGCGCAGGCTACGATCTCCCACAGGGTCGCTACTTCGAGCTCATCGTCGCCGGCCGTCCATGTGGTGAACTGCCATTCTTCAGCGATACACGCCGCACTGCCACCGTCAAGGCTGAGCGTGATTCCGTGGCTTGGTGTTTGACTGGTGATCAGTGGAAGATATTACAAGAGAAGGAACCGCGTATTGCGCGGGAGCTGCTTACTGTCAGTTTGAAGTTGACTACGGAGCGCATGGATAGTATTACGTCGTATGTGTTGACGATGGCGGCGTGATTTTTTCTGGCTTTTGATCGCTTTACTTTGCATTTAGCTTTGGGCGGGTTCTTTTTTTTGTTTATATTCCCCTACCTGCTGATACTTCGTCCTCTGCACACAGTAAACGAAATATGCATGTCCACTTATGAAATTGTGGTTTTCTGGTTGATGTCTATTGGGGCTCACACCCATAGTATCCCTTTTAAAATCAATATTATATGCAACCTCAGAATCACGGGTAGTAGCAGATCTGCTAACCCGTTGGAGTTGGATCGGCATCGAGATCAAAACTAACTTGGGGGTAGGGGAATTGACAAGTCATACGCATTATGCATTGTTTGCTCTATCACTGTCACTCTTCTGTGACCTTCGACATCATGCAGCTCGAGTTAACTTCCCTTTTAGGGCAATGGCGGGAAGACCTCAGCCGCAGAGCTCAACGCCGGGGAGTGTACTTGTTTCCCAGACTCCCTTGCTTTACCAGTGAACCACTTCTCACCGTACTCAACATGTCCTCACGTCCCAAACCAGGTCTCTCTGTGTATGGATTATGGTGCTTGAACTGACCTGGAATCAATACATAAAGCTCGCATCAACTACGCCAAACATCTACCATCCCAACTTATCACCATGTCAAATCCCAGCAGCAGGTCCTCCCAAGACGACGAGCATGTCCCCCTCATCCCCAGTTCTACCAACAACAACCCATCATGCCGCAGGTATAGCGAAGAAAGCCCATTCTCACGATCCCTGATACTGAAAGAGTTTCAACTCTTACTCAAAAATTCAATCCCCGTGATCCTAGCCTACACATTACAAAACAGCCTCCAAACCATATCCGTACTCATAATCGGCCGCTCCTCGCCCGAAAACCTTGCCACAAGTGCATTCTCCCAAATGTTCGCAATGGTCACAGCCTGGGTAATTGCCTTGGGAGGCACAACAGCCATCGACACACTTGCTTCTTCCTCATTCACAGGCTCCGATAAACGTGATCTGGGAATCTTGCTGCAGCGCGGATTCCTGGTTCTGGGTTTCTTCTATATCCCAATTGCTGGCTTATGGGCTTTTTCAGAAAATGTTTTTTTGTTTCTCGGTCAGGATCCGCGGCTCTCGCGAGATAGTGCCTGTTTCTTGACCTGTTTGATACCTGGGGGGTTGGGATATATTTATTTCGAATTGATGAAGAAGTATCTTCAGGCTCAAGGTATGTTTTTTGTTTTGATCTGTTCGATTTTGGAAATTTACTGGACTTTAGGAATCATGAGAGCTGGAACTTACGTTCTACTAATCATATCCCCTCTCAACGCCGCTCTTAATTACACGTTTTGCTATAAGTTGGATATGGGATTACTCGGCGCACCCATTGCAACAGGACTATGCTATTGGCTCTCATTCGCCATGTTAGTCCTTTACGCACGGTTCATCGCAGGCTCCGAGTGTTGGGGTGGATGGTCTCGCGAGGCATTCCATGATATTGGCACATTTGCCAAACTCGCTGTTCTGGGCATTGTGCATGTTGGCACAGAGTGGTGGGCATTTGAAATCGTCGCACTAGCAGCTGGACGGCTGGGAAATGTCCCACTAGCTGCGCAAAGCGTCATCATGACAGCTGACCAGGTTCTGAATACCATTCCTTTTGGTATTGGCGTGGCAGCGTCAACCCGTATTGGCAATTTGCTGGGAGAACGGGATGAGCGTGGTGCAGCGCGGGCGGCACATACGTCTGCTGTGCTGAGTATCGTGCTTGGTGGTATTGTGATGGTGATTTTGATTGGGACGCGAGACCAGTTTGCGAAATTGTTCAATGATGATGGGGATGTTGTCAGGTTGACTGCTGAGGTTTTGCCGTATGTAGCTGCTTTTCAGGTTGCGGATGGGCTTAATGGGAGTTGTGGTGGGAGTTTGCGAGGGATGGGACGGCAGCATGTGGGTGCTTTGGTTAATTTGGTGTGCTATTATTGTGGTGCTTTGCCATTGGGGATTTGGCTTGCGTTTGGTGGTTGGGGACTTCAGGGTCTGTGGGCTGGGCAGTGTATTGCTTTGTATCTTGTTGGGGTGTTCGAGTGGGTTATTGTCGCTCGTAGTCACTGGGATAGTGAAGTGCGGAAGGCTTTTCAGCGAATGGGGTTGGATGGAAGTTTCGACGAATTTGAGAGAGAATAGAATCATGATCGTGGTTGGATAACAACTGTCTTCCTGGAGATGTTCTCAATTCCCCTGTTTTGATGGCCCAGGAGGCTTCAAGGCGTCGCCACAACTTTAGAAGCAAATCTTTACTGCCAATGTTCCGCTTCATTCCAGTACAGTTCTTTATTATATAAAATCAAAAACTCTACACTCTATCGTTGATCGATAGCCCCTGATGAAACAACCCCGACATTCGCATCTCGGCATTGGGCATAAGCCCGGCACTTGACTATCTAAAACATCTCCCAATGACCTTCCAATCATTTCTGAGTAGACTTCTTTCTCGTCGATAAGAAACCGCATATCCCTGCAAAGGCAAACCAATCACTTCTTAGCGCCAGTGAGCCCCCGCATCCTTATCAATGGAAGTCGGAATTTACGCCGAGCTACTTACTGTGCCCAAAAATATAGAGCATGCTGCTTGGAAGCTCAATTATCCTTCCACCATGAAGAATCACGCTTGCGAATATCCAGGTTGTACTAAAAGTTTCACGCGCGCAGAGCATCTTCGTCGCCACGCGCTGAATCACGAACAGGCTCGGAATGGGTATACATGTGAGCGCTGCTCTGTTCACTTTCAGCGTGCGGATCTTTTAGGTATGGCTAAGACACAATGGTGTCCGAATCACCTCAATTCAACCATGAATCAATACTAATTATCCTATTCAGCGCGCCATATGGAACGACATACAAAACGCGACCTCGAAGCCGGAGGACCGGGCCAGGGGACTTTGAAAACGCGCAAAAGAATGAGGAGAGCGGAGGATGGCTCGATCATTGTTCGACCGTCCCAGCGGCAACTCAGAAAAAACATTACAGTAGCAGAGCGTTCTCCTATCTCGGCGGATCATTCAAGCCAAGACCCCGGAGAGGACTACTTCCAAGACGATGCGCCATTATCACCACCAGGCTCAGGGACAGATCCGACTTCGATCTCCATTGATGATACAGATCCGTTTCTGGCACCATTGTTGCCGGCAGGTCCCTTTGAACCATACGTGGAACCCATACCGGGCCAGTTTGATGCCGCGGATGGATCCTACAATATCGAACTAGATGGAATAGGAGACTATTTTGGAATGGATACTGGTATGCTGCCCAGATGATTATTTAGAACTGTCGTACTAACTTCATCAGCGACCGATTTCAATCTTCCTTTCGCTGCAACTTCGAATTATAATTGGCTGTTCGATGTCTCCTCCCTTGACGATGCCTTCAATCACTTCGATGTCCCTGGAACCTTCTGCTCGGCTCCTGTGCCGGAACCAGCTCATCCCGATCCTGTCGAGGCTTTTGAAGAATACGATGGCCCATCGGCTCTACTGATGGCCTCCGCCATGGAGAAAAGTGAGGCGATGGCAAAAGCGACTCCTCCGCTGCCAGATCTACCAGATTTAGACTGGATGTCTGGTTCTACTATGCTAGAAAGTGAGACACCGGACAAATTGCCAAAGATCTCGGAGAATGCGCGGCAACACATTCTACATTTGGTATCGCAGGCGCATCCAACAAGTATAGATGGACACCAGACAGTTCTCCAATCGCCCCTGTTGACACTTCGAGCACTCCAGGACTACAGCGATTTGTTTTTCAATCGCTTCAATACACAATATCCTCTGATTCATCAGCATACATTTGATCCCAATTCTGCCGCACCCGTATTCCTGGCTTCAATTCTCTTCATGGGCGCAACATATAGCACCCGAGAAGCACATCAGTTAGCAGTCGAAGTACACGACGTGCTACGCGGTCAATTACTTTGCCATCCTGACTTCTCCCCGCAAGCCGATCTCTGGGTTCTGCAAACAATGCTACTAATAGATTGTTTTGGAAAAATGCGAGCAGGACCAAAGCAGCGAGAGCGTGCACAGCTATTCCACTGCGTTCTGATCAAGATGATCCGGCGCAGCAACTGTTGCAATATCCGGGATTTGTCCGGGTTCAACGAAACAGATGACCTGGATCCTATCTGGAGGCGCGCTATGGACGAAGAGCAGCGCAAAAGAGTCGCTATGCACTGCTTTATGTGGGATACACAGCATGCGGTTTTGTTCTCGCAGTCGCTGTGTATGTCCGCGTTCGAGATCAGATCTTCTTTGCCCTGCGGCGCTGCAGCCTGGGAGGCATCTTCTGCTCAGGAATGGGCTCTACATGCCTCTCGGGAAGATAATAAACAGTTTTTGGCTGTTTTGAAAGGATATATTAATCCAGCTGCTGTTGCCAGGCCGCGGGAAATGAATGCTTTTGCTAGGATTGTCGTCTTGCATGGCTTGATGTCTGTTTCGGCAGATTTGAAGCGTCGAGATCAGACGACTCTGCGGTCAGAAACTCCCGAGCGAGTTGGTGTATGGACACCACGCATGGGTCGGTCTTACGATCTATGGAAGGTGGACTTTGACGCGGATTGTCTGGCGATGAAGATCGCCCGATCTGCGGGTGCGCGACAATTGACTGGGCTCAAGATATCCGGGCATGCGCTTTACCATGCTGCATATCTTGCTTTGAATGTTGAGGTCTTGGATCTGCAAATTGTTGCTGGTGCTTCACATATTCTAGGACGTGTTGTCACCGAGGCTGATCATGCTCGCTCCATGCGCAATATCACCAGGTGGCTTCAGGAGGAGATTGGATCGTTCTGCACGACGGCCCAACAGGCCTCCATTTTACTCCAAAGCGCAGTCTTGGGTCTTCATGATTGGGATCAGGCTGATTCTTTCCATTTCCCATGGTGTTTGTACTTGTGCACTCTGGCCTCTTGGGTTTTTCATCGCGGACTCGATGTCACTGCCGAGAACCAAAGACTCAGAACTGATCTTCCTTCGCTAATCGTGACAGTAACGAATTGTTCGAATGTGAATGAGCTGGCAGAGCTGTCTGGGAGATATTGTCCACGCCCTCTGGCAGCGGCTATGGCACAGCAATTGGCGACGGTACGATGGGCAGTTGTCCATGATGCTATGAAGGTTTTGGTAGGACTGTCTTGATAGTATGCAATTTTCTTGATAGCAATGTATGTAGTATGATTGATTTGATACCTTGATCTGACAAAAGGTTTCTATATCTATTCAGTCTTGTAGAAGGGATAGTCGGTGTACCCCTTTTCAGCGGGGTCGGCGCCATAGAACGTCGTGCGATCATAAGGAGTCAAGGGCAAGCCTTCCTTCAAGCGACGAGGCAAGTCCGGGTTTGAAATGAAGTAACGACCGAACACAATGGCATCGGCTCCATCGGCAGCCAGCTTAACTCCCGCATTCTCGGGGTTGAAGTTTCCGGCCGCAAGGAATGAAATACCCCCTTTCTTCAATGTAGGCCGGAATGCGTCCAGTGATGGCTTTTCCGAGGCAAGTGAGTCGATCTTCGCATCTTCCTCCAAAACTTCATCGAAGCGAGGCTCGATCATGTGTACATAAGAAGGTCGAGACTCTGCGGGCAGTCCAGCGATCAGAGAACACAATCTTTGCCAGTTCACGCTGGGGTTGGAGTCGCGTGTATCTTGGAAATAATTGTAGGGTGACAGCCGGATTCCAACTCGATCAGCGCCAATGGCAGCAGTTACGGCCTGGATGACCTCGAGGATGATCCGAGATCTCTTTTCGATTGTGCCGCCGTATTCATCGGTGCGGTTGTTGACATTGTCGTGGAGGAATTGATCCAGCAAATATCCGTTCGCGCCTGGTTCATGTCATGAGCAATTTGCGATACATAGGGTGATGATCTTCTTACCGTGGATCTCGACTCCATCAAATCCTGCTTCGCGAGCCCGCTGCGCGGCGCTAGCATATTCCTGAACCGTTTCCTTGATCTCCTCCACTGTCATGGCCCTGGGTGGAGATGTCGCGTATTCAGTACCATCCAATGCATTTCCGCTGATAGGGATGTCACTAGCCCCGAGAGCTTGCTTTCCTTCCAAGAAGGAGGGAACAGTGGCTCGGCCAACATGCCACAACTGACAGTAGATGTATCCGCCTTTGGCATGCACGGCATCAGTGACCTTTTTCCACCCTGCGATCTGGGATTCTGTGAAAATTCCAGCGACTCCTGGGTATCCAGCGGCCTGTGGAAGTCAGTTTTGTCAATGAATTTCAATCGGAAGGCTGGATACTGACGTATCTGCTGATCGGAGTCGCTTCTGTCAACAAAAATCCTCCGTCCGAGGCTCTTTGCGAATAATATTCCACATTCAGATCGGTCGGGACAAATACGCCCTCTGACTCCTTTGTTGCTCTCATTCGTGTGCATGGTGCCAGAACAACACGATGCTTAAGGGAAAGACTTCCCAGGCGAACGGCCTCGAACAAAGAATCGGTAACGGCGATTGAACCCATGGTGAATAGATCTCAAGGTGTTTGGTGCTAAAATTCAAGTGGCCTCTCACGAGCTATATATAGCTTAGGAATTGAAATATGCAGCACTTGAGCGTCTTGCATTTTACCTCTTGCTCAGGTGGGATTCACAGTGGGATGGTCTAGTAGTGGGATGAGGGCAAGCGTCTATCAATTATGGAGCATCGATGCCCCCCACTCTCGACCACCCCCAACTTCATACTTCGGGAACTTTGGAGAATTTTCCGCCGTTCACTTTCCAAGATGACCTTCGCTGAAACAAATTGACATACAGTGCTACCCAAGTTCAATGAGCTTAGTTTCTTTCATTCGAAATGCAGTCCACAATTTAGATGTAGAAGGGGTGTGAAGACTAAGTCAAGTAAGTGTTGACCCCTTTTCTCTGGCCATACAAAAAGATTGAAAAAATGCCCTGGCGCGCATGAGAATGATCCCTCATCCTGCACTACCCATCAGGACGAGGCTTTCTATTCCCCCAAGAAACTCAAATTAATCTCTGGCTGACGAGATTGGAATAAAAGCTCAACATTTGGGTCGGCGATGAGCTCGACACCGTTTTCAAAATTCTTCGGTCGTCCACCACTCTGCAATTTCCAATTGTACTTTAACAGCAGATGAAGGAGTATGATCTTAGTTTCGCTGGAGGCGAAAAAACGACCCGGACAAGAGTGAATACCGTGACCGAAGGCAAAGTAATCAGCGGATGTCATGACAAATTGATGCTTTTGTTCGTTTCCTGGCTCCTGGCGTTTCTTCAAGAACCGATAACCGTCGTAAGTGGCAGCGTTGGGGTAAATGTTGTCATCTTGTAACAGGGTCGTTGGTATAAAGATGATTGCGCCTTTGGGAAGCACAGTACCATCGGAAAGAACAACCTTTTGGTGCACAAAACGATTCATAGCGACTGAGTTTTGTGTGAGTAGTCAGTATATATCCCAAGATTATTTATCAAAAACGAAAAAACAGTATTGTTTCATACTTAATGACATTGGGTTAGTTCGTTGCGATTCTCTCATAATACTGTCCATCAATTTGAGCTTGAGTAAGCTGGTTTTCTTCAATTCTCCATCTTCGGCAGCAACAGCACAGATCTCATCACGCAAAGGCTGAATATATTGCGGATATGCGGCGAGGTCGTACACAATATTGGTTATTAGATTGGATGTTGTATGAATAGCCGCCAATGCCAGAGTAACTTGAACGCGGGCTTGATCAAAGTTGGAGTTGTTCTGGGATTCGGCAATCTCACGATACCAATCCAAAGCATCGGGTTTGTGTGGAAGATTATCTGCTACAATTTTGCCATTCCGAATCAACGTCCTTCTGTTGATCTCACGATTGATGATAATGTTGGCATTTTTCATATGACTGCGCAGGTTTTGAGCGGAAGGCAAAAACCAATGGACGATGGGTCGGAGAACGGATGGCCATGTTTGTAGGTCGCGCATAGCCTGAAATGCATCAACAGCATAGTTGACCGATACATCGATCCATCCGGGATCGTGGCAAATAGTTTCACCGACAAAAACTAGGGATGAAACCCGAGCGATCATGAATGGAATTTTCTGGCCAAATTTATACGGAGTCCATTCTAGGAAATATTAGTTCGAATCCACGGAATCAGCGAGAGACTAACCATCAGTGGGAGGTAAAGCATCCTTCAAGGTCAAAGATGTCTGTTTAGAAAGCAGGGTAGACAATGATCCTAAAAGGTTGGTATTTTCTTACTCAAATGAACGGATTTTCCTACCAAGCGATCGGGTGAGTTTGGTTCGCAGAACCTCGACGGTGACCTTCACAAAGGGACCATTGTGAAGCGGCTCGAATCCGGGGATGCGGTTATCAAAAAACAGCTTATAAGGTCAATCGAATATACTCCAATAATCATCTCTCTAGCATACCTTCTTAATGGCGTCGTCGAAACTCAAGTCTGGGTGGTTCTTAATTTCGTTGATGTACTTCGGGTGCAGCACAATCATCGGTTGTGTAGCTCCAATGATTTGGAATACATGGTTTCCCTGGTTCTATTAGCGCCTGTAGAAATACCCCGATTGCTTGAGTACACACCTTTGCAAACCCCTCGATGATCAGATCCCGGCATGACTGAGTGAATCGCAACCTTGCCTTTTTGTTGGTGATCTCCCACCAAGTCCTTCCAACTAAAGGGATTCGACGATGGGGAATTCCATCCAGTATATCACCCCAAACACTCGCAATAACGACCATCAATAACGTGGCACAAACACCTTGTACCACATAAGGACTGTCGAGAAACTCCGCAAGAAACTCCGGGAGAACAGCCATGGTAGAAAGAACGATGAACTGATTAATTTTCACGTTCAAGGACTGGTGTCTTACGATATATTTATAATAAAATCCATGTCAACCATTCCTAAGGTTACGTTCATTGATTTTTTCCCACCTGGGCATGTATACTTGACTCGGATATTAACTCAGGGGGCCCCAACTCCCCGATGACATCTGATCGAATCTAAGCACAAGAAAAACGACCCGTCCATGCCTCAGTTCACAAGGGTTTTCAATCGGAACGGCGGAGTTTCAGAACGTAATCGTCTCTATGTAACAACTGCGATACATACGAGAACTAGGGCGATACTCAGCGACCACTACCCGGATGAGAAACTCCAGAACAACGTTTGGTACGCCTAAGATCTACCCCAGTCCTTCACCTTGACCCCTGTAGTTACATGCATCTGCCCATCGAAGTGGTACATATTCGTCTGCGCCAAGAGATGAGTCATGTTCACTCATTGTGAGCACCTTGGACCTCATACTGATATATCATTACTGTATCTGTCTCTTCAAGGTAATTACTGTGGCCCAAGACACACTCACGTATAGGTCCACTCGCTACTCCTGAAGTCGTGGTCATTTTTCATTTTACTAAAAAAGACTGAACAATATGGATCATGAACGAAAGGTATTGTAACAAGTTGAGAATTATAATTAGGAAAAACAAACTGATTCATGATTTCTGCAGTTTCTTTAAACTTGGAAGAGTTTGAGCTTTTTTCAAGACCGAGACATCTTTAGCACAAACGGACGACATGATAACCGTGGAATTATGGGAGAAAGAATAATAGATCTGTGACTGTCTTGCCCATCTCCTTCTTTCCCGCATTTTGGAATCTTCGTTTTGGGTCACTGTGCGAATAGCTTTTGTCTATTTATACTTAATATTCACGATGTCAATCTTCTTCAACTACTTAAGTACATAGACAAAAAGTTCACTTAAGACTACATGGCCACTACCACTCTTTTCCCTTACTTCGTATCCCTCTCCTCGGTGCGCATCTCAAAAGCTTTTCTTTGGACCCTTTCCTTGAAACTTCTGGCAGTGTATGAACAATTCATCATTCCTCTTGATAATCCGTACAGTTCTTCTGAAACCGCTAGAGGTAAAATGACATCGGGATTTCTACGCCATGAACGACAAAAAGTAACTATCAAGCCAAGCTCCCGAAGCTGCCACCTTTGCCATGTCCCAACTATCGATCATTCCAATATATCCATCTGGTCGGACAATGGCCATTCCAATACTCTCTGCTTCCAAATTGCCAAACCATCTCTCGGTACAGCCGGTAGCTTGAATATCGTCAAGGTATACACTCCATCGACTCTTCTGAAGCATCTCCGGCAGCTCCGAAATCTCGAACTCAGATTGCGGAGACTTTGTCACCATTGCAAGGGTGAAAATATTGGAAACGGTATTGTAGCGCTGGGGCTGTTGGAAGTCATCCGAAGAACAATGACCACGAGAATGCTTCTCAAATGATCGATCCGCATGAGCAGTGAGTTCCCCAAGCACATCAGCTACTTGCTCACACAAAACATTCAAGGCGCTCAGAGATGAACGAAGCTCTGGCACAAAAATGTATATCTTGAACTGCCCCAGCAGTGGGATATCCAGTTGGATATCAACTGGGTTGGCATCAATGTACCGAGTCACTTTGGCGGGGAGCTGTAGCATTCCAGCCTGAATGCGGCATGGGCTGGATGAGACACGTGTGAGAGTTCCGGGGGTATATTCAGCTCCAAAGCCTGCAATGAACCTGATGTTGTCGTCGAAGTTCTTGGCGAGCGCTGTTTCTCTTTCCGAAAAAGCTTTACAGTGCTCAACATCGAAATTGATCAAATCATGAGCTATCTTCTGCCTTTCCTCCTCATAGGTGTGTAGTAAAGAGGATTTCGCCAATCCTCTCGCAACTAAATTGAGCTTCCAAGCTAGGTTGAAGCTGTCATGCATGCTGGTGTTGGCACCTTGAGCAGCAAGAGCCGAATGACAATGCCCGGCCTATGACAATGTTAGTGTCAAACACCTTTCCCGACTGAGATGGTAAATCAGCGTACATCACCCGCAATAAACACCTTGGCGCTTGGATCCATAAAACGCTTCGCCACCCGTTGACCAACAACATAAGTACCAAACCATTCCACTGATTTCCACTCAAGCTTGAATGGATGCATTGCCTCTCTTGCGCGCTGTGTCACATACTCAGGCGTGGCTTTGGCCTTATCCACTCGTTCTCCCCCGGTCGAGCTCAACTCAACATAAAGTCGAGTCATGCCTCTCTCCCGCGGAATCAATAGGATAGATCCAGCGGAATGAGATCTGAGGGCCACCTTGCTCCATAAATCGGGGAAGTCCGTGTCAATCACGCCTATGCAGATGTGAGCAATCATTCACTCGGAGAAATTGGATACACGTACCATCCATCACACCCCATGCAGCATTGGTGATTTCACCCTCCAGATCGGCATCGGGAATAAAAGACCTGACTTTCGACCTTGCACCATCACATCCAACCAGGTAGTCTGCCTTGATTGTACGGATTGCGTTCGTTGCAGTATCCTCGTACTGAATCTGAAGCCGATCCGTCCCGTCCACAGGTGAGCACGAAGTGAAGCGAGCATTGCGAGTCACGAATACACCCCTTGACTCCATGTCATCTATCATGACCTCTTCGACCATCCCCTGATGTGCTAACAAAATGTATGGATCGGATGCGCCAACGAGATGGTCCGGATAATGGAGTTTGCGACCAGTACGTCGCATAGGTTGGTCGGTGGTTGATTCCTGGAAATTTGTGAGCGACGATGACTTCTTAAAATGGAGTTACTTTACCCAGAATGAAATATCGAACACTTTTGCGCCATTTCGCAATAATGGATCCGCGAGACGAAGTTGCTTGAATGTCTCAATTGTCTTGGGCTGCATTCCATCTGCTTTTCCCGTGGATGTCTTGTCGGGGCGATCATCGAGGATTACAACAGAGATCCCAAAGCGCGCGAGGTTGTTTCTAGGAATTTGTCAGTCAATCCTTCAAATTGACAGAAAATGGACGTACGCAAGCATCAAGCCGGACGGACCAGCACCTACTACAACCACGGTAGTTGATGCACTAACGCACTCGGCGCCATAACATTCGGCGTCTGCAATAGGGGACATTCTGGTGAACAATTGTACTGATCATGTCTATAGTCGTCTTCTATTTATTCGAAAATAAAACATCTCCGCACACAATGCATACAATGAGGGGGAAACCCCCACTCTTCTCTATCACCACCGTGTCACCCCACCGTCCACCACGATGTCCGAGCCTGTCATGTACGAACTCGCATCGCTTGCGAGAAAAACACATGCCCCCATTATATCCTCTGGATCTGAAATGCGGCCATTCATAGCCTCGGACTTCCAACCTTCCAACAGATGGGGAAACTGACGGTCTGTCAGCAGAGATCTATGCGGGTGGGTGTGGACTTACGGAGGCGGTCATTTCTGTCCTCACATAGCCAGGTGATATAGTGTTGACCCGGATATTCTATGCCACAGTTAGCGAGTACCCGAAAGCCATTCACTGGGACTTTACATATTCAGCCAACTCTTTCGCGATCGCTGGACACATTGACTTGACTGCGCCTTTTGTCCCACAATACGCCGAGCACAGCTGACTTCGCACAGCGATGTGACTTGCCATACTTGCCACAAGAATAATACTTCCATGCGTGGTCTTGTTCGAGATCATCTGTTTTGCTGCCAGCTGTGCGGTGAAATAAAGACCTAGCACATTGATGGATAGCAAATCCTGATGATCTTTGTATGTGAATTCCAGGAATGGAAGATGGCGATTGATTCCCGCGCAGGGGACACAAATATCGAGCGCATTGTCAAAGTCTTTTTGGAACTTTGCAAACCCTTCTTCGAGCGACTCTTGGGAGGAAATATCGACCCTAACCCAGTTAGTGACGTGGTTTCTTAGGCGTAGATTCATACCTATAAAATGCCGTCCGAACACCACAGTCCTTTTCAATTGCATTGAATGCGTCATCTGGTGAGACAACGTCAAAGACTGCGACGTTGGCACCTGCTTCAGCTAGTCCTCTGGCAAATGCCAACCCGCAGCCGCGAGCACCGCCTGTAACAAGTGCCGTTCGGCCCTGGAGAGAGAACTAAACTCGTTAGCCGTTGTGATCGTCAACTGGGCAGGATATCGTACTTTCGACATGATTGAGTGTCTCGAATCTATGTTCATTGATTTTCCAAATCCTCAATCTCTCCGATATCCTCACCTTTTAAGATGGCGGCGATCGGAAATATGAAGCCAAGCTAACCCCCATCTTTGGTAGCTATCAGCATTCGAAGACCACTAGACGAGATTCACTGGGATGGAGAAGAGAATTTTACCATAAGTAAGCCGTATTTACACAATTGAAATCCCCAAACACCTATCCGGTTACACATCCATGACAATGGCCCCTCCCGTCCACATCAAGCAGCAAGAATCCCGCGCCAAACCATGCCAACTCGACATCATCATTGTCGGCGCAGGCCTAGCAGGCCTCGGCACAGCCATTAGCTGCGCACTCGCAGGCCACCAGGTCCACGTACTCGAGGCCGCGCACGAAATCAAAGAAGTCGGCGCCGGGATACAAGTCCTGCCGAACAGCTCGCGGGTTCTCCAGCATTGGGGTCTGGAGGAATCATTGACTCCTCATATGACAATTCCCCGTGTTTGCAATTTTGTTGGTTGGAAAGGCAATGCGATTTCATCGCTAGATTTTCATGAATCGGAAAAAGGATATCCGGGAACTTGGTACCGCGACTTTCATCGTGCTGATCTTCAGCAATGTCTCGTTCAGAGAGCCACGGAGTTGGGCGTCGAGCTTACCTGTGATGCCCGCGTCGTTGATGTATCTGTCGCTGAAGATGGCGCGACGGCAACAGCGAAAACGTCAGATGGTAGACAGTGGACGGGTGATTTAGTTGTTGGTGCAGATGGAGTGTTTGGGAAGTTGACAGAAGGGTTGCTTGGTCGAGTTGATCCGCCAGTGAAAACGGGTGATCTTGCCTACCGAGTTATGTTGTCGACTAAGGAGATGCGAAAAGATCCTGAGTTGGCGGAGTTTGTGACAGATCCGCAAGTCAATTACTGGCTAGGTCCAGATGCCCATGCCGGTATGTACCAAGCTGAATATCCTCGACACACTCTAACGATTGGATTAGTGAACTACGTTCTTCGGAATGGAGAATTATTCAATATGGTGCTCCTTGTCCCTGACGATATTCCAGAGGACTCCTTGGCATCTACCGTCGAGGGAAATGTTGAAGAGATGTGTGCTTTATTCAAAGATTGGGATCCTCGGTGGGTGTATCCATATTTCTTGACTATTTGAGCGAACGTTGCTAATTTCGCCAGGATCCCGAAACTGCTTCGGCTCTGCCAGTCTGTGCAAAAATGGCGTCTCTGTATTCGATTCGGAGACTTCGATTGGACTCATCCATCAGGGGCTTTTGTCATGCTGGGTGATGCAGTCCATGCCACTTTACCATATCTCGCGTCTGGGTAAGAACTCATAACTGGATCAATTGTTTCCCTATTTCACTCTCGAGCCTGGCTGACGAATTCAGAGCTGGAATGTCCTTTGAGGACGGAGCTGTTCTAGGAGAATGTCTTTCCCGACTCCCGAATCAACCTGGTGTTTCTAAGACCTCTATCGACTTCTTGAACGCCAAGCAATACGCCCTTTCGGTGTTCCAGGAATGTCGCAAACAAAGAACTAAGATGGTTGTTGACCGAGGAAATATTCAGCAATACCTTTACCATCTCCATGATGGAGCCGAGCAACAAGAAAGAGATCGCAAGATGCAAATGGTCCCAACTCCAGAAGGAGAAGCATTGGCTTGGCGAGACCCTGGATTGGCACCCAAGCTACTAGGATATGACCACATTGCCGACGTGAGTAACGAGTAACCCCTCTTCTGAACCCAGCTTACCATAGTAGGTCGATCGCCGTTGGACTAAAGCATTGGGTGGTGGGGCCGAAGCCAGATTGTAGTTTCAATCCTATTTGCTCCGCCCGGGGGCGTGCCCCTTATCAGGCACCCCCCCCCATCTTTGGCCCTGTAGGTTGGGGTAGCTCCCCACCTAGCGCCTAGGCACTGTACTTCTGTAGCTTCAAGTTCAATTAATGTTATCTGTTGACACATGCAGTCCCCGCATCGTCATTGAGGATTATATCTCTTCTTGGTGCTATATAGTCTGTATCCTTTACCTCATGCTAGGGAATACATCGAGTACACGCAATTGATACTCAATCTGACACAATGTGGCCATTCTTCCGCTCAGCTAGCAAAGCCAAAGAGGAGCCTCCACGCGCTCTCCCAGCATCATGGTATCGGTCCGAGGCCATGTATCAGCTGGAAAGACGAGCAATTTTTTCAAAGCGCTGGTTGCTTCTTACTCACTCGAGTCGGTTCGCAAAACCAGGATATTACCTTGAATTCACCGTGGCGAACTTTTCATTTTTCCTCATCCAAGATCGAGACAGCAACATCAACGGATTCCACAATATTTGCCGCCATCGTGCATTCCCAGTTATCCGATCTCGCTCCGGCACCGCACCCATCCTCAGCTGCAAATACCACGGATGGTCCTACGGACTGAAGGGGAATTTGTCAAAGGCGCCCCGATTCGAAACGGTGCCCGATTTTGATAAGAGCAAACAATCTCTCCTCCCAATTCACGTCCATATTGACAAAGCCGGCTTTGTGTGGGTGAATCTACAAGCCGGTGAAACAGACGTGAAATGGGAAGAGGAATACGATAATGTGGATGAGACACCCCGAATGCAGGATTTCGATTTCGCCGGCGAGTTCAAGTTCGACCATTATTGGGAAATGGAACTCGACGCCAATTGGAAAGGCGTGATAGAGAACTACAATGAGTGCTATCATTGCGCAACCTCTCACCCGCTAATTAATGGGGTTTCGGACCTCCCGAGATACCGGGTTGAGCCCAAAGCACAATATATGGAGCACCATATCTTCAATAAAGAGGCTGCTGATACCCAATTTCGTCGTGCTATTACCTACTTCTATCCGACTACCTCGGTCACGGTTACGTGAGTACCCCGTCGAGCTTGCCATCATAGCGTGGATGGAGAGCTAATCTGGTTAGTGACAAATTCTTCTACATCCAACGGATGATACCTGTATCCGCGACATCGAGCAAGATCGAGAACGAGGTCTACCGTCATCGAGATGCCACCGACGAGGAATTCGAGAATATCAACGCCTTCTATCGGCAGGTCTTAGATGAAGATAAGGAGCTGTGCGTGGGAACTCAAGAAAATCTCAGTGCTGGGGTATTCACCAATGGTGAACTGCATCCCACCAAAGAGAAGGTAAGTCGTTCTCAAATAGCGTATGATCGCATCTGATAACCGGCGACCAGGGACCCATACACTTCCAGAAGAATGTTAGGCAGATGGTCATGGATCACCGGAAACAGGAAGAAAAGCAAGCTGGGCTGGAGATATGGCCTGCGACTCCCCAGGCAGACCCTTCAAGTAGCCTGGAAGAAGAGGAGAGCTTCTGTTCAAAGCTAGACGCAGCCAGTTGTATGTCAAAGCCTGAATTAGCTTGGTGATAGAAAGAGAATACAGAGAGAATAGTCAGAGAAACAGTGGGGACTTCACAATGCCAAGAAACGCTATACCCGATATAGAGTGTGGGGTGATTCCATCCTTCTAACCAATGAGAAGGCACTTCTCTTCATCCCACATTTCGAGGTCTGTCTCAGTCGAGGAACTCGGTGGATAGGGTGACTCACATTCGACTTTGGAGCCACATTTAAAGCGCGAAGTGTCATCCAAAGCTACGGATTTGTCTTGTTCGGATTTTCGAACTCAACAGCTGAGCCATGACTCCTCAAATCGCACCATACGGCCGATGGGAAAGTCCATTGAGCGCACAACAACTCTCAACAAGCAGTATCTCGCTCCATGAAGTGGTCGTCAATGTCAGTCACCCATGTTTACAATGTATCCTTCTGGAGTGAGGCAAGATATTGACGCATGCCAGGAACGGAATGGTGCCATTTATGCAGTAGAGTGCCGGCCTGCCGAGGATGGTCGTTTTGCCATCGTGCAGCACCTCAATGGACACAGCCAGGATGTCCTGCCCAAGAATCTCAGCGCACATGCAATCGTGCAAGAGCTTGGTGGAGGTACCATGGCCATTAGACCGGATGGGAAGATCATCTTTGCAGAGGACAAGACAGGAGGCATTTACTTACTTGACCCGGCCACTGCCGACGCAACTTGTGTGCATCCAGCCGTTGAGGGAATTCGGTATGGAGATTTCTGTATCCACCCAACATCTAGCAACTTGATCATCGCAATCAAAGAAGATCACCGCGAGGCTACTCCAGAGACGCAGGCAACTCACGTCCACAATACCCTGGTTGCAATTGATATTGAATCTGGTGCAGAGACTACAATCGCCAAGGGCGATGACTTTTACTCGCACCCGAAATTCGATTCCCAGGGCAAATACGTGTCCTGGATTCAATGGTCTCATCCTGATATGCCATGGACTGGAACGGTGTTATATTTCGCGGAGTGGGACGGTAGTGCTTTGAAAAACGTTACTCGGATAGCAGGCGAAGCCCAAAAAGAGAGTATTGCTCAGCCAAAATGGGGTTTCGATGGGATGCTATACTTTGCAAGCGACCGCACAGGATATTGGCAATTATACTCGTTTAATGTCAAAGACCATTCCGTAAGGTCTTTCTCATTTCCAGGCTTGGAGAACTCGGATTTCGCTATTGCTGAGTGGAAGCTTGGAAGGTACGTTCAATTTCCTCTTGATGTTGTGTCATGATATTCACCCTTCTCAGCTCAACATACGTGCCACTCGACGAGACGACTATCGCCGCAGCAGTTATCACAAATGCCACCAGCAAAATCATGATCATCGATACATCCGATTCATCAGTCCGCGATCTTGAGCTTCCTTACGTCGACTTTGCACACGTCGCAAGCGGATTATATCGCGTGTCATCTGAAAGCTTTGCGGTCGTCAGTGCCACAGCAGCCTCACCACAAGAACTTGGCTTAGTCTCAATCTCCCCCGAATTCAAAAGGACAGTGCTTGCATCAACTGCTTCATTCGTCCTGCCTGCCGACTACGTCTCTACCGCGACGCATCTGACCGCTCCGCAAAAGTATGATCCACTATGCGATGGCAACGTGCATATGTTCTATTTCCCTCCTTGTAACCCCGAGTTCGAGGCCGAAAAGAGCACACTACCTCCTCTTCTAGTCTTTGTCCACGGTGGACCCAACGGAACCGTGACCCCAGCACTGAATCTCGAGATCCAATATTACACCACGCGAGGTTTTGCAGTCTGCGCGGTGAACTACACCGGCTCAACTGGATTCGGACGCGAATACCGAGAACGACTTTCCGGTTACTGGGGTATAGTCGATACCGCCGACGCCGTGAGCGCAGTAACCTACCTCGTGGAAAAGGGACTGGTCGAAAAAGCCCGCGTGGGGATTTACGGCGGAAGCGCTGGCGGATACGTCACTCTCCAGGCTCTGCATATGTATCCGGACGTGTGGGCTGCTGGCGTTAGCTCTTATGGTATCAGTGATGTAAGGGCTTTACAGGCTGATTCATATAAGTTTGAAAGTCAGGATGTGGACCGTCTCTTGTTGAGCAAGACTGTTGCTGAGGAAAGAGAGAGCGTGCTCACTGAGCGGAGCCCTTGCAATCATGCTAAGAAGATGAAAGCACCTCTGCTTTTGTTGCAGGGGACTACGGATATGGTGGTTCCGGTGGCACAGGCGAGGATTATGGCTGATGCTATGCATTTGGAGGGACGGGTTGCTGAGGTTGTTGAGTTTGAGGGTGAGGGTCATGGATGGGTTGGGCAAAAGGCTGTTTATGAATCTCTTCAGCGGAAGGGGGATTGGTGGGTGCGTTATTTGACCTAATGGGTTGGTCCGGTGTTGGATTATTTTAAAATTAAAAGGTTCGAATGCACATATCCACCAATAGAAGAACTACGCTCAATTGAACGGGATCAAATGGCACATTCGTGGTATTCAAACAGCGTCAGAGTAGAAAAAAAGGCATTATATCATAACATCTCGACAGATCTCATTCCGTCGCCTAGTTGTTCAGACCCAAAGGGTTGTCTCCAGTCTGCTTCTTTCCTCCGATGCTTGAGAATCCACTCTGAACGGTTTCTCCAGCACCCTTCGCTGTATTGCCCACTCCTTCGGTGGCACCAGAAACCGTCTGGCCAAGTCCGGATGTAGCGTTGCCAACAGTTGATCCGAGTCCGTTCACTGTGCCTCCTAGCGTGTTCGTTACGCCGCCGACGGTCTTTCCGAGTGTGTCGCCTAGGCCGCCAAGCAGGCCGGCTGTGTGTTGTTAGTATCATCGGGGGATTTGGATGGAGTAGACTTGCGATTTTGATCGTTGGACATTTTGTGAATGAAAAATTTGGGTGAGAGAATTTGATTTGTAAAGTTGATTGTATGTGCAGGTTCTCGAAAATGGAGATTCAGGCGTTGATTAAAATTGAGGACGATGAGCTCGTCTGGCCTTTATATAGGCCACGTCCGCAAAACCGGTTACATGCAATGATATAATGGGTGCAACCTGAGCCAGCCACAGACCTGTCAGATTGAAGCACGCGCATTTAGATTGAGATCGAACGAATGAGCTGGACACATCCTTGTTCAATTCTTCTTGACAGCCACTATGATCGACATCTAATGGTGGGTGCATCGATCTGACGTATGTTTGTGACCCGTTTCTATGTCTGGGGTGTTGTATGTCTAGCTGATTGGATGAAACACTCCGGCCGTAGTGCATTTGTGGCTTACTATGATGTTCTAGAAAGTGTTTTATATTGGGTTGTGGCGAATGGAGATGTGTGAGTGGCCAGGCTTTGTTGATTTGACCTTGGAGATGGGGTATGATGTCATTGTGTTCGATATTAACCGCGTAGTCGAGATGATTTCATTTGCGATGGCAGTCGGACTAAGCTTGGGGTTTCCGAATTGCTAATGTTTTGGGTTGTGAGGTCGTAACAAACTGAAAATCAAAGACTCGCTTTGCCTCGTGATTCGAATGGCATCAGGAGTGCAAGAAGCCCAGCAGCGATGAAGAGTGCGCCGCTCACATAAACTGGAGCCGCTGTGTTAAGGTCGGCAAACATGGCTATTATAGGCGCCATAATGCCGAAGACTCGGTTCGCAGAAGCAGTCAAAGCGTTACCTGTACCCCGATCTTTTGTAAGGAAGATCTCGGGCGTGTATGCGTACAGCACAGCATACATAAGACTGCTCATGAAATTGAACGCACAGTTCCATCCCAAAAGACCGTTGGAGGATGTCGCTGTTGTCGATGCCAAAAGGAAGGCACCCGTCAACATCGTGGACAGGGAAAGAGCTCCCTTCCGGCCGAATCGGGGAAGTTCGACCAGCACTCCACCAAGCAGGCAACCGGGAATTCCCATCACGGCGATTACCAATGAGTTTCGATACGTGATGTACGTGGACCCATCACCAAATTCTGCACCCCGAGATTGCTGGATGAAAGGGAGGAAGGCATTGTAAAGGGGGAAGCCTAGACCCAGGAAAGCCCAGATGAGAATGATCAAAGTGGTTGCCCATGCTCGCTTGGGGGTGTCGAACAGGGCACGGATATGGTCGAAGCTGACTTTTTCCAGGCGCTGACGGACGATGTTTGAAGTGTTCAAATGCTGCGCTGATCCCTGGTCTAATTCATCCAGGTCTTCCAATGTCAAATCAGATGCTGTTCCGTTTCTGCGCGCGATCTCATGCACGACTTCCACGGCTTCCTGATTTCGCCCTTTCCCCATCAAATACTTCGGTGATTCGTAGATGGTGAAGAAAATAAATCGACTAAGGAACATGATCATAGCGAGTCCACCCATGGCAATCATGAAGTATCGCCACCCCATGTTTTTGGCCTTGGTGCATCCATCCGCAGAATCACATGTCCGGTATCCAAGCAATGGCCACCCGATCAAATTTGTGAGGACCTGCGCAAGAGCCCAGTCAATCGAGAGAATGGTCAACAGATATTGGTGCGAGCCTGGTAGGAATTCCAAGAAGATCGCTGAATCAACGGGAAGATTCCCGCCCACGCCGATGGACCATAACGCGGCAAACGCGCAGATGGCACCGAAATTCGGCGATCCTGCAGCAACTAGACCAAAGACAGCCGTGATAGCAATGGTCAGATTGAATGCCCATCGCCGACCGAAGATGTCGCACCCAAATCCCCAAAAGACCGCACCAATCAACAGACCGATGTTCTGCGCCAGTGTCAACACTGGAGCTTTCGATGGATTGAACTCGGCTGTGACAGCTGGCAAGATCAAGGACGTCACAATAGGCCAAAGATTATCACTCGCCCAGCCGAAGCCAATAACAACGAAAAGCTGCCATTGGTACCGGCCCATGCCTATGTCTTGGAGGGCACGGTTGAGCACCTCGGCCTTGGCTTTATAGTTCGCATCGCCATCGGTTGCGGACGCTAGATCCGTCGGCTCGGGCGACTCGACGGCAGGATCGGGGGACTTGGATGCCATCTCGTAGGTGTTTTGTGAGGTGTGCGGACGGAGAGATTTATATCCCTGGCTTCGCGCCGTAACCTCCCGTAAACTAGGAAAGTGCATTTCGAGGAATCTTCCATGGGGAAATGTCCAAGCATCAAATCACATTCCACACAACTGGCCCAGCTCAACCTTATCGACTGTAGGTAGGTGGGTTTCCTTACTTCCTGGCTGTTCAATTGGTTGGTTTTAATGGCGTGATCGCCCGGTCGTGTTGTGTCAGCCCTGTCTACGGAGTACTCCGCAAGCATTTACTCCATTGAGTTGGTGTTCTCTCGATGCAGACTAGAGACTCCGTAGCTGGACCCCTTTTTTGTCACGATGGAATCCCCAATTAAACGGAAAGGTTGGGATGATCACGTCTCGGAAGGATCTGGGGGAGTCTGGTTTTTATGGGCTCGATCCGTTCGCAGGTCGGAGTTTAATCGATTCCGAGTCACAGGTGAATTTTGTTGAATTTGCCGTAGGATGGCACTTCATGGTCGGTCTCAGTGTTCGGAGAGAGAAGCGCTGTGATCAAGGGATCACCCCGGATTCTGACGTCATATCTGATACCTCGTATAAACAGACCTCCAGGGCTGATCGCAGAGCCCTGTAACAAGCCACCGTGGAAGAAATTTCCCCCAGAGACGTGCATAGAATGAGCTTATGAGCTGAGCATACCATGAAAACGAAGCGAAGTCTCACAGAGAGTTCTGAGGAAGGTCCTCTCCAATGGTCACCTGACCGTCGACAACACCTCACACATTATTTCAGTCATGAAACCCCACGGGGGATTTTCAGATATAAACAATATACTGATATCGGTATTTCAATGTGGACTCACGTTCAGAGACTGATAAGCGACGAGCACTAGAAGTCTGCTGGCGAAAGGAACGCAGCTCAGATCATCAACTACAACACACCATCCACGACATACAGAAATGAGCCAGATGAACATTGATTCGGGGATAACCCATTCCTGGGTTTTTGTGGCACTATATAAGATAAAAGAGCCAGTATATCTGGCCGGCCCCAGGCTAGAACGAGAAATGGATAGCCTCCCGAAAGGAGTGTTGTGGAGACATGATCGAGGCAAATCCCTGATCTTCCACCACCTCCCAGGAACTAGGAAACTTAAGAAGAAGTTGCCTGAGCTCCAGCAAGCGCGGAGATAGGGGTCGCGCCGGGGTAGAACGAAGTGGGGATGGCAGGGATGGGAATTTCAGACGCAGTGCCGAATGCAGTGGCCAAGTCAGAGGCCATGCTAGCGGCAGAGTATCCAGAAGGCGCAGACTTGATGGTCTGGGTAGTTGTGTACGCAGAGTAGTCGTCTCCATCCTTGAGACAGGCGCCGGAGCCGTAGGCGTTCTCGCAAGTGTATCCCTGGGTCGAACCCTTCTCGGTCCACATGGCGAAGTCTTCAATGACCATATCCTTGCAGGGCGCACCAGACGCGCACTTCACTTTGATGGGGCCACGCTGGGCACCGTACTGCTCGGTACCCTTCCAGTTCTTGGCTGTGACGTTGGTGAGCTGGACGCCGTCGCCGGAAACCGTGCTCATGCTGCTCCAGGCACCGTCGATATCGAGAGAGTAGGCGTTTCCGTGGCCTGGGAGTGTTAGATTATATTTCGTTGGGGTCTTTGGTGAATATTTACCAATGAAGTTCTCGAGAAGGACGTTCTCGACGTTACCGCTGCCTCCGTTGCTCTTGATCATGTACATTTGGTTCGACTTCCAAGTGTAGATGTTGCGGTAGGTGATGTCGCTGACATCAACGTCGGAGCCCAGGGAGCCCATGGCACAACCACCACTCCAGTTGCAGTAAATGTTCTCCACGAGGATGTTCTTGGCGGGGCTCTGTGGACAGACTTGTTAGTATTGTTTTGTTGCTGGTATCCTGAAAATTCCATACCTTGACAGTGACACATTCATCCTTGTTTGTAACTTCGACCTATCCAGGGTTAGCAAAAACGCTCAATACCATGGCACAGACACTGACATCGTGGATCCAGATGTTAGTGGACCAAACATCAATACCATCCAAGCCACCCTTGTCACCACCACGAATAGCAAGGTTGTAAACCTCACCATTCTCACAAGTATCCAAAGAGAAGTGGAAAACAGGCGCATCGACAAGAGCAAGGTCGTGAACTGAGAAGTCAGTCACATCATACAGTCTCAGGATTCTGGCACCGCTGCTAGATCCCTCCTTGTGGTACTCGTAACCATATCCCTGCACCGCACCCTTGGAGGTAGAGCTGAACAACTCGAAGTCCTTGGTGTGCTCGATCATGATCATGTTTCCACCCTCGGTACCAGTTCGGTAAAGGATACCATCCAGTTGAATAGCACAGCTGCTTCCACCAGTCAATCTGACCCAGGACTCAAAGGCATAGTCGCCGGAAGGAATGTATACGACACCACCGTCCTTGCAGTCTGCCCAGGCAGAGGTGATGGCAGCACCGACATCAGTCTTCTTGTCAGCCTTGGCGCCGTAGTCCAGGACGTTGCAAATCTTGTTGTTGTTCTTTGTGGCGATGGAGGTTGTTGGGCCTACAGACCCGCTGAGGTAGGCACTCGCGAACAATGGCGCCAGGCCGATTGCGATCGCGGAAGAAAAATGCATGATAGAAAAGAGTGAATTATACAAATAAGAAAAATAAAAAAAGGAAGCTAAGAATGACACGAGAGACAGAACTGAGGAAAGTAGATGGCTGATGAGATTAGATATAACTCTGAGCCCCTGACAGGATCCAGCCCTAAGCTATATCCCAAACACCTCTATACTAGACGGGCTGTTTGTCCGAAACCCTAGACTTGGCTAGCAATGATTCTTTGGCCCTGAACGTCCACAGTCGACGAACTGCCCCGCCAGGCTCAGGTCCACATAGCGTCTTTGCTGTTGAGGGCATTCGAGGATCCGTACTTTGATCTACTAAATAGGCGGGTAAAAGCGTAAAATCAAGAGACAAGCGAGGCGGTTCGACAGTTTGAGATTGAAAGGGGCGGAATGTGCGTAATCAGATGAGGGCGCTAGCGGCTGTTCTCAAACGTCTAAATCTAGCCCAAAAGTCTTAGCATGCACACTGAATGTTTCAGCATTTAACTAGTACGAGTATTATTTGGGGGGGGGGGGGGGGGGGGGGGGGGGGCCCCCCCCGCCGGAGACTTCCGGAGAGGGGACGGGGGGCGGAGGGGGGGGAGGGAGAGAGCCGCTCGGAGCTGGAGTCGGAGCAGGGCCACC